AAATCTTAAAAATTCAGAGTACGTTTGGTAATCATTTTATTTCCGAAAATAATTTCTGCTTAAAAATAATTTTTTTTATTCCATTTCCATAAATAATTTCTAAACATTTGAAGGCGTTCGGTAATTACCCAAAATTGATATTCCTGTAATAGAAAAATAACAGAAATGCGTTTAGTAATAATACAAAATTTCTTTTTATTAATAATATTTTAAAATTTTTAATATTTCTTTCTTCTTCTTTTCCCTTTTTTTTTTCTTTTTTTTTTCTTCTCCTTTCTTGGTCCATGGCCAGGTCGCCGACATCGGCGACCGCCCACAGGCCGGGGCCGGCGAGGGCGAGGTATAGACCCTCGCCCGCTACCCTTGTCAACCACAAAAAGCCAAGAAAAATGAAGAAGACCGCATGAAGAAAAAAATATTTTTCTTTTTATTTCGATTCTTTGTTCCGTTAACTCTTAAAAAAGAATTCCCGCGAAAAAATCAATCTTGTCTTTTTTTATTTTGTTTCAAAACTCGATTCTAGAATACACATGTTATTCTCCATCATTAATTCTTCGAAACCCACCATGTGATATCGATTGTTCTTCTCAAAAAAGGCATCAGTCCGCCCCTTTTGGAAATTCGTCGCGTTTGCCGCAATTGGTCCAAAAGCATTCACCCAAACGAGTCCATATCATAAACGGCCTATCAGTACTGATTTATCAATTGTCATTGGCCCAATGGTTAAACTTACTGTTCTTGGATGGGGAAATTGAAGAGATGATTCGAAAATTACAGAGTTCGGCGTGAGTGATTAACGGGAAACTTCATAATCCTTTTTAGCTGACGGTGTGCTCGTGATATGGCACTGCCATGCCAATATCGAAGTACGTCCTCTTTGGCTTAGAAGAGTTTTTCTTTTTTAATAAATTCAAGAAAATATAATTCGTTAATTGGAAAATCTCACAAATAACAACCCGGGTCGTGATTTTATCAATGTTTCCAATAGTTTTGGAAAGTTACTAACGAAATATCTAAAATGACTCGTTTAAAATTACTAATGGAATCGGAAAATTACAAGTACCTCTTAAAAGTTATCGATCGTATCTTAAAATTTCTGTTAATTCAAAGCTCGCATTTTTTCTTTTCAAAATGTTCAGAAGCATTTTATTTGAATTTTCATGCCTTGATATTTGAAACGATGTTCCGGACATTTTTGTCCCGATATCAATATTTGAAATAACCCATGCGAAAAAAGGTCACCTTTGGGAATTTGAATATCCGACCGATGCGAAAAATATTTACTCGAATGTGAAAACCATTCTGGTTCTGTCCAAAATTGATTTTTTGTTCCCAGAATCAGTTTTGGATCAGAAACCCATTTGGTAACGCAATTTCATTTTTCTATTTCCGGGACAAGCTTGCTTCCAAAACTGATTCTGAAACCAGAAATGAGAACAAAAAAAAAGTTGGTTTTTCATTTCTGGAACAAAAGTGAGAACCATTTCTGAGGAATTCATTTTCTTCAACACACATATTCATATGGAAGTCACGATCTTTGAGGTGAGAAAAAAAAGCAAAAAATCAAAAATTTCAAAACTTAATAGAATGGTTTAGAATCTGTGGCTACCCACTTTCAGTGAAATTTAAATTTTTTTAGGTACCGAAAAAAATAAAAAAAAATAAAAAATAAAAAATTTCACAAAATAGCTTAGAAAACCTATGGCCACCCACTTTGAGCAAAATTTAATTTTTTTAGTTGCAAAAAAAAATAAAAAATTCTAAAATTTAAAAACTTCACAGAATATCTTAAATACCGCAGCCACCCAATTTAAATAAATTTTATTTTTTTAGGTGCCGAAAAAAATAAAAAAAAGCAAAAATAAAAAAATTCAAAATTTCACAGAATGGCTTAGAATACTTGTGGCCATCCACTTTGAGTGAAATTTAATTTTTTTTAGGTGCCGAAAAAAATTTAAAAATAAAAAATTTCAAAACTTCACAGAATAGCTTAAAATACCTGTGGCCACCCACTTTGAGTGAAATTTAAATTTTTTTATATGCCAAAAAAATAAAAATAAGCAAAAAAGTAAAAATTTCAAAACTTTACAGAATGGCTTAAAATACCTGTGGCCACCCACTTTGAGCGAAATTTTATTTTTTTAGGTGCCGAAAAAAATAAAAAAAAGAAAAAAAGAAAAAATTTCAAAACTTCACAAAATGGCTTAGAATACCTGTGGCCATCCACTTTAAAATGAAATTTAAATTTTTTAGGTGCCGAAAAAAATAAAAAAATAAAAAATAAAAAACTTCACATAATTGCTTAGAATACCTGTGGCCACCAACTTTGAGTGAAATTTAATTTTTTTTAGGTGTCGAAAAAAAAATAAAAATAAACAAAAAAGAAAAATTTTCAAAACTTTACAGAGTGGCTTAGAATACATGTGGCCATCAACTTTGAGTGAAATTTAATTTTCTTTAGGAACCAAAAAAAATAAAAAAAAAATCAAAACTACCATTTGGGCATCTAAAAAAAATTAAATTATACTCAAAGTGGGTGGCTAGAGGTATTGTAAGTCATTCTGTGAAGTTTTGAAATTTTTGATTTTTTATGCTTTTTTCACCTAAAAAAATTTAAATTTCACTCAAAGTGGATGGCCACATGTATTCTAAGTCATTCTGTGAAGTTTTGAAATTTTTGATTTTTTGCTTTTTTTTCACCTCCAAAAATTAAAATTTCACTCAAAGTGGGTGGCTACATGATTCTAAGCCATTCTCAGAAAGTTTTGAAATTTTTGAATTTTTTTGGGCACCTTAAAAATTTAAATTTCACTCAAAGTGGTAGCGGGTGGCTACATGTATTCTAAACTATTCTATGAAGTTTTGAAATTTTTGATTTTTGATTTTTTGTCACCTAAAAAATTTAAATTTCACTAAAAGTGGGTAGCCACAGGTATTCTAAGCAATTCTATGAAGTTTTGAAATTTTTGATTTCTTGATTTTTTTTGAAAAAATTCAACAAATTTCCTATTTTCCCGAAATCTAAATTTTTTTTATTTTCTCGACATTTTGATGATTTTTTCTGGAATTTTTCAATTTTTTGGGATTTTCTGAATTTTTTTAAAGATTTTTATGAATTTTTCAGATTTTTTATTATTTTTATTCCATTTCTAAAAAAATGGATTTTTGTTCCTGGAAATAGAATTTTCTGTTGTTTATCAAACGGGTTTTTATTTCAGGAAATATAAATTTTGTGCTGTTATCAAACGGGTTTCTGTTCTAGAAATAGAAATTTTTTGTCATTATCAAACGGGTTTTTTTTCTCAGAAACTCATCCAGAAACCAGAAATAGAAAAATCTATTTCTGGTTCAGGAACTCATTCCGGAACAGAATGGTTATCATTCGCTACCTTAGTCAACTAAGATCTGTCCATTGTTGGCAAGAAAATCACATGTTTCCTAGCCAGACAACCAAAGATACATATGCAAAAGGCATTTTCACATACTGTACTGGATAAATGTAAATTCCAAATCGTGAACTCTCCGAGATCCGATCTCTCTTAAGCATATAAATTCTCCGAGCAAGATCGATAGATCCTCCCAAGAAGGTGACCTCTTTCGTTCAAGCCCCGCCCATCGAGAAGCCCAAAAAAAAATCGGAGCATCTCACAAATAACGACTCGGGTCGCAATTTTTATTAATTTTCCTATAGTTTGGAAAGTTACTACTGAATTATCTAAAATTACTGATGGAACCGAAAAATGACGAGTACCTCTTAAAACTTATAGATCGCATCTTAAAAAATATTCGATTTCAAAGCTCGCATATTTTATTTGAATTTCGGTGCTTTGATATTTGAAATGTTGTTGAAGACATTTTCGTCCCGGTATCGATATCTGAATAACCCACGCGAAAAAAAAAAATCTCGCCTTCAGGAATTTGAAAATCCACAAGATGTAAAAAACGTGTACTTAGTCAATTAAGATTATATCAATCGGTCGAAAAAAAATCACATATTTTCTAGCCAAACAACGAAATCACGTGTGCAAAGGGTATTTTTCAGATAACGTATTGGATGAGTGTAGATTCTACGTCATTCAAGTCTCCAAAATCCGATCTCTCTTTAACATGTGAATTTTCCGAGCAAGATCGATCAATCCTCCTGAGAAACGAGATCTCTCGTTGAATCCCCGCCAACTGTGTAAATTCAACGGGCTTGTCACGACGGGCCCAAAAAACCATTCGCCCAAACGGGCCCGTACCATAGACGGCCTATCGGCACCGAATCATCAACCGTCGCCGGGCTGATGAACAGGTCCAGCACGGGCGCGTCGGCCTCGGATCGGACCGCCCCGACCCCGACCGCTAGGTAGCCAGACCGGGGACACATCGGGCCCCCGAACTGCCCCCCCTCCCCTCACCGGGCCGACCCACGCCGATCCGCCGCTGGAAAAACAACCGACCTCAGCTTCGGGCAACAATCCCCCACGTACGGCCGCTGCTGATTCGTCGCTTTCCAGAAACACAAAGTAAATGATCAAACGAGCGAAAACCCCCTCCAAACAGCAACACTTCTACAGATCCGTCGATGATTGCGATGTTAGAAAGATTCTCGATTTAAGGATTCCCCCCCCCCCCAAAAAAAAAGAAAAGAGGAAAAAAAAAGAAAGAAACACCGAAAAAGATGGCGGGAAATAGAGCCGTTGCTAGGTTAACGACGGAAATTTTGGCGCCAAAATTTGGCAGCCCGTAAATTCCCGGGCAGCCGCCTCTCCATCTCTCTCTCTCTCTCTCTCCTCCCTCAAAGGTCGTATTTTTAGCCTTGAGAGCTTCCTCTTCTTCTCTTCTCTTCAAAACCTCAAAAGAATCATCGTCCCTTCGTTATAGAAAAGTTCATCTTTTCTCGAATTCGTTTTTCGACCCCCCGAGTATCCGTCTCCGCCGAACAAAGATCCTTCCTTTCGCCTCCGTTCTCCCATCACCCGGTTACCGGAACCCCGGCTTTTCGCGCGGTCTCAGGGCGCAAGAGTTTCGGGCCTTGGCGGCGGAGATGGGGATCTCGAAGAAGCCGCAGGCGGACGGCAATTCGTCGGAGTCGGAAATCGTCAAGAAGTGGGTCGTGTCCGGCGTCGCGGTCAAGGCGATGAAGCCGATAAGCACGAGGGCGAGGTCGAGGGACGGCGGGGGCGGGGGCGGGGATGATGGCGACGACGCGGAGGCGGCGGGGCGTTCGACGACCCCGACGGCGAAGGAGGCGAGGATACCGGAGAAGCTGCCGTGCCCGCCCGCGCCGCGGAAGAGGAGGCCGCCTTCCTCGGCCTGCCACATGCTGAGCGGCGCGAGGGAGTTCTTCAACCCGCCGGATTTGGAGACCGTGTTCAAGCGCCATGTGGAGAGGGCCAAGTGACTCTTGAGGCGGCTGGAGTGTAGTTTAGAGTTTAGATCAACTTTGTTTAGGATAGGCTTTGCTCTGTTTTTTTTTTTTGGCTCCTCTCCTTTTTTCCCTTTCTTTTTTTTTTGGGTTCTGTTTATGGATAGGAGTAGGATTAGGATCGATGTATAAAGAACATGAAATTCCAATGAAATGAATGTCGCAGTTTGAGTCCATGACTCGAAGTGCTCTGCTTTCTTCGCATCCTGGCCTAGTTTTTGCTTCTTTTGGCTCGTTCTAAGGATCTATTCATGTTCGTTACACCAATCTTGTATACGAAATCTCGCTCTGCTCGGTCTGGAGATGGCGAGGTTTACCTGTTTTGCCGAACGTGTCTTTCTTTTCCTTCTTTTTGAAGAGGGTACTCGAGTGACATAAGCGTATCTTATGGTTTCATCTGCCCATTCCGTCCGTCAGAAACGATCAAGAAGAACGTGGCGGATTTTCTTCTGAATCATCACCTTCTTTTTGGGGGCCAAATTTTGGATTTTGGGTTATCATTTTGGCATGTTGCAAATTTTTGTGGGGTTTTTTTCCCTGTTCATGGCACGACTCGGGTCTCTCTTGCTTTTTGCCCTTTAAAGCTCGCAATGAATTTTTCCCTCATCATTTGGTGCTGCGTGATGCCTGCGCTCTGGTCTGCTCTGGTCTGCTCTGCTCTCGTGCTCGTCATTTATGAGGAAATTATTGGGCATCTTGTAAGTCGAGCCATCCACTGAATTCAACCCAAGCGAGACACTCAAACAGATCCCGACCCATTTGCCCGATGACAATAAACTCGCATTCAAGAAGCGGGGGGCGGGCATCATAAAGATGTTGCGTATCCTACCGATTCGTGCTCTCCATGCCTGCGCCGGGCATTACTTCACCTGCCATGAAAAGGGGCAACTTGAACTCGATTCGACCCCCGAGTCGAGGGCAATTATCTACAAGAGAATCCCAACCCTCGAGGAACCGACGATTCATTAATCGGGTTCGGCTGTTTTGGATTGTTCGAACGCGAAAACGAACCGCACTCGATCCGGCAATCTTGGTCCCTTGTTCTGTCTGCTGTCTTCTACGCCCATGCGCTGGTCCACCAGATGCGAATTTTTCAACACGAGTTGATTGTGCGGTACCGTTAGACAGATGGGAAATCTTTTTCACGGCCGAGATGGTGCACGGATGTTTCGCAGGCCGTGGAGAGAGAGAGAGAGACACACACACACACAGACAGAGACAGGGACAGGGACAGAGACAGGGAAGGAGATGGCTCTACAAAGAACCTTAAGCTTAAAGTACCGAGTTGGGAGGACTTTTGGTCATTTCCATGTCCCACCTTTGGCTTCAAACCTCCTGTGCTGCGTCAAGCTGGAGAGTCCCCCTCCCTCGTAATGCGCTTCTGATTGCAATGTCACTGGCCACGCACAAGGTCTCTCTGGTTTGGCGTAATGGAATCCTATGTGGGGTTTGGACTTGGAGGCAATTTTTCTTTCTTTCTTCCTTTCTTTCTTTCTTTCTTATTTTGACTTGGTACATCATAATCGCGGCCCTTTGAATGTCGGGTTATTTTCCTTCTTTCTTAACGAGATAGCCTTGTATTCGAAATCCCGGCATATCAGAAATTAGTCCGATGTATCGCACAAATCACCGGTCCGGCGGTTGCGGAGCGAAATACTTAGAAGGGGGAGCTCCGCGGCTTTTTTGGAGCATTCAAATACGATTAATTTTTCGAGCGGGGATTTTTCCGGAGCATCCGAATGAAATTGCCGTTTTTTTCCAATCGCGAAATCTTTCGTGTCTTTGTATGACAAAACCGATGGGATTGTGATCGTGGATGGTCTTGAAAAAGTTGGGAGGATAAGGTTGTCTTTGCATCATGGGGCTGTGAGCTTTATGGGGATTAGGGGAAGGGCCTTTGGTGAAAGTATGCGTTGGTAAAAACAAAAGCTCTTTGCATGTTTGATTTTCATGGGGCTGAGCTTTGTCTCTGCGAGAGAGAGAGAGAGAGATACTGTTCAAATCGGATTTGGAAAGAGTAATATACATGTTGACCCTGCTAGTGCAAATCGAGGCTGCTTTCATACCCCCTTTTGCTTTTGTTGAGGAAGAAACACTAGCCAAAATGTCATCCACGGCATGGTTGATTAGGGTTGAAATAGGCCGATAGCTTCTTAATGAACGAGATGTTGTTCGCACCGACGGCGATCGTAAAAAAAAAAAGGAGCGCACGTCTCGTCTTCTCTTTTGCGATATTCTATTCTTATCGGACCAATCCAATCGTTCCAATAATTGCACGCACCGACTTAGATTATAGAAATCATACCGTAAAATGAATCGAATGAACGGCTTTGGTCACGTGGGGGCTCGATCACTATGGTCTCGCTCCTATAGTTTTGGCAATGTCTATCGCCACCTTGGATTTCCCCCCCACGGTTCGTACGTTCACATAATTGAATAACCAGCCTATAATCCGAAGGCATATTATTGGCTAATCCAGCCAACATTATTGACTTAATCTCATAAAGAAATCCCCCCGAATATAAGGAAATAATTGAGGGAATCTTCGCTTAAATTATTCAAGTGTGGTCCCTTAAGACAACGTTCTTATCCAACACCCAAAAGAACAAAACGCATATTACATAGGGCTTAATTAAATATCTAGATATATAATCCCGGCGACGCCTGTAGTAGAGAAATGTTCTATTAAATAACACGAGTGAACGTTTTTTTGGAAATACATATAATCAAAGTGTCCGAGTTCTGCGCCATTAAGTGTGGCGCCGTGGTGGTGGGTCCTGCGCTAGCATCACCCCGGGTTTACGTCGCCGGCTGTCGGCTGTACGGCGGCTCCCGGGTCATCAAAAACAAAAAAAAAAAAAAAAGTGTCCGAGTTCTCTTTTCAGGGAGCTGGGCGTTTGCGCAGTCGAAATGTTTTCCTAAGCGAACTCTCGACGGACGTCTAACGGCGTGCGTTCGTTCCGCGAAAAATGAAGGATTCGGAAGACGTTTTCCTGAAAACGACTGCTCGTGCTGCTTACGGAAACGAATCGGACATAAACCGTCGTTTGACAGTGGAAAACGCGTCTCGTCGACTAATCGTTCCGAGCCTATACGGGCGATCATTTCCGAATCGTTTGTTTTTTTTTTTTTTCACGAGACAAACGCGAACCAAAAGAGGGTCATTAATGCAACGCTTAGGTGCCCGGAGTGGTTTGGCTAAACGAAGAATCGACGTGATTAATCAGGGGTTAATTACCGCAGTGAAAAATCTCGGACCTAAGCAAAGTCCTTAAAAAGTTTCATCTCGATCCTTATCCGGACTTTAAGATCACCGGAATGTAAAATTTTCAAAGGGTATTCTCTCCTCTCAGATAGGGTGAAAATTGGGCGTGCCCGCATGCTAACATAAGGAATGCCTCCGACAGAATCCCTTGTCGGAGCTCAGCATCCCTTTCTCCGGTGAGGTTATGACTTAACCAGACACTGAGGGCGCGCATGGAATCCATTCTGGAGCAGAAATTCTGCTCCAGAATGCATTCCGGAACAGAAAATGCGTTTGTTAAAAAAATTTTGGAATGCATTCTGGAGCAATTTTTGCATTCTGGAATAAAAATGCATTTGTTAAAAATACTCGATTTCAGAATGCATTCTTGATTTCAGAATGCATTTTTTATTCCAGAATGAGTTTTGGGCAAGAAAAGGAGAAGCTACTTTTTGTAGCTTCTCCCTTCCAGAACGCATTCTCCCTATTTTCTCTCTTTTTCGTGGCATTTACAACACATTTTGAGATCTCACTAATTTTTTTTTCCAGAAAATGCATAAAAATTGAAAAATTCCAGAAAAATTCATAAAAATTTCCAGAAAATAAAAAAAAGTCAGATTTCGGGAAAATAGGAAATTTGATGAATTTTTTTCAAAAAATATAAAAAAATCAAAAATTTCAAAACTTCACAGAATGGCTTAGAATACCTTTGGGCACCCACTTTGAGTGAAATTTAATTTTTTTTGAGGTGCCCAAAAAAATAAGACAATAAAAAATTTCAAAACTTCACAAAATGACTTAGAATACATTTGGGCACCCACTTTGAGTGAAATTTTTTTTTTTTGAGGTGCCCAAAAAAATCAAAAAAATAAAAATAGATTTCTGTTCCAGAAATCGATTTCTGGAGCAGAATTAGTCATGTTTTATCAAACAGATTTCTCCTCCAAAAATCAATTTCTGGCGAGAATTTGATTTCTGGAGCAGAACGGTTACCATTCGCGCCCCGAGGATCGTAGAGGTTAGTGCGTTTAATTAAGGGGTTAATTACGGTGGTAGATGAAAATCTAATCATGGAGACAAAGAACGGAAGGAAAGGAGCTGGGGGGGCTACGGAGGAGGAGGAGGAGGAGATGATGATGATGATGAGGAGGAGGAGGAGATATAATGCGTCGGGGTTCGTGCACGGGAGACGGGGAGAATCCAATGCGTTCATGACGACGCGGGCTCTTGTTTGGGGAATCCTATGATAAAAAAAAAACATAAAAAGAAAGAAAAATAACAAAAAAGAACAAAATTTAAAATTTAAAAATTGGAAAAATTTAAAAATGCCTCGTGGTTATTGGAACGCCAATCGATCATCATCGGCTTTCTGTCCCCCGCGTCGGGCCTTGTTTGCCTCGGGACTTTTCGGCTCGGACGCGGTTTCGAACTCTGCGATGGGTCTCTTGAATCGCTTGGCGGGAAGGTTTGTTTTTTAAATTTTATTTTTTCCGACATATACTTGAATTTCCGCCGAACATATAAAAGATAAATAAATTAATTAAGAGCGCGATCATTTCGCGGAAAATGTTTTCTTAAAAATGGTCGCTTCCAAAAATAAAAAATTATTTTCACCGTCTGTGAAATTTATCGATGATGAAAATATTTCATATTGACTAGTTATTTCAAGTGATCGTTTTAAAAAAAAAAAAAAGGTTTTCGAAATCATTCAATTTTTTGAAATGAATGGAGTTTGAAAAACACCCAAATGGGCGGGGCTAGTGTGGAGTGGAGACCAGTGATGATTTTTTTTCGAAACGGGTAACTTTTTTTTTTGGGGCTGGCGTAATTGCTTGCATTTTATTCAAATCGATTTTTATCGAAAAACAAAAAGCCTTTTTGTATATGAGGATTCGATGTATGAACCACACGGGGCATCGCGCGTGGTCAGGTATGGCCCGTTCTACGCTCGTCCGAGAACATCCCGGAGTGTGTCGTTACCCTTGGCTTAAGGTGGTTTAATGTAGATAGCCCGATTAAAATTCAGTCGGCATCGACCGTCGGATCGAGCTTGACCAACTCGTCGTGCTCGAGCCCTCGATCGGACCGTAGAACCGGCCTATATTAACATAACCATTATTTCGACGATATGCAAATATTCACATGTTTATGATTCGTCGAATTTCGAAATCTATCTTTTTCTTTTCTCGTTGTTCATGATTTTGGATGAAAGGCAAAGATTGGATTGTGTTCATATTCAAACCCCTAAATTATATCTTTGACTTGGGCAGAATCATTCCTTGCTTTTGACCGCGGACGGGGGATCAATGTCACGACATAATTAGCCTCGGAGATTGATTGACGGACGGCGATGCGAACAATTAATATGCCAACGGATCCGATGCTGTTGACTTTCCGGGGTGGTGCTCTCGTTTGACCCCGGATTTTTCAATGTTTTTTTTTATTTTTTTTTTGGTGGTTTTGACAATGGTGTTGAAAGTAATTGAATCCCATGCATTGACTTTGACTAGCGTAATTCAGTAAATTGTATTTTTTCTTTGCAATGATTTTTTCTACCGCTTATTGGACCGACCTGTCTAAACTCCCGCCCAAAGCTCGTCTTTGAGCCCCCACTTTCAGAGGGCTTCGTGCGAAAGTTGAAGTCCAGCCCTATCGGAATACGACGTGGGTTTGGGCTGCAGATGTTGAAGTCTGCTGAAAGATTAGCCGACCAAAGATAGAGAAACGATGCCCCTCAAGTGTTGCATCTGGAGAAGGTTTTAGCCATACATGCAGGAGGAGGACATTGAGTTCTGTTTGATACGGCCGGTTCCGAATCGACTAATCATCGGCCTGTGTATTTCGGGTGCTGCTGCTAGCGTCGCTTTCTCAAGGAACGATCGCGTGTTGCGAACGGTGCGTAGAATACATTAGTTTGTACATCATTTCGTAAATAAACAGTTCAATTAGACCAGAAAAACCAAAGGTTTATGTACATGTATATTACCACATGCATGCATTTTTCCATTAGTTTGAGTGCTGCTATGCTTATGTTCAATCGCCCGGGGCCTGCCGCCATTTTCATTGCGGGTCGCGTTTTATGTATTCGCCTGATGAAGACCTTAAGGAATTTGCAGTAAACAAATGGAGTTGGTTTTTTCTTAGCAACTCCAGTGTTTTTCCTAACACTGTCGGATTACTCCCAAGAAAGGAATACAAGCCGGGCTGCGCGATAGCTAACTTGATGTGGCTTCTGAAAGTTACAGTTTCTTGTAGGGCAATTTAAAGTATGTGCACGAAGTTTGAACTAGATAATCTCATCTACACAACCAGATTTTTCACTGACATGAGAAAACAAGTTTTTCCTGCCGGTTATGCTTTCATCTCGAGGGTTTACCGTCAAGATGCAAGATGCAGAGATTTGACAAATTACGCCAGGCTTACCTCTGTTTCTCTATCATTATACTACTCATCAGTTGCACGGTGCTGTCGAGGTTCGTGGGACGGCCTTCTGTGCAAATTGTCTCTCCTTTCTCGGGATGGCCAATGATTTGGATCCTGAATGTTCTTGGCATAGTAGGAGATGGAGATTACTGTTAGAGGTGAATGTCAATGGTTTTCAGTGCCTGGGTCTCTTATTTTGCCATTATACATGGGACACTTGCTGGTTTTGTGGGCATTCATGTTGTGTCTGCATTAATGGGAAGCTTTCTTCTTCAAAATTGCTGTCTTTAGTGGCGCAAAGGTCGGTAACACTGACCATCCTTGCCGTTTAATTGTTTTAACTACTCATTCCCTTCTAATTGACAAGCGTCATAGCTTCGCAAGCTCTAGTATTAGCCCCACTGCGTGGGAAGATAGTTCAACAGGTGAGGATTCGCATTAGGAAATTCTGTAGAGCATTGCAGGAAGATCCGTTTAGGCCAGTCTTACATCCATACGATGGTCTCGAGTTTAGTCTCGAGCTCTTGGTTTAGGAGGTATTGCTCTCAAAGGTATATGTTGGTTCTGCGATCTCGAACGCTATCGCATATAACTGATGGATTCATTCGTTTGGCTAGTTCTTGGCTATAGTTGCGCGTGCAAGGAAACTGGCCATCAATCACCATCACCAGTTATGGTTTTTCAGATGACCCTCAACTTTACTATACCTATGCGAACATGCAGGATCTGATATGCTTATGTTTCTTAAAAAAAAAAAAAAATTATAGATTGGTATACAAGGGTAATATATTAAAACAGCACCTCTAGATTTATCAGCAAAGCACATCTTCCTCAAATCCTCCTGGATTCTTGTAGTTAAAAGGCAACCATGCAAATTTGAATATTTTTTTCTTCTCCCAGCTTTTTGGAAATCCAGAAAAACAAAGTTAAAAGATTGCTCACTAACCCATCTGATCAATTTAATGAGGAGAGAAACAAATTTGAAGAAACTATTGAGATAATAATGCATCAATCTCTCTGGTCACTACCAAGTTATTCTAGCCCCACCAAAAAACAAATAAAAATCAGACGACGTAACAACCTTCCGACCAAAAAAAAAAAAAAAGTAACAAGCTTACTGAAATTAAAAGGATTGGCATATCAACATGTTGAAATCCAACCAAGGGGAAAGGCTACAATCAAAAGCAGTAACTAAGACACTCTGATCTTCTTGCTCGGAGGCTTGTGTGATAATCATGAAACTGATTATTGCCCTTTGAGGGAGACTGCATCAGCTGGGTCAGGATAAGATCGCCCTGCATCACCGAGAACGGCGGGGCTGGCTGGACCATCAGTACGTTGTAGCACTCCCCAATGCTTGGAGTACTCTCCATAGACACGTTGCCCGGAATGGGGCTGTATGCCGAGGTATCCAAGTGCATTATCCCCTCCAGGGTGGCAAACTGGAAGTTCTGCCCAGGCAAGACATTGCCACAGAGGCAGTGCTTCGGGCATTGGATTGAAGAGTTGACAGAGTCTGGATCAAACATGGATTGTTGTTGTTGCTGCATATGATACGGTAAGTCTAGATGTAATGGGTTGACATCAAGTGGTGGCTGCTTCATTGGGGTTGGCACAATCTGGTTCTGAAACAAGCCATGATACACATGATCGTGTATGTGATGATCATATCTTTTCATCGCGTCTTCCTTCATCATGGCCAGCCTCGTCTTGGCCGCCTCGAGCTTGTGGCCGAGGGAACCCAACAGCCTCCTCAGTTCTTCCTCGGAGAGGCCCTCAATCAGCGCCTCCGAGACTGGGTACTTGGCCTCCCAGTTCGCTAGCCGGGCTTTGGTGAGCTCGGCATCAACTTTCCTCTTCCGATTCACGAAGAACTCAGGCAGACCGACTGTCCTCTTGGCACGGCGGTCTGCCCCCTCGCTCTTGTACTGTTCGATGACGAGCTTCACCTTCTCGGGACTTGCAGGCCAGATCTCGGGCTCAGTGTCGGCGGCAGTCCCAGCGGGGCCATAGATAATCATACATGTATTGACACCGCACAAGGTCGTGAACTCTTGTGCTTTCTTCATCAGGCCCTTCTTCCTCTTTTCATAGGTGATTCTTCGTGCTTTCTCTTTTGGGATAAGCTCTAAAACCAATTTGCCACGACCCATGTCTCAAAATCTTTGATTTTTCTTCAAGTCTACTTTTATCTTTTGGGTGGATAAAATCTGCAACAACATAGATGGTAAATGATGATTAGAGAATTATCAAAGGGAGAGAAAATCACTAGCAAGTAAAGGAAAAGACAACATATAAACTTTCGTCTTTCTCATATTCATAGACAAGCACAAGAGAGAAACCATCGACAGATTATAGGCTGACATTCCTAATTTGATCAGCTCTCCTCCCCCCACAAACACACACATTGCAGAGACACGCCATTACACAGACACGAGAATATTCCCATCTCTCTCGACTTTCCAAAAACGGAAGTTGACAAATTGTACAGGTTAGGGCAATAGAGAAAGAACGAAAGCATCGAGCATGTTAAAGGCCAAAAAGGGTTGAAGTCACCCACCCGAGCGTCCTTCTACGGACGTTCTTCTCTCCCCGGTGGAGAGTTCTGCACAGAGCCAATGGCGGAACGGCAAAACCCACAAAAACCAAGAACACGAAGATTCAAATCCAGAAGGGAGAGAGAGGGAGAGACAGAGAGAGAGAGAGAGAGAGAGAGAGAGAGAGAGAGAGAGAGAGAGAGAGATTTGAATGCTCGGGGAAGAAGAGGGAAGAGTATATATATCAGAGAGAGATTGTATAGCGACTATTTTAGGAAAGTGACGAAAGTGTAGAGAGAGAGAGATTTGATTGCTCGGTCAAGAAGAGGGAAAGAGTAAAATATCTGAGACGGAGAGAGATTGGATCGCAAGTGTTGTCTTGATCGCATACGGAACGGAACGTTAGCTGCCCTCTCTTGCTTAGTTTTGAATGTGTATGTGGGGTTAGGGTTTGTTAATGGCATATATGAAGACACGAGTCGTTTCCTCGCGTCGCAATGCCTTCAAAAAGTGCTTGGCTTTTTGTAACATGAACTTCAATTATGGTGCGTTTTTTTTCCCTAAAGACTTTACAGTAAAAGAAGATATTTTTTATGGAAATTATTTTCGAGAAAAATAATTAATTTTCATTTGCTCGGTAGTTGGAAAGTATTTATTTCTTGTGAGAAGAGGAAGTTTTTTTCTCCCAATCTAAGCTAGTTGTTTGGGAAAATTGTTCAAAAAGTCATAAACCTATTGTACGGCGGTTAATTCAGTCCTAAACTTTTCAATTTTGCCAATTTAGTCCTAAATATTTTGATAACTTGCCAATTTAGTATTAAACATTTTTTTTTGGTCAAAAGTCTTAAACTTTTCAATTGTGTCAATTTAGACCTAAATTTTTTAACGATTTGTTAATGAAGTCTTTTCAGTCAATTTTGGCCGAAAGTCACTGATGTGGTAGTCTAGTGAGTGCCACCTCAGTCTATGGAAAACGATATCTGTAGATCGATTAGTTTTCCGTAATCCAAATATCGGAAAAGTCAAAAAAATAATTTTCCTTCAAATAAACGGACCCTTATATCTTGAGCTATTCTTCATATGATGAATCATCTGTAACAATTTTCGATATAAAGCATTAGTCAATCAAATAATCGACTAGAAATGGATATGTTCGAGAACGAAAGAAGTGCTAGCCGGTGAATTAGAAATAATTAATTAAGAATAAAAATGATTTTTTAATGGATCGGTCGAAATCTACACTTATAAAGCACCAGATAATTCTATTACGTGATTATCATAATCATTTATGAATTAGAATTGTTATAACTTTCCAAGAGTATGTGAATGTAAAATGGACCCTCAATAAAGGATGTGCAAGCTCATCACAAATTTTATTAAGACAAGGTATCTATTAGCCAAAGAAGAAGGACAACTTGGCAAATCAATCCACGAGAGCGAGACATAGAGAGTTCAGATTTCTTTCCGAGAAAAAGAGAAGTCAAGTTGTCAAAATTATATTTATTCGAAATTTCAACAAATTATATTGATATTTTGCGCAATGAGATTACGAATAAGAAATTAAGAGAAAAGGATAAATAGATAAGTTAGTGGTAGCGTGGACTTTTCTAGTTGGGTGGAAAGTTTTTTTTTTGCCCATCCACAAAATACATGGAGAATATTTTTAAGGATTATAAATCAGATATTGGGTGAGCTTGTTAGCACTCTCGTTAGATGTTTTGACTTGTTTGACATAGTTACAATTGTTCGTAGACTTAGCTTGATCAAGTCCATAATACACAACACGCGACGCGGTGTCCTACCCAAGACGAGAATCGTCCATCGGACAAATGATATTATGTCATATGACCGAGCGCACCAAATAAGGAAACCGTTATATCGCATAAACTAATCAATCGGTCACATACTACAAACTACAAAGTGCGTATTACAACAGAGTTGCAAAGTCTTTGGCAAATCTACCGTTTGCATTTCGGTTCGGACCTTAGTCCATCCAATTCGAAATTTCACGAACAGTACCGGTATCAAAAGTTGGTTTTGAATTTCCTCCAGATTATGGTACAGTAAGATACGTTATCTACGATCCATAAGCAAGTGATCTCATCTACCGGGATATACAATTCGGTTCGGACCAACAATCGAGAAGACCGAAACAATGCGACAGAATAGAGAAATACGACGTGGGTTTGGGCTGCAGATGTTGAAGTCTACTGAAAGATTTGCCAATCGGAATAGAGAAAACAATGCTCCTCAAGTGTGCATCTGAGATGGTTTTAGCGATACACTCCCAAAAACACTCGCAATGCAGGAGGAGAACATTGAGTTCTGTCCGATACGGCCGGTTCCGAATCGACTAATCATTGGTTGTATATTTCAGGTGCTGCTAGTGTCGCTTTCTCAAGGAACGATCGCGTGTTGCGAATGGTGAGTAGAATACATTAATTTATACATAATTTCATAGAAAAACAGTTCGATTAGATCGGATAAACCAAAGCTTTATATACATATATATAACCACATGCATGCATTTTTCCATTGGTTTGAGTGCTGCTGTGCCTATGTTCAATCACCCAGGGCCTGACTGCTCTCGCAAGAATTGCTCGATCCGCCATTTTCATTGGAGGTTGGGTTTTATGTAATTGACTGATGAAGGCCCTAAGGAATTAGCAGTACACGAATGGAGTTGGTTTTTTCTTAGCAACTCCAGTGTTTTCCTAACAAATAACAGTGAACGGCCGGATTACCCCAGGAAAGGAATGAAAGCCGGGCTGTGCGATAGCTAACTAGATATGGCTTCCGAGAGTTACAGTTTCTCATAGGGCATTTTAAATATGTGCATGAGGTTTGATCTTGATTATCATCTGTTGTAAAAATTTTAGGAAACAATTGAAAATGATGGCGTAGTTTTTCGAAAGAAGACTTGAAAAATTGAATGATTTTCCTTCTTGCCAAAAGACATATATAGAAATCGGTCTTCATAGGCAACTCTTCACGAAAGGTTGCAAAGCTAACAAAGATATTCCTTCGGAAGAAGTTGCAAACGAACAAATGCAACCCTTCGGAAAGGTTGAAAAACAAGTATAATCTCCAAAAGTTGTCTTGAAAAGACACATGTAAAATTCGGAATAAAATAAAATAAAAATATATATAAATAAAATTCCGAATTTTCATACTTTCGAAAATTATTTAATAAACAAAAAACAACCTTTCAACTAATAAAGATTAAGGAGATAACCTTACGAAATAAAATAAAAAATAAAGGGATTAGAGCTAATTAAACCGCGCAATTATTCGCGCACCGCACGCGGTATTGTGTGGACTAAGACACACCCCATTGTCTTCACTCTAAGGAGTAAGAAGACACTCACAGCTATAAAATGGCCACTTACCCAAAACTTTCCTATGTGGGATAAAGGAAAAAAGCATTGTTTTGTTTGTTTTACAAACAAACATCCAACATCATCTACACCAATAGATTTTTCACTTACAGGGGAAAACAAGTTTTTTTACCAGTTATGTTTTCATCTTGTAGGTTTACCATCAAGATGCAGAGATTCTGTCCGGGAAATCACGCCAGGCTACCCATGAGTTGCATTGCACTGTCGAGATTCGTGGGACGACCTTCTGTGCAAATTATCTCTCCTTTCTCGGGATGGTCGATGATTTAGATTCTGAATGTTCTTGGCTGTTTTATCGTCCTGCACCTTTCCAGTTGAAATAGTTGAAGATAGATATTACTTCTAGAGGTGAATGTCACTAGTTTTGCTGTGCCTGGGTCTCTTATTTCGCCATTATACATGGGACACTTGCTTGTTTTGTGGGCATTCATGTTGTGTCTGACATTAATGGGAAGCTTTCTTCTCCAAAATCGACATCTTTAGTGGTGTAAAGGAAGGTCGGTAACACTGACCATCCTCGCCGTTAAATTGTTTTAACTGCTCGTTCCCTTCTAATCGACAAGCGTCCAGCTTCGCAGGTCCTAGTATCCACCCTACTGTGCGGGAAGATAGTTCAACAGGTGAGGATTCGTGTTAGGAAGATAGTTGTTATTGCTGCATCATTTCGTTCTCTCTTTTCCCGCTGCCTGAGTTTCAACGGGCGAGGATTCGCGTTAGGAAATTCTGTAGAGCATCGGAGGAAGATCCGTCTAGACCAGTCTTGCATCCCTATGATGGTCTCAAGTTTTGTCTCGAGCTCGAGCTCTTGGTTCCAAAGGTATGCATCGGTTTTGTGATCTCGAATGCTATCGCATATACGGAAGGACTCGTTAGTTGGCTAATTCTTAGCTATAGTTACGCATACAAGGAAACTGACCGCCAATCACCATCACCATTGGATGGTTTTTTTTGCAGACCCTCAACCTTATTATACCTATGCGAACATACGGGATCCGATATGCTTATGTTTCTTACAAAAAAATAAATTATAGATTAGTATGCAAGGGTAATATATTAAAATAGCACCTCTAGTGATTTTTCAGCAAAGCACCTCTTCGTCAAACCCTCCTAGATTCTTGTAGTTAAAAGGCAACCATGCAAATTGATTTTTTTTTTTTTTTTGCTTTTCCCATCTTTTTGGAAACCCAGAAAAACAATATTACAAGATTGCTCACTAACCCACCTGATCAGTTTAATGAGGAGAGAAGCAAATTTGAAGAAACTATCGACAATAATGCATCAATTTTATTGGTCACTACCAAGTTATTCTGGCCCCACCAAGATAAAAACAAAAAAGGAAAAATCAAACAACTGATAGTAACAACCTTCCGAACAAAAAAAAAAAAATAGTAACAAGCTTACTGCAATTAAAAGGATTGACAGATCAACATGTTGAAATCCAACCAAGGGGAAACGCTACAATCAAAAGCAGTAACTAAGACCCTCTAATCTTCTTGCTTGGAGGCTCGTGATAATCACGAAACTGATTATCGCCCTGCGAAGGAGACTGCATCAGCTGGGTCGGGATCGCCCTGCATCACCGAGAACGACGGGGTTGGTGCGGTTGGCTGGACCATCGGTACGTTGTAGCACGCCCCGATGCTCAGAGTACTCCCCAGGGACATGTTGCCCGGAATGGGGCTGTATGCCGACGTCTCCAAGTGCATTATCCCCTCTGGGGTGGGTGGCGATCTGGAAGTTCTGCCCAGGCAAGACATTGCCACCGAGGCAGTGGTTCGGACATTGGGTCCTCTGTGCCCACCACTCGCTAGGCATCGGGATTGAAGAGTTGCCAGAGTCTGGATCAAACATGGAGTGTTGTTGTTGCTGCATATGATATGGTAAGTCGAGATGTAATGGTTTGACATCAGGTGGTGGCTGCTTCATTGGGGTTGGCACAATCTGGTTCTGAAACAAGCCATAATACACATGATCATGCATGTGACGATCATATCTTTCCATCGCATCTTCCTTCATCATGGCCAGCCTCATCTTGGCCGCCTCGAGCTTGTGGCCAAGGGAACCCAACAGCCTCCTCAGTTCTTCCTCGGAGAGGCCCTCAATCAGCGCCTCCGAGACTGGGTACTTGGCCTCCCAGTTCGCTAGCCTTGCCTTGGTGAGCTCGGCATCAACTTTCCTCTTCCGATTCGCGAAGAACTCGGGCAACCCGATCGTTCTCTTGGCACGGAGGTCCACCCCCTCGCTCTTGTACTGCTCGATGATACCCTTCACCTTCTCAGGACTTGCAGGCCAGATCTCGGGCTCGGTGTCGGCGGCAGTCCCCACAGGGCCATAGATAATCATGCATGTATCGACACCGCACAAGGTGGTGAACTCTTGGGCTTTCTTCATCAGGCCCTTCTTCCTCTTTTCATAGGTGATTCTTCGTGCTTTCTCTTTTGGGATAAGCTCTAAAACCAATTTGCCACGGCCCATGTCTCAAAATCTTTGATTTTTCTTCAAGTCTACTTTTATCTTTTTGGTGGGTAAAATCTGCAACAACATAGATGGTAAGTTATGATTAGAGAATTATCGAAGGGACAGAAAATCGCCAGCAAATAAAGGAAAAGACAACATACAAACATTCCTTTTTCCCACTTTCATAGATAAGCACAAGAGAGAAACCATCGACAGATTACAGGCTGACATTCCTGATTCGATCAGCTCTCCTCCCCCCACAACACACACACACACAATGCAGAGACACAAGAAAATTCCCATCTCTCTCGACTTTCAGAAAACCGAAGTTGACAAATTGTACGGGTTAGGGCAATAGAGAAAGAACGAAGGCATCGAGTATGTTAAAGGTCAAAAAAGGTTGAAGTCACCCACCCGAGCGTCCTTCTACGGACGTTCTTCTCTCCCCGGTGGAGAGTTCTTCACAGAGCCAATGGCGGAATGGCAAAACCCACGAAACCAAGAACACGAAGATTCAAATCCAGAAGACAAAGAGAGAAAGAGAGAGAGAGAGAGAGAGAGAGAGAGAGAGAGAGAGAGAGAGAGAGAGAGAGAGTTGAATGCTCGGGGAAGAAGAGGGAAGAGTATATATATCTGAGAGAGGGAGAGATTGTACAGCGACTGTTTTAGGAAAGTGACGAAAGTGTAGATAGAGAGATTTGATTGCTCGGTCAAGAAGAGGGAAAGAGTAAATATCTGAGACGGAGAGAGATTGGATCGCAAGTGTTGTCTTGATCGCATAAGGAACGGAACGTTAGCTGCCGTCTCTTGTTCAGTTTTGAATTATGTATGTAGGGCTAGGGTTTGCTTAGGGCGATTGTGAAGACATGAGTCGGTGCCTCACCGTTGCAATGCCTTCAAAAAGTGCTTGGCTTTTTGTAAATATCATAATATCAATTATGGTGCCTTCTGTTTCACTGAAGATTTTACGATAAAAAGAAAATATTTTTTTTTTGTGGAAATCAATTTCAAGGAAAATAATTAATTTTCATTTGCTCATTAATTTAGGGAATGCGATTTCTCTCTTATCGAAAGGGAAGTCGTTTTCTTCCGATTTAAACTTTTTGCTTTCAGCCTATGAAAAACGTTTTTCATGAATCAATTATTTTTTTCCGTCATCCTAATGCCGGAAAGTCGAAGAACAGCTTTCTTTCAGATAAACCGACCCTTATATCTTGAACTATTCTTCTTTCTTTATGTGATTAATCATCTAAGCTATTCTTTTCTTTTGGCCATATGCATCTTAACTATTCACATTCGATCGTTATGTATTTTATGCGTTTACATTGAAATGGATAAAATGCTAAGAAGAGCCGGGTAACTTTTTAGGGACATGCAATTTCATTATTGGATTTTTTGTGCCTAAGTAAGAGATAATGAGAAATATAATGGATGATGCATGTAACTGTAACCTAATTAATTGATTAATTAAAATGTTCCAAGAAAGTCGATAATTGATCCAAACGTAATGCTTAACCAAAAATCCGATGCATACGCATGGGTTTTACCACTACTTAGGGTAATTGGGAAAAGTGCCAAAAAAGTCCTAAACCTTTTGCATTAGTGCCAATTTAGTCCTAAACCTTTTTTTGGTACCAATTCAGTCCTAACCTTTTGCATTGGTGCCAATTTAGTCCTAAACCTTTTTTTGGTATCAATTCAGTCCTAAAATTTTTAAATTGATGCCAATTCAGTCCTAAACCTTTTGTTTTTGTACCAATTTAGTCCTTCTGGCCAATTTTGACAGGAATTTGCGGACGTGGTAATTATAAGCATAAAACGACAAATCTTTATAGAATGGAAATTTTCTCAACTTTGTAAATTTACAATTAACTGTCTGTTCTAGATTTGATCTTTGAATACATACATTCACCGTAATGATGTGTAGTTGAGTCGACTTCCACACTTATACAGTTACTCTATAGCTAGACATGACCAGGCTTCGTTTTAAAAGATTTGATACATTCTCGTGAGAAAGCGCCAAAACATTTGACTCTTCACCTATTTTTGATATAAAGGATTAGCTGATCAAATAATCGACTAGAAATGGATCTGTTTGAGAATAAATGAACTGCTAACCGGTGAATTAGAAATAACTAATTAAGAACAAAATTGTTTTCTTTATGGATCAGTCGAAATCTACGCTTATAAAGCAATCGGGACAAGTCATAGATAATTCTATACTGTGATTATCATAATCATTTATGAACTAGATTGGTTACAACTTTCTCAAAGTAAGTGAATGTAAATGGACCCTCAATATAGAATGTGCATGCTCGTCCCAACCTTTAATAAGACAAGGTATCTATTAGCCAAAGGAAAAGGACAACATGGCAAATCAATCCAAGAGAGGGAGACAGAGAGAGTTCAGATTTCTTTACGAGAAAAAGAGAAGTTAAATTTGTCAAAATTACATTTATTCATAATTTCAACAAATTATGCGCTAATTGATATTTTGTGCAATGAGATTATGAGTAAAAAAAAGTAAGAGAAATAGATAAATTGCGGGTAGTGTGGACTTCTCTAATATAGAGTGGAAATTCTTTTGCCCATCCATGAAATATTTGAAGAACTTTTTTTTTAGGGCTTATATATCTTACCTAGTTATCGGGCGAGCTTGTTAACACTCTCGTTAGGTATTTTGACCCCATGATGTGTTAATAAGTTATGTGGTAATCCAAAAAGAGGCGAGCTTGTGTGACATAGTTTGGATCGTTCCTAGACTTAGCTAGGCTTATCCATTTGAGCCAAGTCCAACATACATAATACGCAACACGGTGATATAAACTGCATATCGTTGCTATAGTCTTTGGCAAATTGACCGTTTGCACTCTGATTCATGCCTTACTCCATCCGATTCGAAATGTCACGAACTTTACCGGCATCAAAAGTTGGTTTTCGATTTTCCTCCGGATTATGTTACGGTAAGATACGTGACCTACGATCCATAAGCAAGTAATCTCATCTTCCCGGGTATACGATTCGGTTCGGGCCAAGAATCGAGAGGACCCGAGCCCATAAAGAGAAACGAATCCTAGCAGCTGCGATCGAGAAGGATTGATTACTTTGGGCTGTCTCGAGCGGCCCATGCATCTTCTTCCTCATTATGCTAATTAAATGGCGGAAAAAAAAATGGATGAAAAAGAAAAAAATCTATGTGGTTGCGATTAATGCCTTTTCATTAAATGTGGGATTAGTTAATATACCTATTAAAAGATGTTGTGTTCCCTCGGTGCCTGACGGATCAACGGCCGGTTCGACGGGTGTTTTTAAGGAGATTTGCTTCTTGTGCAGAGTAACTTTCTAACGACGACTTTAAGTTAAACTTGTCCTATTGGAGGAAGCGGGGGTGGGAGCCATTATCCAAAAGGCTCAAAGCCTATCGGCTCTTAAGGACGGTTTTGGCCACCATATGTCGTGACACGCAACCACTTGTCCCGTTTAGATCATTACTTGTCGACTAACCCCTCAACGAGCCCCGATCACCTTCACCTATAAATAGTGACTCGGCAGCTCAAACAAGCTTCTTCTTCTTCGTTCTACACTTCGGGATACACGCGCTCTTCCCTTGCTAAGTTAAGCATCGAAGGGCCAATCCGGGTCGAACCCCGGACACCCGAACCCGTGTTCGTTGGTGCCGGTCCATCTCGAGGGCGGGGGCCTTGACGAATTCCTCGATACCGGATCGTGCATCAACAAATGCTACTCCAAGTACGAGTATCTCTTCTCTCTAGCTCTACCAAAAATAAAGATCTCCTTTTTGAGGAAGGAAGTACAAAGGGTATGATTCTTCACATTTGGGATGACCAAAAGGGAAGGCAGTCGGAGCCGGAGTACGAACATCATTCTCGATCCTCCGACCTCGACAAATCCTGATAGCAGAAGCCTATTCCAGGAGATATATGGCGACATGATTCTATGTCGCAAAGCTTCATTTTCAGTCTGCAATAGCTTTAAATACAGGAAGGGGGTCTGCAAATCGCAACGCTAATGCACGTTCAAGATTGCGGATTTCATTTGAAACAACACTGACCATAACAGGAAAATTCACACAATACATAATGGACGAGATACGAACGCAGGGAATTCTTGCGTGATTGCACCATGAAGAAGAACCTCTGCTCTGCGCGAAATCGAACTCGTTATGTTTGCATCTGTAGGGAGGAAAGCGAGCCTCTCTTCATATTCGAAAGACTCTGTGAACTTTGAAAAGCTTCACTTCAATCCATTCCTTAGGCTCTTTTTGTGATCGAAACGCGGCAAAAGGCGAGATCCGAAAGGACGAAGATAACTTTGTTTATTTACACATCGATCATCAATACAAGAAATCAATTTTAGCAGGTTGAATAACTGCTTCCTGTTTATTGAAACGATGAATTGCAACTTAGCCAGAAAGAGAACTGGTGTGGTGACTTTTTTGTACTAGTTTTCATGTACTTTCAGTAAATGACACATAAATTACAAGTACCTACATGGTTCGATGATTGATCAGGCCACAACCTCGATGAATTTATGGGACGCCTGTGTTTTAGCGGCATCGGATAACTTGCTTTCTTCGACCTGCAGCCTCCTCAGCCGAGGAGAGTTGGTTATCAACGACTCCACGGCCTTCTCTCCGATCCCGCAACAATGCATGAGGTCGACGCTCTCAAGAAGCTTGCAGCTCCTGTAAATCGAAAGGATGGCCGGGTCCGTGAGCCCTTTGCACCCTCTCAGCCTCAGATCGACCAAATGGGAACACGAAGCGAGCATTGCAATCAATTCCTTATCAGGCAGCATCTCATTGTAAGACAGGTCCAGTTTCCTCAGTTGCCCCAAGTGTTGCCCCAATGTGGCAAGCAGGCCTGGCTCCCTCTCCACGACATCACAGTTTATCAATGCCAATTCTTGGAGCCCACCATTCATTGCAATTCCAAAAGTCTTTAGGCCATCACCAGTGACCAAGCAACAGCTTTGAAGCCTGAGACTCGACATATTCCTACAATGCAGAGACAGAGCAAAGAGATGATCGTTCTTCAAGTCGAGAGGCAAGCGGAGATCAAGCTTTCGCAGATCGCACCGGCAGTTGTTTATGAAATGAAGAAGGCTATCCCTGCTACCACCATCGTATAGCAAGAGAGAGCTCAGAAACTCACAATTCTCGGCCAATTTCACAAGAACACCATCCACTATGCTCCTACAAGTCCTGAGCTCAACTTCTTGAAGACCCTTCAAGCACCTACCGAACGATGCGTAAGACCCTCCATCGCCGATCCCTTCACAGCCCTTCAACTGCAATTTCCTCAGCTTCTTGCAGCTCCGCCACAGCCAACTAACTCCCCAGTCCTCACTGGAGACCCCAGATAAGCAGAGGCTCTCAAGCCCTAACTCAGCCTCAAGCTCCACACTTTCAAGAACCCCATAATCACCGTTTCCCCGAAACTCACCCTCCACGCAATCCCCAGATGAGACCAGCACGGAGAGCTCCTTGAGAGAAGGCAACCTGACGACCCAACTGAAAACCAGAGGCCTAGAGAGAGAAACGGTGAGGTGGGTCATGTGGGCGCAGGTCCTCGAGAGAGAGAGCAGGGAGAAAACAGAGACCGGACCGGCCAAGAACTTGAGGCTCCTGAGCCGCGCGCAGTGGGAGCAGAGCAAGAGGAGGAGGTTGTCGGAGAAGGCCCCGGAGGAAGGGTCGGAGGAGAGGACGAGGGAGAGGGAGGAGACCGCGGGGTAGTTGGCGAGGAGGGAGGAGAGGGCGGGGATGAGGGCGGCGCTCGGGGCGAGACGGAGGGAGAGGGCAGTCCTGGACTCGCGGTAGAGGCGGAGCCACCGCTTGGACACCAGAGGCACCGCAGAAGACGACGGCGACGATTGCGACGACGACGGCGAGAGGCGGGTGAAGATTTCCTGGAGAAGCTCGTCGCACAAGACGTTGTCCATGTTCCACCTCTCTCTGTTTCCTCTGCTCCTTCCTTCTTCTCCTTCCTTCTTCCTTCCTCTTCTTCTTCTTCTTCTTCTTCTTCTTCAGTTGAATTGTGTAGTGCTTCGTCTGCGGTGGGGAGTTGAAGCAAAGAATATCGAAGCTGCAAGAATCTTCGCCCCTGTTTCTGATCCCTGCAGAGATATAGAGAGAGAGAGAGAGAGAGAGATTGATTAGGTGAGATGGAGACAGGGGAGAGAGAGAGAGAGAGAGAGAGATTGCCAAGAAAAGAAAAAGAAAAGAAATGAAAAAAAAAATGTGAACTTTTGGAGCGCGTGAGCGATGGATGGAGTGAAGAAAATGTCCACCACGAAATTAATTAAACATATATATTTTATTTTTTTTGGAGGGGATGGTCTTGACTTGAAGGTTTGGTTGACATTTAGGTGGGCTCCTGGACGTTCATCTCTTGATCTCTATTTTTATTCAAAGGAATGTTTATTCTTTTTTTTTTTTTTTTTGATGACCCAGAAACCCCCGCACGGCCGACAGCCGGAGGGGTAAACCTGGGGTGACGCTAGCGCAGGACCCACCACCACGGCGCCACACTTAAGAATCCCTAACGACTAGGCTGGGGTTCGAACTCCGATCCCTTCGTGGGGGGACAAGAGCGCAAGCCAACGCAGCCGCTGCGGGCGGTGGTAGGAATGTTTATTCTTTGGTGCTCGCTTTTCTTCTAATTTTATTCGTTGATTTAGCTTCACTTTTTTTTTTCTAACTTCCCTTTGTAAGATGGAGCTTTCAAATGGAGGCGAGAGCTCGCTTCCTTATCCCTCGCTACACAATAAATTTGATATCGAGAGAACATTAATTGTTTAACGTAACGAAGATTGAATAATGGGGTTACGGTTCCGGCTTCTTGGAACATCCGACTTCGATCCGGGTTTCATTTAAAGCTCATCGAAAGATGAATCCTTGATGCGTAAGTTAATTGGGAAAATAACGCAGATAGTCCTTGGACTTCAACGTGAATCCTGAACTTTTAATTTATTCAATGTGGTTCATGAACTTTAACTCGATGTGGTCTTTAAACTTTTAATTTGTTCATGTCGTCCTTCAACTTTTGGTCTATATTCAATTTAGTCCCTGAACTATATGAAAATATTCAATGTGATAACATTAAACAGATTAAAAGTTCATGAACCATATTGCACGTTTAACTAAAGTCCAGAGATTGTTTGTGTTATTTTCCTCGTTTAAGTTATGCATTGAGGATTGATCTTTTCGATAAGCTTTAAATGAACCCGAATCGAAATCAGACATTCGCAACGAATTGTCCGCTCAGACGTTCAAAGAAGCCGGAGGCTAACTCGTTATTCAAGCTCATGGACAACATTGAACATTTTTCATATAGTTTAGGGATTACATCGAACATGTACCAAAAGCTCATGGACCACATCGAACAAATTGAAAATTTAGGGATCACATTAAACATTAAGTTAAAGTTAAAAAATTACATTGAACAAATTAAAATTTAAAAATCATTTTACACATTTAATTAAAATTTAGGGATTATTTGCGTTATTATCTCATCTTAATTTGGACTATAAAGGGGGCTTGGGGGTTGGAGACAGTTGGCCGGTGTTTTTCTCTGCTCCGCCTTAAATGCACACGCCGACAAAGCGAGTGGAAGCAATCTCCAATTGCCAGAATGCAAAAAGGAACAAACCTCTAATGCCGAAAAAGAGAAACCAACATCAAGATTTTATTTTCATTTCTATTTTTCATGTTTTGCAATTTTCTCTATATTTGGCCAACCTTTTCTGGTCCCTGGTTGGAACTGTTTTTGGAATCTGTAATTACGAGAAGGAACTACGGAGAGAAAAGGACCCGTCTATACTACACACTCTGTTTTGATGCAGAAAACGACCATATAAAAGTCGAGATGCATTTTCTATGATCGCCTGATCTGTAATTAAAATCCAATAATCAGTGTTTATGCATAATCTCATGATCTGCGATTAAATTCGATAAGAATCACCGCTGATTCACCAGGCTTTGCCAAAAGTGTGCATCGGAACTTCGAGATGATTTCTACTGTTGCGACGCGGGGATGATATTTATGAAGTCCCATCTTACTTCAATAAGGAAAATGTTAAAAGGGCGTCTCGAGTCTTACTTTAATGTGTTTTGAAGATTTGAAATTCACGATTTGAACTAAGTGAATTCATTAAAAGAGCTTTGAATTGGGGCGTATCAAAGTGCCTTGGACATTATATCAGAGGAAACATCAGTTCCCTTCTACTATCGTCCCTCTAAGAAAGAAAGCACCAACCAGAAAAAGAGAGAAGAACGTCGCACTAAATCGTTAGTACATAACACGAACTCGCGCACAAAGTGGGGAAAAAAGACAAGAAAGAAAGACAAAACCGTGATTATACCGAAATTACGAGAAAGAAATCCTGGAGAACTGTCGAGAATCAAGATCCACCAACAGCGAATGGCTACATAAAGATACTTTCAAAATGTTGGTGACAAGGCGAGACAGGACAGGCACTCAAATTGTCCACTGGTTAAAGGGCAAAAGAACCGATCCTTTAGGCACGATGAAAACCAAAACCTAAGAACAACAACGAAAGGACGGTGTGGAATCCCAACATGTCGATAAACATCACTGACATCAGGGTGGGGGAAAAACAAAAGAGAAAGCAAGTCACTGTATGAAGATTCTGCCCAACCTTTTCCAACCATTTTTAGTTGCAGGGGAGGCATCCTATTTCTCTTTTTCTTTTTTCCCCCTGTTGGAGGCAGAGCATACACTGCGTCAGTAAGGAGGCTGGTTAATATCACACGTCTCCCTTTTACATCAATTTAGCAATTTTAAGGAAGTTAACTAAGGTCCCACCAAAGGCAAATAAAGCAGTAATTAAGAAGCAAAATCCCAATTTTAGCAGCTGCACCAAAGCAACAGAGACACCTTCAGTTATTCCCTTTAATCTTAAGTTTACTCGCGATAAAGGTATGTCTCAGCAGCATCCGTTTTAAGTTTTCGGGACTAAGCATGTCACCGACATACCTAAAAAAGTATGCCTCTATGTCGTAGAGGCGTGGGCACTTGTCAAGTGCAGTAAAAGGAAAGGAGCGAGGGAATGCTAAACTAGAACTCTATAGGTACACTAGTGAGAAGAACTGAAGAGTTAAAACCCATCATGTCTAACAATAAGATACAAACGAACAAAATGCAGATCCCATTCTAATGGGATTTGCAGTGGAAAAGGCATACAAATAAAGAGCAGTTATGATGGTCTGACTGTTGTTGAAATTACCTGTTGATCGGACAATTCACCCCACGGCACAACTATTGCGGATCAAATTGGTGCAAAATCTCATGATCCACACAACGCAAACTCGCCCCCAAGAAGCTCTTTAATAACGACATAATAAATGGGCGTCTCACAGGAAAATCTTTCTGCTCATGAGACCTTGACCTTGTAGCTTGGAAACAGGTCAGCTTGACCAAGAGCTAGAACTTGAACACAAAGACGGATGTTGATCGCCTTACCCTCCTAAATGCCATGTCTAACCGATAGTGCATGAGAAAATTTTACCCAAATGCCATCACGGGTGAAGTAATATTTGCACGCATAGGAGCCAGCATGGTAGGTGAACCATACCAAGGAAAAGGTATGTTGCACTGTTCCAACTCCAGAGGGACTCAACCCAGCACCAGAAGTCCACAATATTGATGCCATCAAAACTGCCGAATGTGCTCTTCATTATGTAATAGGTGGCAGGAGGAAAGCCAACAAATGCCAAGACCAAATTAAGAGCAGCCCTAGCTAGGTTTTTCGAAGTCCCTGCTCTAAGGTCAAGCTTCAGGGGTTGAACCATCAAACACATAGGAACCATCAGTAATGCCCCAAATTCTGCCGTGGCAAAATTTATAACTGACATCAGACATAGACCAATGAATGCAGCTGAAATAGTTGCTGATTTCAGAAGCGCCCACTCGTGCTTATATCCTTCAGTACCACTGACACCGGCAAATGGAGACCCCAGAAGAAAATATGGAAATAGGAGGCAGACTACTAAGAACAAGCCCCAGACGGCTAACTTTGTTGCCGGGGTCAAACTGGGTGTCTGACTTATAAAGTATGGAAGCAATGCAACAGTAGTACCCCACAAGTGTACAATAAGCACCTTTTTTATTGCCTTAATCCATCTCCATGACCTTGCACCGATAACAAGCTCATTGACTGTGGCATTTGGAGGAGAAATACTTTTGGCATCATCTAGATTCGTATCCAAGCAATTGGCTTTAGAATAGAGAGAAGCTGCTGCGACTGGAAGCGGCGCAACAAGGAGTGCAAAAGCAATCATGTAGACTCCTACCGACACAAACTTACTAGGAGATGTCAAAAGGTACAGAAAAAATGACTGGTGAAACTTCTCCAGAAGGTTATTTACAGAACGTATAACTCCTTCAATCAACCTGGATCAAGCAAATAGAGAACTTCATGTGAACTAATAAATTGATGTACCTTTCATATATGAATTTCACAATAGCAAGACACACATATAATTATGATAATAATTCTTGCCAACTTTGTTCAGTAAACTAAGTGAGAAAGGACATGGACGGAATGACAGAGATGGAGATAAGAAGATAAAGGAAATTAATATTTATTTGATATGCACATAGAAAGAAAGTGATGTCAAGGGAAGTCAATTTTGTGAACAGTCTTTATCATCCTTTGCCTTATGCACCCTTCAAAAAAATGTAACGGTAATTATAGAAGAAAAGTGCAAAATTTGCATTTCTCTTACCTCTCCACCTCAGGATACTATTCAATTTTTCCTAGGTCCATTCGTTTTACTTTCCTCAATCCAACCACATAACAAGCTGAAAAGGAGACTTGCTATCCATTCCTAGTTTGATGCTAACAGGACCTCAAAAACCAAGCACAAAGCTTCTCAAGTACTAATAGTGCCCATTAAAATGTAAAATTTACTTCTTGGAATAAATGTCAACAATTCTAAGCTGCGGAAGATGATTCTGCCATATATACTAGTATTGTCAAATAATCATGCTCTAGTTTGCTGTTCTTTTGCCGCTGTGGACTTGATCAAATAAGCAAGCCTCAAATTTCCTAACAGTTCTCTTAGAAAATTCATTAGAAAATCAAAAGTGAACTTCTAAACCTCCTTAACCACATCTTTCAATGCACATGCATGCACAGCATCACATACAGGGCCACAAAGGATACAAGAGAGTTCTCCAGCAGAACACCCAAATTCAGCGCAAGTTTCTAACATTTCATTAAATTTGTGAAAGCACCAAGAACAATCCTCATTCTAGGAAGGGCTTCAAACTTTAAACTTTAGAGAGAGATTTTTTAACAGCTCTTCAAAATTGCAGAAATAAAGAGATATAGAAGATACCGACCGGCCACCTCGCAAAATAAAATCCTTGGTGCCGCCCTTACTAATAGAATAATGTCTTGGTGAAAATTCCAGGGTGACAGCATCAACTTGGTAGTCACGAAAAGCGCCATGAGGTCCTGTAGGAATACCTAATGCCTACAGATAATTCATTGACAATCATGAATATCTTTCAGGTTCATCATGTTTGAAATCATGTTGATGAAAAGTCATGCAATAGAATATGCCCTCCGCGAAAATGACAGCACGATGTTTTCATACTCTCATAGCACAAATTCAGAGACACCTCCATTTGATACGACCACAGAGTAAGTAGTAAGGTACTATGAGAAGAAATGCAAAGAGGGCATTTGAACAGCCATGGAGATAGATACCTGGTAATATAATGATCCGATTAGTGTGGCAGTACCATCAACATAATCAGCAGCAGGGATACCAAATTTCCATTGAGGGTTTAATTTTCTGGCAATTGAACCCAATGACTCCAGTACTTCAGCTAAGAAACTCAGCCATTTGGTGTCAAGCAAAGAAAACAATTTCCTCACTTTAACACGCAAGCCATGTTTATGCACAGCTAGATAGTTCACGATATTGATGAGGTCAAGGTTTGGCATCTGGCCATTTGATGCTTCAGCATAAACGCCTAGGCTGTCCTCAAATGGCTCGGTCCTATCCACAACCTTCACAACCAAGGCAGCAGCCATTGTTCCAGCACGTCTGAAATTATCAGGCGAGCTTACGTCCATTGCCACATTCTCCTTCACATCATGATGCGTTGTAATATCACCACACGTATGGGCATTATCAGCACGAAAACCGCTAAATACGGGTGAGTGATAATCTCTTAACCATGCAGCAACTGCAGCATACTCCCCACACTGTGAATCCGCAATAAGCCAAATAATATCTTTGGCCAGCCATGTAACCTGACTAAGCAGGGAAAACACAGAATATGCAATGCCTAAAGATAAACGATCAGCCAGACCAGCATTTATATAATTATAAGGTGTCACCAAGACAATAGCTTCTTTCCCATCACCACGTGGGGCTCTAACTATTCCAGTAACACTGACACCATGGCAAGAGCAATTAATGTTTTCCTGAACAATTCCGGTATCAGGGACAGAAAAGAAGTGCAGTGGATGGAACCGACTCAAGTCGGGATGGAACTGATGATAACCAACTTCTGCACCCAAGTCGGATATGTATCGCCCTATTAATCTCTGCACTCTGCGTAAGGCAACAATATAATCAACCAAAAGTAGCAACTGATTTATATTCAAAACCCTGTATGTTCCCTTTCATTTCTCTTCTGGAAAGGATCAGATTGAAGTTTCATTGGGTTATCAATACGAACCAAGAAAGATGAAGATGAAGATGAAGAAGAAATCAGAAATCAGAGAACGTAAGGATCAATTATAACTATAATAATTTGGAAATGAACAATCTTAATAAGAAAAAGATAAAACTAGAAACTCTAGAAAGTCGCGTGACAAGCAAGTGATGATGGGAAAAGAAACCTATTATTTTAGTCTTAAAAAACAACATGCCAAACAAACATTGAAATCCATAGGAAATGTGGCAACTGGATCCTTTTTATACTATTTCACAGGGGCTTAATTTGCTTTCTTTTCTGATGAGTGAATTTATTAATTAACGATATTGTTCTAGTACATTATCGATATGCAAGAGCAGGAAGAGATGGAATGAAAAGTAAGACATACAAAACAACATAAGAAGTGGACAGATCAATGGAAGAATTCTGTAGCCACTCTAAATCAACAAGGACCAAAGAGGATAGGGCTCAGGGACGGGTCCAAGGGGGGCCAATTTTTCTTAAAAGCCCCACACAGTGACGGTTTTTTGCCCCGTACTAAAAGGTATATCTCTCAATATCTCAAAAAATAGGACTTTTTTTTGTAGATCTATCTGGTCTGAAATATTTCCTTAATCGAGATTTTTAATTTAATCGACAACTATTATCTAAAAAAATCCCTTCCGTATCAATTTTCTTCAGTATCAAGGCCAGAACTCTTTCTTTATGAGAACAATCCATGCAAGCATGCGAATGCAGCATGACTAGTTCACAGAGCCTCGAGTAAAATGATTCAAAAAAACCTCTCAAAAATCAGAAGCTAGGCGTGAGGGAAGCACGTACATGCCTGCATCATTTGATTTGGAGCTCAGGTCACTTAACTCGTTCACCAATCTATTTGCATCTGACGCTTCCCGATTCGAAAGCGTTGGACTCGCAGAACCTACAGAACAATGCAAATGAAAACGTGCTCCACAAGGTCAACAGATAATCACGTGAGTTCGTCTCAGTTAGAGTGTGCTATTTGCTAATTGCACGATGAAGAGAAGTGTAGTACTGCAACTCGCATCGACCCTCATAGGAGGAGGTCAACAACGAGAAGAAGACAGCCTAAAACGAAAACACTAGTCTAAAATTTCAGTCAATTAAATTCACGGAGAAAGAACGAGGATTGACCTGGCATGAGGGCATTTTCTGAAATGTAGGTGTTCTTGGCGAGAATCGGCAGCAAGAGCAGAGCCAAAACGCCAGAAACGCAGCAAGCGACACTGCGAAAATCCAAGAGGTCGAAGCGCATGAGCTCGCGCTCGTGAATGAGTCGCCGGAACAGAACCGCGCAAATAACGACGAGCAGATAATCAAGATTGAGCGCTGGTGGCGGTACCTGACGAAGACGCTGTGAGATATGAGCAGAGTCCCCAGTCGAACGATCGGCCGAGGCTTCGCCTTCGAGGTCTCCGGCTCCGCCATGATCGGAAGCGAGGTCCCCGGAGGCCGGCGCCGGCGATCGGGAGAGTGTCCGATTGAACGGCGATCGGAGCTTTTCCGGTGGGTGGCTCTGTGCTCGCTGATTGCAAGTAGCGGAGATCGGTGCAGAGGAAGGAGGAGAAGAGCACGAGCTGCAAGCAAGAGGAATGCGAGAGAGACGGATCGATGACTTTGGGCTCGATGGGCCGGGGAAGATCGGCCCGTTTCAGTGCGGGGGGCTTTTTATATCTAAGGTCTGTTTAGTGTTTCAGTGCGGGGGGCTTTTATATCCATGGTATGTTTACTAACGTTTTTGTTCCTATAAACAATTTCTGTTCATAAATAATTTTTTTCTATTTTTATTTTTTAGATGAGTTTCTAAACAAAAAAACGCATTTAGTAACTACACAAAATTTCTATTCCTAGAGTAGAAAAATAACAGAAATGCGTTTGGTAGGACACTAAAAATCTCTACTCTTTATATTTTCATTTAATTATAAAATTGTTGATGGAGACTTAACGATTCATGTTTGGATAAAATTGGATTAGAAATAGAATAAGAATATATTATGATATAGAATTTCATATCCTTAATACAATCATAAAGAAAATTACTCTTTATAGACAAAGCAAATACCGAGTAGTGGTCGAGAAAATTACAGTTTATGGGACTTAACAATTCATGTTTGGATAAAATTGGACTAGAAATAGAATAATAATATATTATAATATAGAATTGGATGATCTTAATACAATTATAAAGAAAATTACTTCTTATAGACAAAGCAAATACCGGGTGATGGTTGAGGAAATTGCAATTTAGGACGTAGGATTTTAGGATTTGGGGTTAGGGGTTAGGGTTTTACAATTTCGGTTTTAAGGTTTAGGGTTTGGATTTTAGGATTTAGGTTTGGGGTTTAGGTTTTAGAGTTTCGGGTTTTGAATTTAGCGTTTTCAGGATTCGGGTTTTGGGTATTAGGGTTTGGGGTTTTGCGGTTTTGCGTTTTAGGATTTAGAGTTTGGAATTACGATTTTAAAGTTTAGGTTTTAGGGTTTCGGGTTTGGAGTTTTGGGGTTTAGGGTTTAGTGTTTCGGTTTTGGGTTTGGGATTTTAGGGTTTAAAATTTGAGGTTTAAAAGGTTTAGGATTTGGGTTTTAGGGTTTCGAGTTTTTGATTTTAGTGTTATGGGTTTTAGGGTTTGGGTATTGAGATTTAAGGTTTTGTGGTTTAGGGTTTAAGATTTGGGGTTTAGGATTTAGTACAAGAATATCTCGTGAAAGAAAGAGAGTTAATCTTGTTTCTCTATTGTTTTTCATTTTGTTCCAGAAAACAGAAAAGCAGATTTTTTTTACTTCTTATTTCTATTCAAACTCTATTCCCTAACCACATTTCTATTCCGGGGAACAAAAAAATTAAATGACGTTACTAAACAGATTTATGTTCCTTTTCTCTTTCGGAGAACAAAAACACAGAGAAATAGAAACGTTACTAAATAGGCCCCTAACAATCCGTATAGCGTGGGCTAATATAGACTCAACAGTACCTGATAATCTCCCTCGGATTAGCTTACTAATAGGTTCATTTGAGCCACCAAGTTCTTGCTTAGACTAGAATATCCACAACGGGTCAATTAAAACCGTTGATCATGTGATTTATTATATAATCACCGTTTGTGATTGAATTGGTTTCACGAACTACCTGGTCATAAATAGTTTATCCTTTGAGTCTCACGCGCGCGTCAGCTTCCGTGCGATCGGCATCTGCGTTCACATTGAGTTTGTAAGACGATAATTTATCTTTTTGAGTGTCGTGCCACATCGACCCCGAACGGAAGTTGTCATTGCCTCGTGGTCCCGGCTCCTCTCTCTCTCTCTTTCTAATCAATAATCTCGAGTCCGGAGGAAATGACTACCATCGCAAGGTGGCTTGTGCTATGGTTCACCTGGGCTATGGTACGTTCAGTCCAACGTTGCCTTGGACAAGGTTTGCCCCGAGCCGGGTAACACTTTATGCCTTCCTTTTCGCTATGGTCTCTAAAAAAATTAAAAACCACCACCACGTATGGTGCCACTAAACTGGCAATGCTGATCATTATGGAGGTGGTGCCCTTCATGTGCGTTGGCCGATGTCCCTCTCTGTCATTTTTCTAATGCATTTTATGTTGTTAACACGTGTTTGCTCAACATTCGACTGAACATTCCGTGCACCATATAAAAAACTCGAGTCAATCGTAACATGAAAAAGTATTTTGTGGCGTTCCACTCAATAGTTGGGCCAAGTAGATCAATAGAGGATCAACGGCGAACTATTTTGAAAAGTGTAAAAACCCTTAAAAGAAATAAAGAGACGTCTTTGAATTATGAATAAGAGAATAAGCACAAATAATGACATTATTTTTTTAGATAAACTTGTTACCATGCAATTCTATTTTATTTTTTTTGGGTCGGAACATATGGTTTGTGTTTCACACATTGCATGTCGCTCGCCCGATAAACATATTTGGTTTTAGGAATTGCGATGTGATCAATTAAAGTGTTGGGTTGGATCTAAATTACACACGAATGGATCATCCGTCGATATGATTACCACAGGGTAGACCTGTTAAATGGGTGGGTCGGGTCGGGTCATAAATGGTCCGACCCAAATTGACCCATTAACCCGTTTATGACCCATTTTATTTGTAATGTAAATATCCCGACCAATACCCGACCCGACCCATATTGCTAAAACACTTCTATATCTAACTCAATATAGGAAAACTTGTTTCTTATGACTTTTTTTAAAAATTATACTACTAAAAACATTTTCATACAATACAAAGTGAACAATTTTTATATATATTTTTTAAATTGAGGTTTTGTTTGTTTCGCAAAATATGCAACATTTTTATAAAATATTTTTCACGAAGTTATTATCCAAGAAAATAAAAAATTTTCTAGTGTTTGGCTGAAACCTAAAAATGAACTAGAAAATATTTTTCGACGTTTGGTATATAAATTCTGATTTGATTTTACTTCATGTATTCATTTTAATAATTTTTATTTTTTTAAAATTCAATTTTTAATAATTTTTTTTTTTATTTTCCTTTATTTTTGGCCCTCAACAGACCACCTGCCACAGGCGAGGATGAGCTCACCATAGGCTGGCGAAGCTTGAGCTCGAGCTTGCCCGAGGCCGGCGAGCTCGACGCTCGCTTGATTGGCGAGGCTGGCGAGCTTGACGCTCGCCAGATTGACGAGGCTGGAGCCTCGCTATAAGCCAACGAGGCAGAGCTCGCCCGATTCCAGCGAGGTCGTTCCTCCCATGTGGCCGGTAGCCGGCCATCGGCCGAAAATAAAGAAAAAAAAAGAAAAAGAAAAAGAATAAAAGAGAACAAAATAAATATAAAAAAAATTTCGATTTAAAAAAATATTTTTATAAAAAAGAGTGAGCCTAATGGGTGGGTTGGAAATGAGTTCCACACTCAATCCATAAATATTTATTTATGATAGGCTTAAAACTTTAAAATCTATTTAAAATAGGTTCTGCAAAATTGTATTGACTCATTTATAATTTATTTATTTTTTAAATGGGCCATATATGAATTTTAAGATCCATTTAACAGGTCTACCGTAGGTAGACAAGAATCTTTTTACCCCGCTAAAAAGATAACAATGTAAAAAAAAAAAAAACAAAAAGATTCTGGAAAAAGGCGCTCCTCCTTTACACAAAGCGAGAAAGCACGAGAGAAAAGCTGCAGCGACGGTCGGAGCCACCTGCGTTCACGTCACAGCCAACCAGAACTCGCCACGTCACGACGTGTCGCCAGCCTCTCCTTTCCCTCCAAAAACCCCCTATGGCCAAACCCCCTGAACGCTAGGGTTTTTCCATCTCCGAGCTCGAACTTGCCTAAAGTACCAACGTCGAGAGCACCTGCAAATCGTCTCCTCCGTCTCCGTTTCTCCGCGGAATCACATGTAGCGATCGCTCATCGGTGCGCAGGTACGGTTTCACTTCGCAATGCCGCGGTCGATCCCGACGACGGCGACGGCGATCGGTCCGCCGTGGCTGTGGCTGTGGCTGCTGCTGCTGCTGACGGCGGCGGCGGCGGTGGAGCGTGCGTCTTCGTACGTCAGCTCGGGGCCTCACCTCGCCGACGTGAACATCCTCTTGCCTCCGAGGATGACGCATCCCGTGGAGTACAGGCTGCAGGGGAGCGACGGTTGCTTCAAATGGTGAGTGCATTTCGCGTTCGCTAATCACTGCTTCTTGTCGGTCCGTTGGTTTATTTAGCTCTGTTTTAGCTCAGTGTAGTTCTGACGGTGTACCAGCCAAGTTCCAAGGTCTATGCGCGGAAGAAAACAGTAATGTGGTAGCATGTTTCTTTCAATTTATCCATCATTTGCAGTTTTCGCGAATATGGGTTTTCAATGGAATTTCCATTTGTTGATTGAGGAAGAAACGGGTGCTTCTGTGTCTGTCCGCACTGCAATAGCAAACCGCACTGGAAGTTAAGAGCATACAGTTTGTATCACCTTACCGACTGCACAGGCCTTGCTAGCAAAATACTCTCGAGCCCTCGGATTGCTAGCTCGAGACTGTAAATTGGCTTGACTTGGCATTTAGTTTCTGCAGATATGTTGACAGAAAGTGTAGCCTCTTGGCTTCTGTTAAGTAGCTCTCATGTTGTCGATTTACCTTTTAATTGTATTAGCTCATTGGAGGACTAGGGAGGCAAGGGGAGAGAATAACGCAATTAAGAAAAGAGACTGGTGAGCATTGCAACTGTGGAGCAACTTGTCATGCCTATTTAGGGATGATGCTAAGGGGAGTAGATTAACTTTGATTCTGGAATATTTGCGAGTCCTATAATGTTCGAATTATGTGCAAGTGACAAATCACATGTTACGTGATTGGACAAATGGTGATTTTTCTGCTATTAATTCTTTCCAGAATTAAATAGGAGTTACTCACTGTTGAAAATTGTCAAAGAAGACGCTAAACATTGCATCCTTCTACAGGACATGGGATCATCATGATATTTTATCCGTTCTGCCCGAATATAACACGAGCAATCGCTGCTCGATCAGTGCACGGATAAGGTCAATTGCGCCGTACAATGGTCGAAAGGAGACTGCCATATATGCCACCGATATTCACACGGGGATTGTAATTCGATGCAAAGTTTTCATAGACATTTTCTCCAGAATCCAGATATTTCATAATTCTATCAAACTTGACTTGGATGGCCTGGCCACTCTTCGTGTTCGTGCTTTCGACAGTGAAGGTATTGGAAGTTTTAATTGTATCCACTCATGCTTCACTAAGAAGGTCCTTTATAAGATCAATAATTTCAGAAAATTAATATCTTATTCTCTACATTTTTTTGTTGACTAGTACATGGTTACATTTTGCTGCCTAAATCCTGGGAATCATATTTTAATTAATACCCTCACTAGTTTTGTTTTTATTAGTGTTTTGTCCATCCGTGTTTGCTTGGTTATTTAGTATGATTGAGAACCTTAGAGTTCTTGGAAGTAATAACTTATATGTTTCTCTTTGTAGTTTCATTTCTGTTCAATTAAACTTGCTCTTGGTTACAAGTGACTGCGAAGAATCATTGCATGCAAAGGCATGCACATTTTTTATTAGTGAGCATGCGAAGTTGTGAGGCTAATTTGACTAGATGGTATTGTTGATGCATTCTATATGCTCAGCCTAAATATTTAATAGAAGCTTGGTACTTATTCTGTGTCGAATCTGTTTTATCCCCCTTTTTAGTGACAGTATTGTAATTTGAATTATTTTCCTGCATAAAGAGGACTTGGAGCTCCAAAGTATTTTCAATTTACCTTCAACTTCTTTGATTTACTTATTTTGAAAGTAGTTTTGTTCGGAGATTAGGAAACCCACTAGTGGGGTTCTGGCTGTTCCTTTATAGAGAGGTGAGAAAGAGTATTCTTACAATAGGTGACTTCGAAATTATCTTGATGACCACTGACCTGCAGTTGTGGATGTGTCTCACTTAACCAGTGTTCACGGTTTCGAAATGGAGAGAGAGAGAGAGAGAGAGAGAGAGAGAGAGAGAGAGAGAGAGAGAGAGAGAGAGAGAGAGAGGTTCTGCCTTTTTGTAGCACGGTAGAGAAGGGGCAGCAAAGTAATTGTGCGTTATGAGTAATGGAGAGTTTACCACTTTTAGTTCGAGGATGCAATGCCCATACTGCATGTTTTCAACAGTAATTTTCTACATTTATTTTCTCAACTAGAGTTTTAGGTGCCTGGATCTGTGTATTTGAGGGCGCAGTTATGTGTGGATAGATTGGTAGATAATGCATGCACGATCTCATTGCTTTTTGTACTCCCAATCTAAAGTTGTTTCACTTTTGCAGAGAATGTCTTTTCATCCCTAGTGGGTTTACAATTCATGTGGCTGCTGACACCTGAAACCAACGGATTCCCTCATCACCTTATTCATGTCCCTTTGAAAGATTCTCCACTGAGTGACTGTGGTGGAATGTGTGGTGACTTAGATATCCAGATAAAACTCGAAGATAACGTAAGATATCTACTTGTTGACAGGAGACTGATTCATGTGACTGCATGCGAAGTTTCGCACCTAATGTATCTCTATGAAATCTGCAGGGGGTGTTTGCGGACTTTTTTGTGGTAAAAGGAGTTGGGATTGGCCATGAGATTGTTTCGGTGCATTTGCTTGAACCTGAATTAAAGCACATGGCTGATAAGATTGTTTTAACTGTAGCGGAAGCCATGTCAATCGAACCTCCTTCACCTGTTTATGTTCTAGTTGGTGCTTCTGTTCATTACATTCTGAAAATTGTCCGTGGAAATTCTCCTCAAGGTTGTCCTACTATTAATTGTTATTTCCTATTATCTACTGTCATGTCCGAAATGAATCACCAGATATTTTTTCCGCATAATACATTACTGTATATGCCAACTTTTGTCTATAAGAAAGGTTTTACAGACAATTGCACCAACATGATGCCAACTTGTAAAAGATTAATTGAATGGTATCTGCAAAATCTAAGATTTCATGCATTTTTAAAACTGAGAGTATCACTATCTTATCTGTATATGAGGAAAAAGGTTGCTCTTGATTAAGATTCTCCCATCTCTTTCTCTTTGATGAGATTTCGCAGAAGTCAAGAACACTGTATTTGCTCTTTTCCTTTATAACCCTAGTGTGACCGAAGAGATACATATAAGTGGACTAGCTTGATGTTAAGCTTGTCTTCGAGCATTGCGATCGACTGTCTCAGCTTCTTGTTGCATAGAGAACTCGTATTGATTGATATCCTCCTTTTCCCGGTGGTTATAAGTAGTTAACATAACTCACTGAGTAGCTTTTCCTGCAAAGACGCTGCTTTTTTATGTTTTTATTCTAACAAAATAATTTACCGGTAAAATTCTGTAGGCTTTTAATCAATCTGTCCTTGTAAATTGCATGGTTAGATAATATTGGAAATGTTGGGTATCTATCCTTGGTCAATTTCCTTCCAGTGATACCTTCCTCGGATGTTTTTAAGTCGTGAAACTTTGCTAAGAATTTAGATGTTGTCTGACTCACAATCTCGCATGTCTGTAGCAAATAGATTCCAAGTCGACTTAAGTCTTTACAACATCAATCCTGACAGACAGATGTAAGCGTCTTAGTGTCCACTGTGAAGCTGGTCAAAGGAGGAATATCGAATTTTTCCATCCTGATAGACTCTACAGTCATATTATCGGTTTACTTTGCATTACTCTGCTTTACCACTGCAACAGTCACCAATAAAACATTTGCCAGGGAGAGCTGTTCTAGAACCCTGAAGGTCTGTGATTCTCAGAAACCTCCACTTAGAGGTGTTGGGCCACTTTTAAGCATGTATCAGTTAGATGATTGGTACTGCCTCCTACTATGTCATCTGAAATACTTAATATATTCTCAGCCTCCATTCGTATTTTGGAATGAGATACGTAATGGCATGGGGCTTTTGCACAGGCTCCTAAGACTGTCTTTGATTTGTAGTGTCTTTGTCACTGTCTTGGATTTATAGTGTCTTTTTCACTTTTGGCATGTTGTGTAGATTAAACAAATAGAGAAGCGTCCTCGAAGCTCATTTTGTGGTCTTCTATTTCTTTCCCTGACAAATTTCATCTACCATTTTCATTATTTAAATTAGATACGGTGGTTTGTTAGGAGCATTTTTTTGTTTGCATTAAGTAGAAAATTAACGCCATTCTCTTCTGGTCTCACCACATTATAATTGTTTTATATTTATTTTTTATTGCAGTGGTATCTTTACCATCTCCTCACTACCGGTGGTCAACCCTAAATTCTACGGTCGCTCATGTGGACCCTATAATGGGCGTAGCTCATGCAAAAAATTTGGGGATCTCAACTGTCATTGTCGAGGATACAAGGGTTGCTGGACACATGCAAGGGTCATCACTTAATGTAGTCGTACCTGACTCCATAGTTTTGTACATATTACCTTTGTCTAATAATTGGGAACCTATAGAAGGTATTGAGGCTATTCCATCTGTCACACGATGGTATATAGTTGCTGGCCATCAATATGTAGTTCATATAAAGGTTTTGTCACAAGGACCTGGCTCACAAGAAGTTTACATCACAGAGGTAGGTAGCGCAGTTTTTCCTTAACTCTTGTTGTTTCTAAACATTATTGAGGTGTTTGTGCTTTGCCTAAGTGTTGATTTAGTCTAAGAAAAACTAAGTAGTCAACCTTCATTTCATATTTTGATTTTGTACATATATTTGGGCTCTGTAAGTGTTTTTGTGATGAGTCCTTTTTACTTTGTCGCAATCATTTTGTGTTCTCTGTGTTGGTGTGCTATTTGCTGGATATTTGGCTTTGTATTAGATTACTCCATCACATTTGAATTCTAATCCATATTGATATCCCTACGGAGAAAAGAGAAAGGAAAGAAGAGGGATTGAGATTGGCATCTGATGACCATTTTTTTTCCCGCTGTGCTATACACATTTTTATTCTTCCTTTTCTTTTGTGTTAATACTTTGCAGATTCTATTGGTTCTTTAATGGTGTTGTAGTTGTTCGATATATTGTGGTTTTGGTCTTGGGTTGATGAAAACGTTGTTCTTTCTGTGTAGAGTGACGATCTCAATTTGTATGACCACCACTCTGAGAACTGGGAAATATCTTTGGTGTCAGATGATATTATGGTGGAACGTGGTTGGCGAAATTCTAGAATCCTAAAAGCTGCTACTCCTGGACTGGGAAAGCTGACAGCTTCTTTAGCTTACTCTGGCGGGAGTCCTGGATCAAAGGAGGTCTCTGTCATTTAAACTAATCCAGAAACATCTCCTTTCTATGATATGTGCACTTTTATGTTCCAAAGAAGAAAGAGGAGAAGCTTTCTCATTTCAGGAACTTATTATAAATTAACAGTATTTACAAGGCTGAATTTGTTATTAGAAGAAAGAGGTAGCCCGATTTTATTGGTTTCGTCTTTCGTAGGTTCTCAAAATTGTGCAAGAAGTCATGGTCTGTGATAAAGTGACGATTATTCTGGACAAAAGAAGTGCTACCTCTGATGGTATTATGCTTCCCTGGGCCCCCGCCATTTATCAGGAAGTGCAGTTAAAGGCTGTAGGAGGTTTGAAGTTTCCTACCTGTTCTATTTCCTGGACTTTAATTAGGTGTGTCTGTTCTTGATGAACTAAGTTGACATTTATAGGTTGTGCAAAGGTGGTCACTGACTTCAAATGGTTTTCTTCGGACACGACCATTTTGTCTGTATCCACCTCTGGGGTTGTCCAGGCAAAGAAGCCAGGGAAATCAAGCATCAAAGTACTATCGGTTTATGATTCGTTCAATTATGATGAGGTATAATACTTAGTCTAATTGATTTGTCCCTTATTGTAATAAATCTCCCAATTTGGTGCCAAATAGTCCCTACTTTTTATTTCTGCATTTACATTGCTCGATGTCCGTCTTCTAGTATGGTGATTCTTACATTCATTATAGCATTCATAAAGACAGTTTTTAAATGATCTGGGAGTAATCTGTAGGGTACATGCTGAAGCTACACATTCTCATGGCTGAAATAGATTCCACAATTGCTACAACTAAAATTCTAAAGAAAAACTGCCTGACTAGACCTGTTGCATATTAGAAACCATGAATCCCTACAGGAAAGTTGACTTTCTTACTCATGCATGGTGTTTCTCTACCATTCATGTGTCCTGGTTTCGTTTATATCATGACCATGAACAAAGCCATGCGACTCGCGTTGTCTTTACCATGACCACGAACAAAGACAGTGCGACTCGTGTTGTCTGTAAAGATTGGTATTTAGACTGGTCAGTTCAACTGGTTGGACCAATAACTGGTTTGAAGTCTTGTCTGGCTCAGCGATCAAACTGCAAGTGATAACAAACCGGATTGAACTGGCATCAACCTGCTTCAACCTATTTTTTGGAAAGAGTGGGTAAGGTATGTACCTGCTGTTTTGAACCCGGTATCAAATTGTCCTTGGCCACAAGTTTCTCAGACTCTGACCCGTCCATCATTCTTGGTTATGGTACAGACAAGGATGTTATTATAGTCGGAGGAAGAAGTGTTAGATGAATGAATCTATAATTTGATGATTCTGACATGGTTCGAAATTGGGATATGTAGCCCTGGTGAGCATGCTTTGTATGCCCTCAATCACCAGGGGCCAAGCTTTTGCTTAAACCCCAAGTTCTTGCTTGAATCCTAAGTTCAGAATAACTATAGTTAACACTTTGAAGTTTGCACTGGACAAAATACTGGTGACTTGATCTAACAATTCTAGCATTTTGAAGTTTCACTCTAGACATGATCTCAATGCTATCTTAGTAGGCATTTCCTCATTGTATGTCCTTCTACAGGTGATTGTTGAAGTTTCTACCCCGGCTGCTATGGTTATGCTGCCGAACTTCCCTGTAGAGACTGTTGTGGGATCATACCTTAAAGCTGCAGTGACCTTGAAAGTGTCAACTGGTGATGCTAATTATCCCAGTCAGTTTCAATCTTATTTGATCGTTTTCTTATTATACCGCCTTGTTGAAGTTACCTGTCATTTGCAGGTTCACATTTTTATAAATGTGATGCTTTTGATTCCTTCATTAAGTGGAAGGCTGGAAGCGAATCATTCATCATTGTCAATGAGACTGGAGAAACAACTAAGGTCCAGAATATAATAGACGATGATGATGTCAAAGCCATGGTCAATGGTCCACCATGTTCCTGGACCTATGTTTATGCTGCTGGTTCAGGTCAAACTATGCTGCATGCTGCGCTGCCGAAAGAGTATCACCATTTCGATCCTTTCTCACATGGAACTACTGCTTTGAAAGCTTCTTCACGTATAGCGGCATTCCCACCCCTTGTTTTGCATCAGATCGGGGATGGAAACCAATTTGGTGGTTACTGGTTTGATTTTGCTCAAGTCGAAGCTGATGGACACTTGGAAAGTTTAGATAAAATATATCTTGTCCCTGGAACATATGTCGATGTTATGCTTCTTGGAGGACCTGAAAGATGGGATGGAGATGTCGATTTCATTGAAACTGTTGAGTGCTTGGATAAAGAACCTGCTAATTTGAAAGATCAAAATCTTGTTCAGCAGCTTCCTAGAAGTTATAGGAGTTTGTACAGAGTCTCATGCCAACTGTTAGGAACTTTTGTGAGTATCTGCATTTTTTCCTGGCTTTACGTTGTGGTTGTTTGACTTTAGACAATCACAATCCTTCTAGGAGAGGACCAATAGATTAATAAAACAAAGAGGCCTTGAAATTGAATAAACTGAACTGGACAAGAGATTTCGGGTTGAATTGATTTTGGTCAGGATTGGTTGCATGAAGTGAGGTTTCAAAATGGGTTCCTGGCGTTGACCAAAAACCTGAAACGATCTAAAACCTAATTATGCTCGTGTCTAAAATTCCATTATTCTTTCTTCACTTTAAATTATATTTGTAGTCGACGATCAATATCTAATTTAAATTTGTAAATGATGTTGCAAAACAATGCTTTAAGAAAAGGCTGCAAAGCAAAGCTGACAACACAACTTTTTTATGTTCGATGTGATTATTTCTCTGGTTTTGTTCAAGCAACGATATTCACATACGGGTTGCTCTGGACCTTTTAGCAAAACCAAAATAGCCTGGCCTATTGGCACCCCCAGATTTATCTTCTAAATAGTCCTCTTTGAACTCAGGATCTTGTCTTCAAACGTCGTAATTTAGTTGGTGATGACCATCCTTTACCAGCAATTGGAGAAGCATCTTTGTCAGTCATGTGTTCGTTTCCTTCCTCTATTGTGTTAATGGCAGATGAACCTGGTACGCATTAGCCTTTCAATTCACCTGTTGGTATGGATGTCTTGAGAAGTCCCTGAACATTCCATTTTCCACATTACAGCTAATCTGAAAGGTGCTATATTAACTGCTAGTCAAGCAGAACACACTCCAGAAAGAGTTCGTGCGACTCCTATTACCGTGGCAAATGGACGCACTATTCGCGTAGCTGCAGTCAGTATTGCTAGCTCTGGAGAAGTTTTTGCAAACTCATCTTCTCTTGGATTGAGGTGGGAATTGAGTAACTGTGACGAGCTGGCATATTGGTATGACAATGATGACGTGGAGAGGGCTCAGTCTGGCTGGGAACGCTTTTTGGTCTTGCGGAATGGATCAGGACTGGTACTGTTTGAACCCTTACATCCATCTTTCGGTTTATTCACAATATAGGCTTAACCTTGAATTTTGGCTTTTCAATCAGCAAATACGGTACACCGATTGCTGCTGTATTTCTTGTTCCCTTAAGGTTTTAGGTTCAGTATATCCTATTTTTGCAGAAATTGTCGGTCTAATTTTGGAATCAGGTTAGGCTTGTGCTCATGCATGGCTCTTTCTTTGATCTTTTCGCTGAATTATACCAGTAAAATATGTTTTTTGCGGGGACATACACTTACTATGATTTTTTGCATTGTCCTTACATTTGAAACCTGCAACAGATTGTAGTATATATATTTATGAGAATGATCTCCCTTTTATATGCGTATTACATTTGGGTGTGTTCCTGAGATTCAAATATATTGATTGTCAGTGCATTGTTCGAGCTACTGTAGTCGGATCTGATCAAATTGTGAATTCTGATTATCTTGGATCTGAAAGTTCTCGAGAAGTGCTCACAGATGCTATACGCTTACAGGTAAGCTCTTTGAATAATCTGAGCGCTCAAGGGGATACTAAAGTTGTTGCATTTATGTCACCGTTGCCTTTGTTTTTTGCTTTCAGAATCACCTGTAATCTGACCATACAAAATTTTTGTTCTGCATTCATTAAAACATGCAGCTTGTATCAACTTTGCGAGTTGACCCGGCTTACAGCTTGCTATTTTTCAACCCTCGTGCTAAGGTAAGCTAATGACTGCAGATTGTCCCTACTACATTCCACTTCCTGTTTTAAGTGGATCAACAGTCTTGAGTTATTTGAAGATGAAAGGTGTATGTCATGCATCTGTGGATTTTGGATATGTGAAGCATCATGTCCTAAGGAGGCAACCTTGTTAGGCAATAAGTTTAATGAGATCCATGAAAACTCCAACAACTACAAAATGTGGTCAGAAATAAACAAAAGGCACCTGTTCATTCTGTATGTGGATCAATGCTCTTAGCCAAATCTATCTTCCTGGATCCAGGCCCACTAATGCTCTGCCATACCTGGAAAATTGAATGGAGGCTTTAATAGCAAACATGTATTTATCGATAGGGTTATCTGCACGGTTCCCTTTCCTGATAATTTTTGGGCAGTAGCCTCCAACCTTTCGATTTTTTTGGAAATGCCACTTTACATTCATTTTTCTATCAAACTGTAGTGCTGTGTATGATCAATATATGCATCATCTTCAGACGAGCTGCTCCTAGTGCTGAGAGAAATTAAAAAATTCTAAAACCAAATCCTCAGAACTTCAGTTAAGCAAACAAAATGTGTCGTTTAGCATTTGCTTTAATTGATTCAAGCTATCATGTTGTCACTGTGTGTCAACTCAATTAAGCTTGTGAATATCTGTTCATGGTACAATGGATTGGCAATAACTCGAGATGATAATATGAGGGTTGAATGGCCTTCATCATAACATTGAGAGTATAGTCGCTGCATTTTGGGGCTATGCAAGTGAAATTGAAAATTGTGGTTTTATGCAAATATAAATTTAGGACATCGATTTTTTAACTTAGTCATTGTAAACCAAAAAAAAAAAGTACAGAAAAAAGTACATATGAATTTATATTTTGGATATATTAACTGCATATATAATTGAGCTCACTAATTATGTCCTATGATGTTAAAACAAAACAGCGAGCATTTAGACTTTCTTTACATGTCATGTCATTTCATGTTTTTCATTTTACATTCATTTTAAAGCAATCTCTCTCTCTCTCTCTCTCTCTCTCTCTCTCTCTCTATCTATCTATCATCTATCTATTGTATTGTTTGGGTTCTGTGTTTCCTTTCTATATATTTTAGTACAAATAAAATACTGGTACATTGACAATTGCATGATAAATGAAGAGTAACGTACAAAAAGAATTCTAGAATGCACCATGGCTCACAAGCTTGTACAACGGCATAGTCAACTCCAAAATCTGATATTTTCTTTGGCCTACGTCTAGTCAAGGTCTATTATGTATCAGTAAATCACTTTTAGTTTTCCAAACTGCCCGTTTGCTTTCTAGGATCCATTATTGAATCTTTTGAATATGTTTGGTCAGTGCCACGCAGTCAAGTCCTGCTTAACACTGAAAATAAATATGGTGAAAGAAGGATTGATTTATTATAACTTGGATGCTGCTTGATGCAACTTGTTTTATCTATAAGATTCAAACAATCTTTCTGTACTTATGGTGCTATTATTTCTATATTGAGGCATCACATGTGACTACACGGTTAATTTATTCCCAGTTAAATCTATCTATAAGTGGAGGCAGCTGCTTTCTGGAATCTTCTGTGAATGATTCTCGAATAGTAGAAGTTATTCACCCACCACCTGGATTGCAATGTTCGCAATTGATGCTGTCTCCTCGAGGACTTGGGATTGCATTAGTCACTGTTAATGATATTGGGCTTACACCACCACTCATGGCATCTGCCACGGTAAAGTTGTTTCTTTGAACCGTTTTCATGACTCATTTGCTGCTAGGAGATTTTCTGAGATTATGGTTGCTTTGTTAATATTTTTAGGATGTTATGTATTGTTTTCTGGAGGCATTTATCAAAATCTATGTTGCTTTGCGTGTGAATGAGCAATTGTCCCGAGGCTATACTTTGCAAGACTTTCTCAAGTTTCTATAACATAGAGCAATATATTTGGCCTTTGGGATTTTGTGAAGACAAAATTAGCTAGTTTGTACCGAGGATTTGAACCATGTAGTAGAGTTGCATCAAGAAGCTCAAGGGAGTATCGAGGAATGTACTCTGTCTAGGACTCCGGACAATTGTGTATGTAAAATTCTAACCTGTTAGCCCAGACAAGAAATAGAGACTTTGAACTCAATTATCTTAAGTTGACACTCGTGAAACTATTGTTGAAGTTCCGATAAATAAAGAACATTATGTAGTCAGAGTCCTGCTTGAGTGCATTATGCTAGCTCTAAGCTGTTCTGGAACTTTTAAGGTTCCGAGCTGTTTCCTCTGATTTGTCTTGGCCTGTCAATCTGTGCCTTTTCTTTTTGAACTTGTTGACTTTTAGAGTTCTTCAAAGCTTTGGAATCATATCTTTTGATCATTTAAGATGGTTCGGGTCATTTTAAGACATGCCACCAGCTATTTAGCTATTGGTATGCCTATGTAGGAGACTCAATTTGTAAGAAGCGCTGCACCGTTTTGTCTCATGTGATTCACTTGGAAAGAACAAAGATTGTTTGATGGTTCAGCTTCTTCTGTTGCTTCTGCATTGTACTCTTTTATTTGGCTTTGGTCTTCTTGTTTTGATTTTGCATAGTCTTGTGTTGTTTTTCTTTTGTTGGTTTGTTTTTGTCTCTTTTTCCTTTTATAGTTTTGTTTACTAGAAACTTTGTTGTTAATAAAATTCTGTGTTATAAAAAAAGGTTCCTCTAATCTGAATATCACATATCTTCCAGGTCCAGGTTGCGGATGTAGACTGGATTAAGATTACTTCAGGAGAAGAAATAAGCCTTATGGTGAGGCTCATTTGAGGACATTCCCTTGAGAATAGTTTGGTATTATATATAAACGTTATTCTTCTGTATACTCAGATAAATTTCATCTGTAATGTTCTTTATGTATCTCACAAAAAGAAGAAATTTCCTATGCAAAATTATCTTCCATCTTTGGGGCTTAATTTGTGAAGACAACTTATCTCAGGAAGGAAGCTCGCTATCTATCGATATAGTTGCGGGGACAAATGATGGAGGCTCCTTTGACCTTTCTCAGGTAAATCATGTACTTACCAAGCTGTATGCCATCTCTTATTTTGGCACAATTCTTGATGCTCAAGACATTAAATTTTCTATACATTCAAAAGGTACATATACGCACACAAATTATTCTCATCCCAGAGTCTGTTTGGGCAAGTATACTTATATTTTGTTCGAAACTTTACTACTACTTGGTGGTGCCCCTATTTCTATCACTGTTCTTCCCACTTAAAAAATGCAATAACTTAAGGTATGGGGATGGTGCAGTATGTTTACATGGATCTTCAAGTGCATATAGAGGATGACATAGTTGAACTTGTGGACGGTAATGATGACTCAAGCAGGGATGATGCTTATAAAGGTCCAAGTTTCATAATTATTGCAGAGAACATTGGAGTCACCACTTTGTATGTAAGTTCCTCTTCTGCATGGTGCAAACACATTTTTTCTTTGTTTATATCAACAGGTTTTCTTCATGTTGAACTTGAAATTTGGGAAGCTTACAAAAAAATTTGAAATCAGGTGAGTGTGAAACAGCAATCAGGACATGAGCTACAAAGTCAACCAATAAAAATAGAAGTCTATGCTCCACCAAGAATTCACCCTTATGAACTTTCTCTTGCACCAGGGGCATCTTATGTGGTATGTATCAGATTATTACTTGCTTGTTCTCTCTTTAATTCGCTTACATCACTTGAAATTGCAAAATATATTCAAGTTATGTAAGACAAGGTGAGAATGAATTTTACAAATATGGGAACTCTGCAAAAGATGTACTTAAAGGCGTGTTTACAAGATCAATTATGGTAAAGCAAGCACCAATAGTGAAATAAGTTGAAACATAATTAGATGTCTGTCCTTAAGTGGCCCCCAAAGTACTCTTTCTTCCCAACCGTGAATTTGATATGATGCATAAAGGCAAAAATATTCAAAAAGCATTGCCGGATTTCATTGAGTTATCCCTTCGCTAGGAAATTTGATTTATCAACAGTATGCAGTTTTAAAATCAAGCAACTTCAGGGTTACATTCAGAGTAGGAAAAATATGAGGCGACCTATGACATTTCACTTTTCTACGCAAGCAACGGCCCATCTCAACATAACCTCCTCCTTCAAGAACATAACCTTTCAAAGAGTAAGGGTATGTTGTATGTTTCATAGTCAATATGATGCAAACTATAGAAGGATATCATATACGGTATGATAAGAGTGGATAAGAAGCAGATCATACGATTCATATCTGCTGTTCAATGGAAGGATTTGCAAGTAGATATCACTTTTGGCAAGCACCCCAATCAGATTTACCATATTTCAACTGTAATAGTAGACTTATTGGGTATTCTGCTGTAAAAGGTAGGTAGTAAAAATGCTTTGTTAAGTGTCCTAGAGCATTTGTTTATCATTACTCTAAAGTAATATTTTTTTTTGGTAAGGACTCTAAAGTAATATTTATACTTGTTATACATAAAAAATAACTAACATGCAATACCATCACAAGATTTTGAAACTTGCAACCTTTCTTCATTTTTCGGAGCTCATTAGATGTGAGTTGTGAAATTCTGATGATGAAGCATTGACCAATGTGGCGTTTAGCCCGGTGGTAGTGAAGAATTGATGCGTGATGGAATCGTGGAGATGAAGCGACTTGCTGGCAGTGTGCTATAGTGGCGATGAAGTAGGAATAGTAGGAGTGCTGGCAGGAGTAGGGGAGGGATGAGGCTGGTAGTTTGAGTTCACATTTCATGTTGTGAATTCGTGTCAAGTAGTGGCATTAATATTTTATTTTTGTCAAACATGCTATATGGAGATATTGTGAATATGTTGATGAATATCTATTTTCATTGACGTGTCAATTCGTGTCAGAATTTGCCTCCCCCGGATGGTGGTGGTTGTGGAGTAATTGATACAAAGTCCAACCTAAAAGCTTAAGCTGATAGATAGTTTGAGACTACATGAATATAAAGAGCATTTAGAACCCTTGTCAAATGATGTGGGACAACAACCCCTCTCACGTGCAAAGCCGGATTACGAGCAGCATGTGGAATTTTGGCTACGCATGTTCACGTGGAATTTTGTTTTTTACCACGCACATTCGCAAAACGGATAGCATTGGCTCTAATACCATGTTAGAAAGTCCAACCTAAAAGCTAAAGTTGATAGGTGAAGGGAGACCACATGAATATAAAGAGCATTTAGGACCCTTGTCAAGCGATGTGGGACGACAGTAATAATTGTGTTGGTGGCAATGGAGGAACTGTTGCTCGAATTCAAGTTATATATATTATAATCCGAGTGTACAACCCCACGTCTTGATGCATTGACAAGTTGCTTGGAGTAGTGACTTGAGTTTGATTTAATCTGATGCAGTATCTTTCTATCCTTTTCTATCTATCCAATTTCTGTGATATGCAGTTGATTATCATGCATACCTTTCATTTGACAATACCACTTTCGTCTACACGTAGCTTACTGTCAGTGGTGGCCCAAAAGTTGGTATTCGCATAGAATATTCGAGTCTGGAAGATTGGATTGCAATTGTCCATAGAATGACGGGACGACTGTCTGCAGTTTCACCTGGGAACACTGTAAGTGACTATGGTAGGCTGATGCTACCATTGTTTTATTGGTATTGTTGGTGTGATTGTGCAACAATATATCTATGTGGATTGGAGCTCGACTAATGGATGTTTGACTTTTGTATTCTGCCTACTTGGGCATTCTTTTTGTAAAGTAGTTGTGACATTTGCACCATCTCAGTTCCACAGTCTTCTTAGACTTTGTTAAGAGAAATGTGGTATGTTAGTAAAAATTCTGAAAGTAAGAATTTGCCTAGAGAGATGATTCTGCTTAAGAGTTTTCCTTTGTAAAGGATGTCTTTTCAAAAGGATAATGCAATAACCATCTGGCCCTCCGAAAACTGTAAATGTAAGGTTCTTACTTCATCTGGTTGCTGAAATGCCCAAGTATTACAAAAAGAATAGAGTGGATGGGGAATGTGTTTCTTGTTCGTTAATTTAGTTCCCTGACTATTATAGACCCAAAAGTAATATGGGAGAACTTTTGACACCATTTTTGCTTAATCAATCGGGTCCCTTCTGTAGGATCATGACCAATCTGGACGTATTGTTTTCTCTACTTTGTCTCATTCATTTTATTTTATTTGCAGACTATACTTGCCACAATTTATGGGAGAGAGAATTCCATCCTTTGTCTAGCCAGTGGTAGTGTCAATGTGGTGGTCCCTTCTTCCGCAGTACTGAATGTGCAGAGTGAAAAGCTTGGTGTCAATTGTGAGATGCCAATATATCCTTTGTTTTCTGAGGCAAGAATCTTTACTTAGTAATAAGTCAATTAATTCTCCTATATTTTTTATATACTCATGATTCTTGTGGAATGACCAGGGTGATCTGTTCTCTCTTTATGAGATCTGCAAAAATTATAAGTGGACCATAGAAGATGAAAAGGTTGGACTGATTCACTGTACTATGAGGGATTAGAATTGCACAATATCAAATAATAAGGTGGCTGCTTCACTTTTCTGTGCAGGTTTTAGAATTCAACACAGGAGAGCAGTTTCCTGGAGAAAAAATTGGTAACCAGTTGGTCTCTTCAAAGGAAATTCAGTTGTCATATCTCAATGAGAAAGAAGTTGGCTTTATTAAGGTCTTGATTGGAAGGTAAAAGAACTTTTTCCACAATTGGGCCTCTCCTATGCACTGCATTGTATATTTTGGAACTTTCATTGAAAATGGTTCGGTTATACCGTGGTTATGCAACCTTAGGTATGGGATGACGTTAATACGATGTCATTGATTTCGCTCCCAGTCCATGTTTAGGTCTCTTTGTTTGTTTCACTAATATCTCGTTGAAACTCAGCATTAGAATGGATATGCAAATTATTATTGATACTTGAGTCGGTCATGTCATGCAAACATAAATATTTTACTCAGTTGGGCTGTCGTGCCTGGGTCAAGTCGGAAACATCTGTCTATGTCTGTTTGTGAAATTTGAGTCCATCCCATTTGCTTTATTTTTCAGGGCATTTGTCGATAACAACATAAGAATTTACAAATCCATTAGTGCCTTTGAGTTTGTTTATGATTGTTAACTTCCTTTAAGAAATCTTTCATCTGCATATTCTGCAAAGAACTTAGAATACCAGTGGTGGGTGGTCTTTTGTCTGGAGTAGTACATTTTTACCTGCATTCTAGGTCATATCTTCAGCAAGCGTCTTAAGAAGCAAACAATACTGGGGCTCATTCTATGTCTGTTTGTCAAATTCTGGAGCTTCATCTATGTCTGCCTGTGCTTGAAGCTCACTAAAGTGGGCTTTCAAGAATATTTTCCTGACATAATCCTTCTGCTTCTTATTATTTGTTTCTTTTGAGATTGTTTTGTGAGCAAATTATATCTGGTTCTTTTTATATGTGAAATATACACTATTAATCTGGAAGTATCGTTGATCTATTTCAGGTCCGCTGGCAAGGCCCGAGTTTCAGTTTCATTTTCATGTGATTTTGTTTCTGCTTCATTCTCAGAATCCAAGTCTTACAGTTCTAGTGTGTCGGTATCAGTGAGTCCTGATCCACCTCTTGCCCTTGGAGTTCCAATAACCTGGATTCTTCCTCCTCAGTATATTACATCAAGTCTGTTGCCTTCATCTTTTGAATCATTTGGCCAATGGGACAGTCACAGTGGAAAAGGGACCGTTACCTATTCCTTGTTGAGAAATTACGGTGAATTGAATGAAATAGCACTCAGCAAGACTATTTCCATTCAAGATAACAGAATTAAAACAGCTGAGAGTAATGAAGTTGCATGCATTCAGGCTAAAGATCACTTGACAGGGAGAATTGAGATTGCTTCTTGTATCAGGGTCTCTGAGGTAGCTATACTACTTTCCTTGAGCCCTTGTCTTGAATTTTTACAGAGAATCATAAGTTAAAGCACCAAAGAAGTGCCGACATGTATAGAAAAGAGGACTGTACTTCTCAGGTAGGACTATAATATCGTACATGTGCTATTATTTGAAGAAAGATCAAAAACATTCATGACTATGCACCTTGAATGTGCAATATGATCAACTTTTCATGAGTGTTTTTTTTTCTTTTTTCCTGTACCTATGGTTATAGTTTTTACTGACAATGTGTTCCCATACTTGGTCATTAGAAGTCAAGCAAAATATTTTGTGGTGTCTCAACCGTTTTGTTCACATCTCAGCTGGTGATATAACTGATTTTACCATTCTAAGCATTTTCGATCCCATAACTTTCTCCCCTTAGCTGCTAACAGTAGCATACAGTGGCCACAACGGTCAAAAATTGTAATTGTTTATGATATATCTTAGTTCGATAGATTCGGAGCTTCAATGACAGATTACCGTTTCTGATTTCTATGTTCTTTAGTTTCTCTTCTTCGATGAAGTTGTTTTGCCAGTTAGAACTTGTGCTGACAGTGCCTGTTCTGTACTGTAATCAGGTGGCTCAAGTAAGATTTGCAAATAAAGAATTTCCTTTCCATGTGGTAAATCTTGCACTTGGTGCTGAAATTGAACTCCCGATTAGCTACTTCGATGCTCTAGGTACCCTTTTAAAAGCACTCTCACTGTTGGTTGTATAGCTATTTTAGTCCTCATCACTATTGTGATTTTGTGTTTTACCAGGATATGCCTTTTATGAAGCATATGATGCAGTTGCTGTGGACACAGAAGTGAACTATCCGGACATTGTTTATGTTAATACAAGCAGTGTGAACAGAAACATCAATCTCAAGGTAACATGCCCATGCTAGCTTTTGTTTTTTTCATGGAATAGGGTACAAAAGTAGAATTATCACACAGAAATGTGCGTCTCAGATATCTAGTCCAGTTTTCTTGCTTTCCTGTGCTCCAAAATTAGACTTATTTTGATTAACATATTAAGTAAATTTGCATCAACTTATTTTCCTGTCCAGTGATTGTATTTTCCTTGTGACTGTGCTCTTCTATCTTATTGAAGGCAGTACGACACGGTACAGCTCTATTACGAGTGTCGATAAGTGGCAGTACAAGGAAGTCAGACTATGCGCTGGTACCTTTTTTGCTTTCATAGACCATGATAGTTGTTGCACGGAATTTTAGTCTTGTTTGATACCAACATGTTGGTCAAGCAGACAACTTTTTCTTTAAGAAAAGGGTTTAAAAATAGCAACATTAAATATAAATCGTCAAATGATATATACTCTCACACAACTTGTCATTTTATCTTGTGGGAGTTGACTGACATACTTTTGTGACTGCATGCATGACCATTTGTGGTAGCCATGACGGTAAGTGAAGATTCTTATTATTTTACTTAACCTGTTTCATTTAAGTATGAGGGACTCTTGCACCTTAGAGATGATTATAGACTGGAAGCATGGAATCCATCTACTTGGAGCCTCTATACAGTTGTTACTGTGCTAAATTTGTTGCACCCACTTGAGCCCATAACTCAATAGGTGGCTTATTTGTTAAAAGCATTTCTGTTCTATAAATAGGAATGGTAGCTCGCTATGTATCCTTGAAATTATTATTTCTCTAAAATGCTTCTAGTTTCCCTTTTTGACTTGGCTATTTGTACCCTTGTACAATTACAACTGATTCTAGAGCATCAGCTATTCTCAGTCTTCTTTCTGTTATGTGCATATTTAATAGCTCTTTCGCAATTTGCAGTCATATAATATCAGTGTATTCATCTCCATTCAGGTATCAGTTGGTGCCTTCATATACCCTCAATATCCCATCCTTCACATTGGGAATTCACTTGAGTTTAATCTAGAAGGTGCGTCTATGTGAAAAATTTGATCCGTTTAATTGAATGCTTTCAGACATAAGCCAATATATGTTGGTTATTCACTTCCTGATTTTGTGCAATTGCTGATTGTCCAATCAAAAAATATCAGCAATTATTTGGTTTCTTTTATTTCATTTTGAAAGGTAACGATAACTTAGAACTTGGGTTTATTTTGTTCCTGGCATTAGTGAGGCAGCTCTGTCACTTTAAATAGAATTGGTCATCCTTTCTCTAGACATTCAACTTTCAATTGCCATGGATAATAATCTTTTTGGAATTTTCATCTTGTGGGAATGTTTTTCTGCCCATCCCCTACTTCTTTGTCCACTAATCCTTTGGCTGTGTTAGTGAAAATTTACCTTTATGCATGCCATGATGTGTGTATAATTTGTCTGAGTTACAGTACATGACCTATGTCCCTTCATCATGTCCTCTTCTGCATATTGAATAGAATGTGAGAAGCTATTTCACTAAATGATGCCAAATTACCGTTTGCATGGTAGGATTCAAGGAGCAAGTTCCTGGGCTGTGGACTAGTGCAAATGAAAGTGTCATAACCATAGATTTGCTCTCTGGAAAATCCAAGGCAGTTGGAGAGGGCACTACTCGAGGTATTCAGTATTACTGTATTACAGTTTTCCCACTATCTTGAGCCTACCCCTTTTGGTTCACATTACATGTTACTTCTGAGCAGTTGTTTTCAAATCTTCAAGTGCAAAGCTGCAAACAGAGGTTATGGTACTGGGAAGTGACATGGTTTCTGTGGATGCTCCTAGAGAGGCACTAAGCAATGTGCCTTTCCCTGTTAGAGGATATGAGTTCCGTGTAAAATTCAGGTCTGTGTTATGCTCTTCTACTAGCATGCTTATTTGACTGGAATCGATTCTCTTCTATTATCTCCTTCGGAAGAACCTCATGAATATCTACACTCTGGATATTTCGCAATTCTGCCATCTGCCAACCTTTGGAAATGGTCTTCACCTCTGTACGCGCTTAACAGTGCCCAGATTTGCTGTACTTGATAACTTCTTAAGACTCTAAATTGATTGATAAACTTTGACACAGTAAGCATTTCTTTTCGGTCAATGCAAAGAATCCATTTTGTGTGCAGAGAGAGGGATAAGAAAGATATTTGGTAAACACTGGATTAGAGTGAAACTGCAAGCAACAGTGTAATCAAATATGGTACTGGATTTCGAGCTTGATAGAAAGTATCTCCAATGCCCAATTTATTTCCATTTCTTTAGTTGAGTGAAAATGCATCTCTTTTGGAAAATGCTTTCTCGATATCATTTTGCTGCTGGCAATTCTAGCCCTGTTTTGTTTCAGCAGGCTTGTCACAAGCACCCTTTTGATTCCTTCTCTCCCAGATTATTGGATTCCTTCATGAATTGTGATAACCACAATTGGACTATATAAACGGAACCATTTTGGGGATCTTGTTTTAATTTTCCCATCTACTTTACTGAGCTTATAGTAATATTTTTAGTCGAGGTAATTCTTATCTTATGAGTCTTCTCTTACTCTAATGAGAGCGAAGGAGAGAGAACAGAATGGGTGAAAGAAGAATAGGCATAACACCTTCTCATTTGGAATTTCAGCGTTAGAAGCAGGAGATAGATTCGAATGGATGGCACCGTACCCACAAGATGTGTGTTGTGTACTCTACTAGCTTCATATATAGTAACTGAATGCTTTTACATGAGGACACGCTGATACTGAACTCACAATATGTGTATTGTATACTCTACTTGTAGTTTATTGTAAGAATATTATGGTTACTGACAATATATAGTGACCAATTTTATGCAGTGATGGATACAACAAAAAGAAAGAGGGGGTCCCTTATGACTGTCTAGTAGACCCTCCATTTGTTGGGTATATGGAACCTCTTATCTTGCCTTATTGTAACAAGCCTTACACTTTTTCCTGTTAGCGTCTTTTATCCATTTCTATTCTTTATTTTGTTAAACCTTTCTGAAGCCAATAACTTTGCAATGAAGGTATGCTAAGGCATGGACGGATCTTGACACTGGTAACTCGTATTGTCTCTTCTTCCCTTATTCACCCGAGCATTTGGTACGTTCAACGCTCAAATCGAAGGATGTGAGATCGGATATCTCTATTTCCATCAAGGCTATATTAAGAGAAGCCAGAAATGCATCAGGATCTGCCTCAGCCCTCTTCATCGGAGGGTTTTCTATATTGGGGATGGATAAGGTGATGAATAAAACTTTTATGGGAACTTTATTGTCTTTTGTGATATTAATGACACACAAATCAAACATTAGCCTGCTATTTTTGGCTGTGGAAGCAATGAGAACCAACTTGTGTTGGACTTTTATCTCTGGCTATCTCTGCCATGGTTCTAGCTCTGAGTACATTGTACATGCTCTAATATTAATTGAAAAGTCTATTCTAACTCTTTAAGCCTTTTCTGGTGTTGCTGCTTAAAAATTAATTTCAAGCATTCTGATGTTGCAAATATTTTTTGTGTTTAGGATGCAATGCAGTTGAATCTGACACCCGACTATAACAGAACTACCATAACTCTCTTGGGCAACACAGGTATAATGACTCTCTCTCCCCCACCGGGCAGAGGAGATTTTGTCATTCTTTTTTTGAGTTTGAAGGTGGGGGTGTGCAATGGAAGAACCCTTGCACTTGATAAAAATTCTGCCACTGAGTGTTGTTTTTGTATGGATGCCTGATTTTGATGGCAGAATCTGTAGATTTTGAATTCTCGAAAAACCTGTGTGTTGTGTTAGCTAACTAGATATCCTTTCCTAGTTAATACTTCACTGTTAAGATGATCTAGTATTTGTCCTAGTATGTTCCTGCTTTTATTATTTTTGTCAGAAAATATTTGGAAAACTTGATTTAGGTCAAAACCGTTACCTTTGAAATGCTGTTTTTATGCGGGATTGCCTGGGTGGTTTGTGGTTATTGGTTTGTAAAGTACTAGCTTGTGCAAGGTTGTTAAGCTCTTTTTTTAAATTTGATGTACTCAAGAAGTAGTTGTATAACCCAAATTTTGAACGTGAAAATGCAAACAAGATTTACCCATTAAAAGTTTCTGCAATCTGGATTATTGGTCATGCTCATCATGCCCCACCATCATTACTCCACCACATGGTGATCATCATTGCTTGTGTCGTTGTAGCATACTAGCAGCGGCACCATCATTACAATGATATCCATTTTTTCGCATGTCCACTTTACCATTGCATTGCTGAACGTGCATCAGCATGTCTTCTGTTATGTATCCAAGTTGAGGGTGGTATCGTATGTGACTATGTTGAAAGAACTCTCCATGAGATTAGAGTGAAGTTTCTAGGAGAATTCTTGCAAGGGTTTATCGCAGCTTGGAAACATTAGGAGTGTTTGTGTGATCTAAACCATGATTGTAATCTCTGTTGTACTTGTATCAGTCAATTCTAGTGAAATCTTCTTGCCACTCTCCCCTTGAATTTAGGTCACAATTAAACCACGCGCATCTCGTGTTTATTTCTTGCTTGTTAACATGTTCCATCAACTTAGTTTCTTTTCTTTTTTCTTAAGATAATTGCCATTGGCTTATTTTCCTAACATGATTTTGTTTTTTACTTTTATTTTTGTCTCTAGATGTTGAGATCCACAGGCAATTCCCAGATCTCATTACGATAACTCCTCTACGAAAAGAAGGCTCTGGAATTGGTAGTGCTGCTGAGTATGAGGTAAGCAGATGCAAGTCTCAACTATTTGAGTAATAGTTGGAAAAAGCATAGAGTATACTTGTTTCTTCTTGGAGTGTAGTTATTCTTTTGCGATAATAAGAGTGTGTGCTGAGTTGGAAAATCTGTCAGAGAAATAAAGCTGGGTAATGTAATCTTCAATTCTGTAGCTTCTTGGCTGGTACCATGAATGAGATTAGTGTCAAACATTAGACTTTGACTGGATAGACTGTAGGCAAATAAACCATTGCTGTCATGTATTTTTCAAATCTGCTTTATCCATATCTCTCCAGGTGAAAGCAATTGCATCCAAGAGCTTCGAGGATAAAATAATCTTCACACTTCCAGCCAATGGTCAGTCTCCTCGCTTGTGAAATTTCTGGAACCTACTTTACTCCTACCTAATATTTTTTGTGCATTTGTTTTTTTAGGCCAAAGAACGGAACTGGAGGTGAGCTACACGACCAGAGAAAGGAAGCCATCGCCTTTTTCTTTCTGGTTGAGCATGCCCGTAATTCTCGCGCTTTTGATGGTATTGCTTGCCATCTCTTTCTCCATACTGGCCAGGCCAGACAGAACTGTGCCAGCTGCTCGCCCTGCAACGCCTAGCAGACCGGTGGCACCTACTACACCTGATCGCAGCAGCCCCGGTATAGCAAGCGAGCAGTCCCCAAGGACGCCCCAGCCGTTCCTGGACTACGTGAGGAGGACAATCGATGAAACTCCGTATTATAGGCGAGAAGGAGCGAGGAGGAGGGCCAACCCGCAGAATACATACTAGGTGAATGCTCGACTAGATTAGAACGGGAATAGTTACTCGGTCACGCGGCTATTACTTGTAAGAGTGTTAGAGTAGGACGATAGACGATACCTTATCTTCAGATGCCAAAAGGACGAGAAACTCACTCAGAAATTTTTTGAAATGTATGTGCTGAGTGATTTTGTATTGAGTAGGACCGACCGACCCATCTGGATTTCTGGGGGTGTATGAGTAAGTATAGTAGATATGTCCAGAATTAAGGGACTTGTATTGTATGGAAAGTTCGAACTTGGACCGCCACCTCTTTGCCACTGGAGGTGTACTTTCAGACATGCTCAATGTGATTTTTACAGCTGAAGAATCAATTTCACTTCGAAGAGTATTTACTTACGAATGTTTTCGCCCGTTGGAGGAATTTTTCTTTAATTTTTCGGGCGTCATTTCTTACGTTGTTTGCTCGGGAAATCTTGGAATCGTCCGTCCGCAGTGATAGCACGAACCTTAGTAATTGGGCTATGCTTTCGGGGCATCCAATTTTTCGATTTCGCTTGTCTAATGAATCAAAGGGCACATGTTCGTAAATGTTGAATAAGAATCGAATTGGGGGTTTCTAACCACTAACTCAAACGGCGGAGGCTTAAGAGATTAAAGTGCACTGTATCAGTCAAAGTTTTTCAATTCTCCAATTCATTTCGAGAGGCACTTGAACGACTTTATGAACTGTGATATCTGAGTCAAGAATCGTCGGTGCTCGTAAGTGCTCAAGCCGCAACTTTCTCTATGTTTTATCGAATTGGTCCAACATATGTCATTGGGATTTTGGGTTATGTTTGGCTCGAAATTGCAAAATTGCAAGTTAAATGTTTCCAAAGTGGAGAAGTTGCTTACAAGTCATTCTGTTTTTCCCACCAGCAAAAAGAAAGAAAGTCAAATCATTTCTTTCCGTACTTTTAGTATCCTCATTTTCCTTTCAACCAGCCCGAAAAATAATAATAATGAAATCATACTCTTTTCTTCCTTTATAGGGCTCGTCCGATAAAAATAAAAATAATAACTTTTGAAAAATTTAGGGACTGAATATTAAATGCTCGAATTTATAAGTACTGAAAATGAAAACTAAAATGTTATTTGATAACAAATTAAAAGATAGATTTTGTTAAGTTTTCTGACAAAACATGGAATGGTAAGCAATATCAAAAATATTTGTTGATATAACTGATAATATGTTAATTTTCGCTGGACATTATATTACTTAGACAGTTTTTTTTTATCGCAATATTACTTAGACAGTTAAGTAAGCATTTTTTCGCTTGCCGCATTAAGTGACTTTTCACTTAAAACTATAAATTAAGTTATGTAATTAAGATTAAGCAAATGTACGTAGAGATGCCTTGAGAAGTAGCATTTTCTAAACGCTAAACTCTGGTTTAATGAAAAAAAAAAAGAAGTCAATTTCCCATCCCACCCTCATTTATCAATCAAAATTTCATTTTTGCCCTTTTTAAAACAAAACCCTTTTTGTGACTTCTCACTTGCCTCTTCGCTCTCCGTATCACTCGCCTCTCTTCCGTCATGCTCGCCCTCGAGCTGCATTTCTCAAAGGCTTTTCTGAAAATTCGAACCAAACGCATCCACAAACCTTTCTCTCTTTCTTGGCCCTAGGTCCGTTTGCACCACTTAAACAATCCACTATATCCCCATTTATCAAAACTCTCTCGGTTCACCCAAAAGTCGAACCAAACGCACTCAAAAGCCTTTCTCCCTTTCTCCCTTTCTTAAGCGAGGACAACCCTTCTAGGTAGGGCGAGGGTCGCCTCGCCTGTGCGGCTCTCGCTAGATTGGGTGAGGGCAACCCTCGCCAAGCCCTCTTCGGGCATCACCAATGGCTAGCCATCGTCTCAAATTGGCCACCGGCAAAAAGAGAAGAAAAAACAAGAAAAAGGAAAAAAATAAGAAAAAATAAATCAAAATCTAAAAAAATTAAAAATTTATTCATGTCAGCGTCAATACACCACATAGGACAGTCGCGGCCAATTGGACTACCACATCAGTGTTTTCCGGTCAAAATTTGCTGAAAGGATTATATTGGCAGATTATCAAAAGGTTTTGGACTCAATTAGCACAGCTTCAATAGGTTCAAAAATTTTTTGGTAATTTTTTCCGAAATCTAAAGTGACCTTAGGTTAAAGGGGTTTCTCGAAATGCAAATTGTATTTGGCAAAGTATAATTTAAAAATGCATTGGGAAGTAACTTTGGTTTAAATGGTAAATCTGGCCTCAACGTCTGTTAATTGAGATCGTGCGACCTCAAGCAAGGCTAGCGGGCGCTAGATCCGGCTCGCTGACGGTCAAATATGGTGTCGCTGGCAAACATGTCACGAGGTGGTATGTGGCGAGGGCATTTTCGGGTATCTGGCGAGGCTAGAATTGAAAGAATAAAATGTACTAGTATTTCGGAATTGCCAAAGCCCAAGCTCCTATGAACCCGCCCTGGCTAAGGGACCTGAGAGGGCTTTAGAAATACAATCTCATTTATCCCAATGCTTTTTCAAAAAACTCTGCCTTTAGCGGCCTAAAGGCATTTGGAAAAGCCGTTCCCAAAAGCAGCTTTAACAGGGTTATTAAAGTACCATGCTAATTTTGTGCCAAAAATAATGGGTACCATGCTAATTCCCAGTTTTTTTTAATCTACTTCTAGGAGTAATAATTCTTTCACAAGTTCCTACCAAGAAAAAAAGATAACTATATATACAAATAAATACATAATATGTATAGGTCCATAGGATTGATTTTTCGGAAGAACTATATGATGGGAGATAGGAATAATCCAAAGGGAAAAGACCACAAAAAACCTCAAACTATGCCATCTGTGACACATTTACTCTGAACTTTTTTTATGACACCAAAAACCCCAAACTATACTATTTGTTTGGGGTGTCAATGGGTCGGGTCGGGTTGGGCTTTCTTGATACCCGACCCGACCCGAAACCTACAGGGTCATACTTGACCCGCCCAGATCCACCCAGGACCCTGTTCACCGTACACCCCAAGGCCCGGGGTCGGGCCGGGTTGGGTCGGGCCGGGCTTTTGGGTTTTTTTTTTTTTTTTTTTTTTTGCGACTGTGAATTGCAATTCACAATGCGATTGCCAGCACCAGAACACCCGTTGACTCTTATACTGCTGAACTCAGGAACGACATCATCATCCTCATCATCATCCTCACGAAATCAATACAAAAGAAAGGCAACATCTTGGAATCCCAGAAGCAAAATCCTTGTTCATTGTGTCTGCATCAAACCGCAGTTCCAACTCCATCTCAATTTATTAGCTAGGCACAAGTCAGGAATGAAAACTTCATCAAGCTCAAAACCCAACAAGAACCTCACCCCTTAATACCAGCCAACGACAGCCAAGTTCAAAGCCCCAAAAAGAAAAGAAAAAAAATGGAAACTTGAAAGCATCTACAGGACTTTGAGCATATCCTCGGCACCACTGAAGGTGAAGGCCCCGCCTTCCTCCAGGTTGAGCACCTTCACGACGCCGTCCTCCGCGAGCAGCACGTACCGCCGCGACCGCACCCCGAGCCCCACCGGCTGGTCGCTCAGGTCGAGCTCGCACCCGATCGCCTTCGTGAAGTCCCCGTTCCCGTCCGACAGCAGCATGACGTCGTCGCCGATGCCCAGGTTCTCCTTCCACGCCCGCATCACGAAGGCGTCGTTCACGGAGATGCAAGCGATGTTGTCCACGCCCTTGGCCTTCAGCTCCCCGGCCTTCTCCACGAACCCTAGCAGGTGCTTTTGCGAGCAGGTCGGGGTGAAGGCCCCCGGCACGGCGAAGAGGATCGACTTCTTCCCGGCAGTGAGGGCGGAGACGGTGGTGGTCTGGAGCTCGCCGGCGGGGTCGAAGTAGGAGAGGGTGGCGTCGGGGAGCCTGTCGCCCACAGAGATGGCGGCGCGGGTGGTGGCGATGGAGAGGAGGAGGGGCTTGCCGGGGGACCGGCGGCAGGGGACGGCGAGGGGGGAGGAGCGGCGGCGTAGCGCCAGAGAGGGGAGAGAGAAGGGAAGAGAGACTGAGAGAGGGAAATGGGTCGGCCCAGAGTGTCAATGGGTCGACCCTAAAATACCCCAACCCTAATGAAACCCCAAATTTTAGGGTCATATTTGAATAAAATCAAGGCCCGACCCCAAAATACCCCAAATTTTAGGGCCGGACCGGGCCGGCGCGGGTCGGGCCGGGCCGGCGCGGGTTTGATTGACACTCCTACTATCTGTGACACATTTACCCCAATGTACTTTAGTCAATGGGCATTTTCGTCTTTTTGCTTTTTCTTTTTTTTTCCTTTCCGACGAGGTGGCCCTCGCCGCGCGCGAGGCCGCCTGCTGAGCGCGAGCGAGGGCGATGCTCGCCCGACGCCGGCGAGGGTCGCCCTCGCCAGATCCGGCGAGGGCAGCTCTCGCCCGACGCCGGAAAGGAAAAAAAAAAGAAAAAGCAAAAAAGATGAAAATGCCCATGGACTAAAGTATATTGGGGTAAATGTGTCATAGATAGTATAATTTGGGATTTTTAATATCATAAAAAAAAATTCAGGATAAATATATTACGGGTGATATAATTTAAGGTTTTTGGTGGTCTTTTCCTAATCCAAAATAAGCAAAGCACGAGGAGGAAGAAAGTCCTTTTATAAAACAGCAACCAGCCTTTTCACCGAGCCAACCAGCAGCATCTTTGCATTTTTTTGGGGGGGGGGGGGGGGGTTTCTTTAGGGCTTTAAAACCACGAAACGCTGAAGCACTTCTTGCCGCTCTCTCTCTCTCTCTCTCTCTCTCTCGTCTCCGTCCCTCCTCCTCCTCCTCTCCTTCTTCCTCCTCCTCCTCCTCGGAGCCCTAACGCTCTGCAACCACCGCCGGTACCGCCGCTCTCTTCCCGAGCTCGCCGGACCGCATGGACCTCCAAGACAGGGACGTGGAGATCGACGGGGAGCGCGGCGACCTCAATCAATCCGACCACGTCGAGGAGGACAAGTCGCAGTCCCACTCCGGCGACGGAGCTAGCCCCGGGTGAGTTCCCCTTTGTTCCGCCGGCGCCCCCTCTGCCCGCACGTGCCGCGAAGTAGAGCGTTGGAAAAGCTCGAGCCTTTTTCCTATCTATTTCTTTATGTGGTTAGGGTTTCGTTTTGTCGGGTTGTACGGATACGTTTGGTTGAATGAGAAGGGAACTTTACGCTGCAAGGAAAAAGTAAGTAATTGCTTTTCGATTGCTCCGTTTCTTGGGAAAATTGTTCCGACGGAAAAAAATGCGCTCAGAAATCGTTTCCGTCGGAACTGTTTTGTTTTGGGGCAGAAGGTTTTGCAGAGAGAAGAGTTTTTCAAAATGGCCAATAGTTCAGGAAAGAGGAAACTTTCCGGCGATCGGTTCTTTTTTGTTCCGGGGAGCGTAAGGACTATGAAAGTAAACATGAAGCATTTGCCATCCGTCAGTTTATCTTGATGCGCCCGGATATTAAAAAAGCAAGGAGGTTGTTTTCCTGGGTTTCACCCTAAGTTTAGTTTGTTGATAGATGCTATTAATTGCTGCTATTTCTTGGTGGGTGTGGGTGTATTGAATTTAATGCTCGGGGTTTGTAGTCAGATAATCTTTTTTCAGGCTCACGGCGCTTCGTAAGCAGTGGATTTCTTTTTCTTCAGTTTAGCTGAAGTTGCTGTATCAGAAACTGATGCAGCCTTTTCTGTTAACTGTGCTTTAGAACTAGTTTACTAGTCTTTCTAGTAGCTGCTGATTAGGTACGCATTTTTTTATCTGTTTTTTAATTTTAGTGTAAATGTAATTGCAGAAAGATTTTTATAGGAGGTTTAGCAAGAGAGACGACTACTGGTTAGTTGTTCGTATTGGATCAGCTTTCCGATGTATCAGTTGTTTAAAACACGTGACTTGGATGAACGGATTGCTTATATTGTTTATGCAGCACAATTTGTCAAGTACTTTGGTAAATATGGTGATATTACGGATTCCGTCATAATGAGGGACCGGAAGACTGGGCAGCCTCGTGGATTCGGGTTTGTGACTTATGCAGATCCCTCTGTTGTCGATAAAGTCATTGAGGAGACTCATATTATTAATGGGAAACAGGTTTGTTCAAACCCTTTTTGTGTGCACATCTGGATTTGTTTTGTAATTACAAGCTTTTGTGCTTGATTTGGTTGGATGAGTAGTTTCTGTGTTGGATCATAGGTCGAAATTAAGCGTACTATTCCAAAGGGGGCTGCTGGCTCCAGGGATTTTAAGACCAAGAAGATTTTTGTGGGTGGAATTCCTACAGCTGTGACTGAAGGTAACATTATTTTGGTGAAGTTTTGCTTGTGTCATGGAAAGCACTGGTCTGAACTACTTGTTTTACTGACAGATGAGTTCAAGGACTTCTTTACACAGTTTGGCGAGGTCAAAGAACACCAGATCATGAGAGACCATTCTACCAATCGTTCTCGTGGGTTTGGGTTTATAACTTTCGAATCAGAGCTAGCTGTAGATGATCTTTTGGCCAAGGGCAATAGGCTTGAGCTGGCTGGTGCTCAGGTGATCTGGTTTCCTAATTTGTATATGCTAGTTAAGGCATTGTGCTGATATTCATGCTGATCTTTTTCATTTTGAGCTAGGACATCTTTTCAGTATATGTTTATATACAATGAAGCATTCCTTAGCATCGGAGTTCTGAGAGTATCCGAAATTCATATCATAACCAAGAGATCACTGTAAAGTGCCGAGATTGTCCTACAGTGAACCTGTTTGTACAATAGTGAAGTACCCTATTCTACTAGAATTCCACAGAATTGCTCCTCTGAGTCTGAATGATACTCATATAATGGTGGAGAGATATTTGAACTTTGGGTTTTCTGTCACATGGCCACGTCACATATATCATGTAAAAGTTTAATTTTGCTTGTCACTAGTCCTGCTGATTGTCAGAGAATGGTAATGTTCGTTTCACCTGAATTCACTCGTTATGCTTGCTGAATGTTCTCATATTCTGTCTCACCAGGTGGAGATCAAGAAGGCTGAGCCAAAGAAACCAAATGCCCCGCCTGCACCATCTAAACGTTACTCTGATTCCAGGCCTGCATATGGTGGTGGCTATGGAGATGCTCATGGTGGATACGGAGGTGGGTATGGAGGTGGTGGCGGCTTTGGTGGCTACAGGACTGGTGGAGCCTATGGCGGAAGGGCTGGGGGTTATGGGGGATATGGTGCCGGTGACTTTGGTGGATATGGAGGATATGCTGGAGGCAGCGGCGGCAGCGGCATGGGGGCCTACCGAGGAGATCCATCAATGGGTTATGCTAGTCGTTACGGTGGTGGTGGTGGTGCTGGTGGAGGTTTGAGCCGAGGATATGACTTTGGAGGTGCTTATGGCGGTCCCGGTGAGAGCTATGGAGGATATGGCGGTGGTGCTGGTGCAGGGGGTGCTGGTGGTGGCTATGGCGGGGGTAGTTATGATGCTGGCCTTGGAGGTGGCTACGGAGGTGGCAGTGGAAGTGGCTTTTATGGAAGTAGAGGGGGATATGGTGGTGCGGGAAGTGGCCGTTATCATCCTTATGGGAGGTAGAATCTCATTGAAATGAAGATGCTTGAGGGTTAAAGTGTAGCGGCAAAATGAGATTTTCTCATCCTGTAGCATTTGATCTTTTTGTCTGAGTCCAGCTTATATGCTCTCAAGTTCTTTAATCATGTCGACAAAGGGACCTTGTCATCTTGAAGGCAAAAAGATCCATCTATTACGTTTTTCTTTCTTTTTATTTTTCTAGGACTGAAATCTAAGAGATCCGGTCTTCTATTTATCTTCAAACTCCTTGGACGTCAATGAACTGCAAATTCTGCAGATGGGTATTTTTCTCTGCTCATTCCTGCATCTTGAAAGACGCTGGTAATGAGTTTCTGTGTTGTTCTGTACAATCTTTCTGCTAATCTGTTTGTTTGATTATCGACTGTAGTCAGTCCCGTTGAATATTTCTTATCTCATCCTGTTTTCCGTGCAACTTTTTGATGCGAATCATTTCGAGTTGGGTATTCTTTTTGGTGCAGAGTTCTTGATTTTGCTTTTTCGTTTTGAGCAAATACAAGACATTCGTGAACTTTGAGAAATGTGGGTTGGGCGAGACATATCATGTACAGGACTCTTCCGGAGCTTGGTCTGCTTATCTGGCTTATGCACTTCTTGCACTTCGAACTTGTACATAGCTGGGCTGGGGAAACTGTCTTAAGACGTGACAAACCAAGCCTAGCACAGATAATCGTCACCAAAAGCCCGAGATAACCATGACACTATCAAGCTATTACTTGTAGTTAACTATGTACATGGACAAGGAGTGAATTTATTTAGTCTGCAAGATCAAAGCAAGTGCAGCCTATTAGATTCGTTTAGAGTTTGGTCGGCTTTATGGTAGGTTGGTTTTCGATCCAGAAACTGGAAGCAACTTGGTCAAGGCCAGTTCCATGGTTTTATTCATGGACATACCTGGTTCACCTGAAAATCGGTTGATCCGGCCAGAACGGATGCTCGCCCTAGATTTGTCGATAAGCCTGATAATGCGACAGGATTTACCTAATAAAGTCTACTGAACAGGCAAATTGAGAAAAGGAACTTACACGCTGTTTGGTAGGAAAGATCAAGAGAAAGAGAAAGAACTCCGAAAAACAGAGTCTTAATTGGATAAGAGGGAGAGAGAGAGGAGAGAAAGGATTAGGAGCGAACGGGAGAAATTAGTAAAGGTCGCTATTTACGTCCAAATTGAAAATCTCCAAAGTCGTCCGAGAACGAAGGGATCGGGTGAGGTTTATTAATAAACAAATGTCTTCTTCCTTCCCACTTCTATCCTTATTTCGTACGCAATTTTAAATGTGCAAAAAGATATTTATGACGTATCCCTTCCATTTCTTCTTCCTCGTCAGCATTCATCCGACATTAATATCTCAATCCCATTCGTATCATTTCCTTGATCACCAAAAGTACCTTTTTCTTCCTCCCTTTCTAGTCACCTCTACACACTGTCAATAATGTTCAGTCAAATCTGGGCCCGATTTACCCGACCCGACCCGAGAGCAAGGCTGCCCGAAATGCACTAATTTCGCAGCTGGAAAAATAATTCGGAAACGATCTTCGATTTTTCTTCATTTTTTCTGGCTTCTATTCTCTCTCTCCCTCTTCCTCCGTCTGGTCTCTCTGCGATTTTTGAGCTGCTTCGGACCAGAAAAAAGCTCAAGCTCTCTCTCTCTCTGAGTCTCAGGTAAGAGACGACGACAGACGAACCAGAATGGCGATGGTTTTGGGGAACTGGAGCACCCATCACCCGAAGGTGCGACATTCAGCATTTCACCATTTCCATGGAGGTTTTTTCCCCCTTTTTTTTTTCGTTCGTTGAATTTCGAAATCCGTAATTTTTACGGAATGGGTGCGTGTGAACGAGGTTGACGTCTCGAAAAGTCGCCGGCTTTTTTACGTGGTCGGTTTTTGCTCGCGCGCAGGGCCTTCATATCTCCTGCAGGAAGAAAGATCGTGAAAGAGATAGTCGCCACCCCTACAAGGTTGTCGAGATCACCCCTCCTCCCAGGAGTCTCGGCGTCCGTTGCTTTCCCTCGGTCAGTTTGGGAAAAATTCGGTTGTTTTTAGTGTTTGATTCGGGGGCTGATGCTGTCGTGATTGCTTTGTATGTGTCCCCTGTTTTTTCAGTTGATTGAATTGCTGTCGTGGGATTTTAGAGTGTAACATGATCTGTTGGGCGTTCGCAAGTAAAGGCGATCGAAGCGAACTTTGTATGAAAAATTCAATATTTTAGAGTTATCTTGCTCTGTATATGAGGCATTTTTTGTCAAATTTGAACTGTGTATGTGGTGAAATGGAGGTGTTGGACCCTAAGATTTGGAATTTAGAATGTGGGCAATTAGCTGGCAGTCGACCATACTCATTCCCATGTTCGTTGATAAGCTTGCCATTTGAAGAAGCGCTACCTGGGTTGTTCTGTTTGACCATCTACTAGGGACCTATTGAGTGCAAAAGAGAATTTTATTTTTTTCTTTCTGGGTGTTTCAGGAGGTGTATCCAAGTTTATGCCGAATTTAGAGGGATTGCACTGACTCAGTGCAGCGTAAGTTGGGCAGCGTATTCTTTATTATGAGAATGTTATTTGGCTTTAAGCTAGGACAATGAACTATGAAGGCCTTCTGTCTTTGAGGTAGTTGATGGAGAGACTTGTTGGAAGAAAAGGAATTTGCACATGGTTCCATAGATTTGGAACAAGCCTATAGTGAGTTCCATACATAGTTTCTTGAGGATTTTGGATAAAGGTGTTACAAGTTGCATATATCCAAGTTACAAGGCCATATTTGATGTAGTCATTATTTCAGTGACAACCAAGAGAGGTGTTACAAAGGATTTTAATAGCAATAGTCTACTTTGAGGTGCACTTTTGTCTGTGTATATTTTTGGATTACTGTTTGAAGAGGTTGCCTAGCACATTTGAGATTTTCTTCCCCTGTGTATGCTCTTTGCGGATGATATGGTGCTGTTAAATGAAAGTCTGATGTCAGTGCTAAGATAGAATAATTGTAGAAATGGTACTTAACAGAACATCACAATGAAAGATTATCAACTCAACCACAGTGAGAGGATAAAATTTTTCATCACTGTCGTTGATTTTGTTTTGTAGGTATTAAAAAGTGTTCCTTGATTAGTTTATTCTCTTTTGCTATCAATAATTGTCAGAAGGAATCCTAGGTTGAAATATGGTTGCCATGCACTACCGCAGCACTGAGCCGCCAATTAAAAGATGACAATGACTTGGCACTGGTCAAAATTCGTTAAGTCGTGCAATGTAATTAGAGAAGACTTTGCATTCTGGACATCATGTTTTTTAAGTGCTCTCATAGCATGTTGTTGAGATGCTGAATATGGAGCTTTTGTTAATCATCTAGTACGCAAAAAAGTAGAAACGGAAGAAAATCAAGGGAGATAGAAAAGTACATGCAATTTACAGTGGAAACTTAAGAGTTCAGACCGAATTTCTTTTCAGATACTCATGATCCTCTGAAAATATGAAATTAAGGGCAAACCAATGCACTTCCAAAGCTAGGGCAAAATCTAAATCCTTAGGGAACAAGGTCTAAGCATATAAAATCAAGTAAAACGTGTGGGAATATCATGTCAAAATATGATATCACATTGATGCGGGTTATATATCGGTGAGAAATGATTAACGAGTACAGACTCACGTGAAGTTTTTGTTTCCTTGTAAAGCTGTAAAGTGCAGAGTGGAAACTACCAGAACATCAAAAGGTATAGTTATACTTGAAGGGTAAACCAAACCAGTTTTCTTACGTGCAATAACGGTTTCGTTTTTGTGTATCCCTCTGGAAGGCACTGGAATTTTTATGAAAAATGGTTGGACATATTGGTTTTCAGGGGAAGGGAACAAGCTTTATCTCTTCTTATCCATTCGATAATGAGAGAGACATTGTGATATAGCCCCAAATAATTGTTCATAATCTGGATCTACCCTAGTTAGGTGAAGATGGGGTACTAAATCATTTTGTGAAGTTTAGTGATGGCCCATGACTTGCTGTTACCTTTGGCACTTGTGAATGTGCGTGGCCCTTGCTCCAAATATTGAAGACAGAAGTTGGCCGTGGAAATTTTGTGTTGTGTTCTTGTTCCATCCTTCAATTTCTGGTAGTAGCACATTCTGGTTATTCTATCAGGTGGCTTGGTAGGTCTTATCTAGTTTTACGTGCATAGTTAAAAAGCATTCTCTTGCTTATGGGATATTCAGTCTCATGTTTCCGTTTTTTTTCCCTGGTGGTAATTCCTGGCAGAACTTGCAATGCGGCGAGAGCGTGACAATCGAGGGCCAGGCCTATACAATCTCCGCCGTGACTCACCGCTATCAGCTCCGGAAGGGGAAGTACGAGCCTAGCGAGAAGAGGCTCGATGTCTTATCGACGGGAAGATACATCTTGAACTTGTATTTGGATAGTCTGTACGAGCAATCTTGACATCTATTCTCCTCCATGCTCGGGCTCCAGTTTATCGAGGCTCTGCTCATAATCCGGTATTCTGAATGTATGTATCTTGTTACGTTCATCTATGCACTGAGAATTACGAAAGAGAGTGCATTCTCCATACCCAGCTCCGTTGTCTATTGCTGATGTATGCAATCACGGAAGCTTTGTCCTGAGCAGGTAAAAGAATGGACCTTGACTTTTTGGATGATATCAACTCAAGAGGGAGTCATGAGATCATCATCTTAATTAATATCGGGTTGCTCTACTAAATTCTGCGGGCGATGATGTGGACCAGACCGACTGCAGCATCGCCCCATCACGTCGCCGGCAGAAAATCCCGATACCCTCTTCATTTTGGAGCAATTTGCACAAGCAATCATCGCTCCTTCGAGACGGTCTACAACGCCATAAACCGTACCGGCTCCAACCCTATTCAAGGAGCGACGAGATTAGGAGGAACCCAAATTCTCACGGAATTTCTGCCCGGATTGATTCGATCCAACCCGAGATCACTAATTGGAATTTGCTCGTATCGTTATCGGTCTTACCCGATGGTGAATTGGTTTGTCAAGACATATTCTCGATAATGGGCTTACTCTATTTCCGCGAGTGGGCCCAACTTTTTTTATTGCCCCCCTCCCCCCCCCCTTTCTTTTTCGGGGGTGTTGGAAAAAACATCCAAAGCGGAACTTCCCCTCCCCCCCCCGGATCGAACCGTCACACGTGTCGGCATCTGGGCGCCCATCGGTCAGGGGCCCTCCCGCCGGGAGGAGCCGTCGTCGGCCGTCCGATCGGAATGCCGGAGGGGCCCCACGTGCGAAATGAGTGTGTCGCTATCGTCGGGGGGGACCACCCCCAACAACCAGATGCGCGCCTTTTCCCGCTGCTCACCGTCAGCCCTACACGGACAGACACGCACGTGGGCCCCCACCACCGCTCACCCCTTCGTTTTGGGTCCCCCCACGCTTTATGTCGGGAGCGCCCGTAGTAAAAAGGACGAGGGGAGGAGAAGGGAGGGGGCGAGAAATTGCTACGGGCACACCCGCACAGAGAGCGAGCGCGCGCGCGCATCATCCGTTATTTCATTAATAGTAAATCTCTCTTGGGTTATCGAGCGCCTCCGGCGTATCTTAGCACGGGGCGCCGGGAAGGGGGGAGCGCACGACAGCCGGCCACGTGCTCACGTGCGAGCATGTGACCCCCCCCCCGCCATCACCCCCTCCCCTCCTCGTTCTCGTGGATGGTATGAATTTGGGGTTTGGTGTGAGTTTTGCTTTCTCCCATGTGATCTCTAGAGGTGACTCTGTATTTATAATTTCTCCTCACACCGGCAGTGGTGGTGGTGGTGGAGGTGGTCGGTGGCAAGGGAGGCGGCCGCGGCGGCATGGTGGCGGTCCAAGTCACGCTATTTCTCCGGCACGGGATTATGAGGTCGAATCTGTTTGCCGTAGTATCGCGCATCCGACTCGTGCGAATGAGTTTCGAATTTCTTATGGTGATGGACCTCGCCTACCTCGAATCAATAGGTCGAAGCGGTGCTATAACGGGCCCTCTGCGGGATCTTAAATCCACGCATTACGTCGCAATTACAAAATCCTCATAATAATGTCCATGGAGAATAATAACCCATCTTCGTAACCTTTCCCCTTTGTCAAATTTGCCGTCAACCATATTGCCCCCTCCCCTCGAATTTCCTTGATTCATTCCGTGTTGATGCAGCGTAAACGAAAACAATGCATGAACCTCCAATGTAGCCTTTGAATCCGAATCCGATATAAAAACCTGATCCGGGCTCCATCAATCGGGCAGAGTCTGGCTAATGAGGACAATGGGTATGCACCAATTTAAAAATTTTCCATGGTAGCTAGATCACCACATGAAGTAATAATTATATCGAGCTGTTTTTCAAATTATGATGAAAAGGAAAAACTTTTAATATTAAAAAAAAGGAGAGAATCTTTGGTCCTCTCCAAATGTCCAAATTGAGGATTAAATTAAGGGGAGGAACAAAATTTTCTTAAAAAAAAGGAAAGAAATGGGACAGCTCTTGCAAGGACTATCTAGTTTTTTAGTAGGTGGGCGGTTGGTTCTCGGGGGAGTTTATAGCTTTTGTTGATGTGCTTTGTTTGGGCTGGTTTCTAAGGAAGATCCAAATCTTTGCGTTTCAATCTCTCTTGACCATCATTAGAATAAGATTGTAATGTAATAACCGTTATGCTGTCGTGCAATAGAGCTTACCCTAGGTGTTACCTTGTTTTGGTTTAAGCAATGTTATAAGAAAAAGTACCGAAAAAAGTGCATAACATATTGCGTTAGTACCGATTCGGTCCTAAAACTTACAATTAATCCAATTTAGGAATAAACATTTTCACATTGATACCAATTGAATCCATCTGGCCAATTTTGATCGGAAATTGCCAACGTGGACGGTATCCATCCGACGTGGTCCGACGTGGACGTGAACATCTTCAAATAATATTTTGACAATTTTTCATCGCTTGTTCTTTTCTTTCATATTATTTCATTATTTTTTTTTTCTTTTTTCCTATCATTTTTGTCGGATAGGGCAAGGGCCGCCTTGCCCCAGAGCCGAACGGGTCGCGATGGCCCTAGGTAAGGCCATTGCAACCAGCGGGGCCTGGGACTTGGAGGCCCTCGTCGCGGCCTCGCGCGACCAAAATGAAAGGAAAGAAAAAATAATTCAAATTATAATTTTTTTTAAACCATTAAAAATTGTCTACCCTAACGTCGATCTTGCCACGTAAGATAGTCGAATGAACTCAATTGGCACGTATACAAAAGGCTTAGAACAGTATTGGTTCCGTCGAAAGATTTAAGACTTTTTTGGTATTTTCCCGTAATCAGCATTACTCGACATTACCACTCTAGAAAATGCGAAATAGTATGATATCAATATCCCAATTGGATAGCTAAAGTTGAAATGACATATAAGATTGGATCATTGGATTTGCAAACAAAAAGAAAATGTTCCCTAGAGTGCCCCCAAAATCACATTCTTTCCATCCACTCGAGGAACTCCTCTTTTTCTTAATTGTTTTACAATTTCAAGAACAAGAAGCCCTAGGGAACATCCAAAAATGTTAGAAAAGACCGCTCCAATTGGCATTCTTTGCTTTTCTCTTTTTACCAATAATTATTTATTGAGTTAAATGCGAAAAGTTACGTACAGAAATCAAAATAAGTTTTAAAGATTTGCGAGATCCAATTGATGATCCATGTCTTTGTAAAGAGGTCGATAAGCTGTGCCACTACAACTAAACAAAATATTATATTGCCCGAGCCATTTGCTACTCGAAGTGTCTAACCAAGTCGCATCCAAAGATCGACCAAAAAAATGTATGATGTCCATCTCTAACCTCCAAAGGGTTTTCGAAACCGTATTGTAAAACATGGTAGACTATCAAGTCGCATTCAATGTCACACACACACACACACACACACACACATATATATATATCAACATCGGGCTAGACGTCACTGTCCCTGAGATGAGATCATTTGTGAGTGTTCAACTCGACGCCGGTAGATGCTCGACACTTCCCCAAACTATTCTACGCGCCCCACAAGACCATTCAGGTTCGACCCTCTAAAACCAATCCCATGCCCGCGTAATAATTCCGCGATTTCCTCCTCGTCAAAGGTCTTGGAAAATCAAAGCGAGTCGATTCCAGATCGAATCGGTGTTTTCTTCGAGTCGCAATCGACATAATCAACCCCGCTTTGAAAATCGATCATTTCATGTTGAAAAATATCGGACCCGTGGAAATTTATTTTACAAAGCGATCACAAGAAAAATCACCTCTCACAAAACAAAAACAAAAAAAAAAGAAGAAGAAGAAGATGTTATTGCCATCTTAAAAGGCGAAAATTATTTATTTATTTTGAGTGCATATTTAGCACCATTCATTCTTATTTTTTTGCTGATCTCAAAAATCTTCCACCCATTAAACGACGGAGAACCTTTTTTCCCCTTTTCCCTCTCCCAGAAAGAGAAAGATTATATTCATCATCTTCACTGATAATCATCATTCAATCTCTCTCCTCTCTCCTCTCTCTCTCTCTCTCTGTGTCTCTCTCTCTCTCTGTTCCGATCCGATCTAAATCGCTCTCCGCCGAAACAGAAAGACACCCATTGACACACTCCCAAAGCTGCATCACTTTCCCTCCTCAAGTTCTTTCCTTTCCTCTCTCGTCTTGGCGGGTCTCATGATTCTTGCCTCCCCCCCCCCCCCTTTTTTTCCCTCTTGGGGTCACGGGGTCCTCGCCTTTCTTCTGCATTGATGATCCCTCCCATCTTTGATCGGGTAACCCTTTTGCCTCTTCCTTGATTTTCTTTTCTTCTTTTTCTCAATGGGTTTTGTTGGCTTGAAAAGAGCTGCAGCGTGATTCTCTCTCTCTCCGTTTCTTGATGGGTTCGGCAATGATGTGCATCGCGTTTTGGTTTTTCATTGACGCCATCATTTGGCGGATGGTTTAAGCCGAACCCCTTTTTTTTTTTCCGTTTGCTTCGAGCTCGTTTCTTGAGTGACTTAGATGGGGCAGTTGTTTACTCGCCAAGATTGTTGATGGGGTTGATTGAATTGTCGAAGCAATGTGGTCTACAGCGTCTGTCTACTTGTAGGGAACTCAAGCTGTTGATTCATTTGTACGGTGCTGACATTCTTCCTCTCCTTCTTCCTCTAATTCTTCTTCTTCTTCTTCTTCTTCTTCCTCTTCTTCTTCTTTTGATAATGGAGATGTTGACATTCAGTGGATTGTGAGTCACGTTGTGTATCTTGATTTTCTGGTCAGGCACGCAATATTTCTTTTTGATTTCATTGAGTCATATCTTGCTTGAGATGCATTTTCTTTTTCGTGGATTAGTTATTTCTACGGGATGTGTATTTGTTCTGGGGAATTTATGTCTTACCTGAAAATGGTCGATTGTCTTGTAACAGTTACTTGTGTCCAGAATGACGAATAGGCTGAATATTCTGTAGCGAGCAGCTTTAGCTGAAGGAGGTGTCGCTCATAGCTCTGACCTTGGGATTTAATTCTGGTTCAGTATCAAATTGCTTTTATGGAGCCTCTCTTTGATGAATTGAATCCCATACCAAAGACTCAGAATTCGGCAGCTTTGATAGGGAATAACGTGCCTTCGACATCAAGTACTCCTCGGCCATCTCGGCCTCCCTCTCCTAGACAATCTAGAAATGGATCGTCTACTGCATCCTCTGCAAGTACGCCTAGTTCTGGCGTGAGGCCGATCCGGCACCCAAATGGTTCGCTTAGCAGTGAGAAGCAGTCGCAGAAATCGGCCCAAAGTGGCATGCAAAGCGAAGAATTGCCAAGCTTGGCAAGACAAGCTTACAATTTAAGCAAGGGGAAATCCGAACAAGTAATCCCGAATGGTGTTATTGATAAATCGTCGGGAAGTTCTAAACGGGACAGTAAAATGGCAGAAACCAAATCTTCCGTGAAGCTAGTCTTTGATGATTCTGAGAACTCTGATACAAGTGGCTTGGTGGAGCCTGAAAGCCGTGTTTTTGGTGCATGTAAAGGAATTTCTGGCCTATCGAGCAGTCAGTTGGCATCTCTCTCGAAAGCAAATTTTTGCACTAGCCCTCAAAACAGCATGTATTCTGCCACTCTGTATGCAGAGGCAAAACAGAGCTTCACCAACACGGAAGTCAGTGAATGTGTGAGCAGTATTGAGAAATCGGGTGAAAGTGCAGACGTTAGCAACTCATGCGACTTTATTGAGAGCAGGAAAACCAGCCTTTACAGGGGCAGTACGGGGAGTGATGTCAGCGATGAGAGCAGCTCAAGCAGTTTCAGCAGCGCCATGTACAAGCCTCACAAGGCAAATGACACGAGATGGGAAGCAATCCAAGCTGTGCGATCTCGTTTCGGGGCATTGGGGTTGGATACCTTCAGGTTCTTGAAGAAATTGGGGTGTGGAGATATAGGCAGTGTGTATCTATCTGAGTTGAAAGGCACCCGAAGTTATTTTGCCACAAAGGTCATGAATAAAGAAGCTTTGGCCGGTCGGAAGAAGCTTCTGAGGGCTCAGACAGAGAGGGAGATATTGCAGTCTCTGGATCATCCCTTCCTTCCGACTTTGTATGCACACTTTGAGACTGTGAGGTTCACTTGCCTGGTAATGGAGTTTTGCCCTGGGGGGGACCTGCATGCACTCCGGCAAAGGCAACCAGGAAAATATTTTTCCGAGCATGCTGCCAGGTGAGTACATGTTTTTTCTGTTGCTACTTGTTGACAAATAAATGTCATTTAGGATTACAGAAAATGTTATAAATAAGGCTTTTGGAGGAAGAGTGGTTGCTATGGAGCTTCTTTCCAGGCCAGGAAGAAGTTGAAACTTGAATCTGTACTTTCTGTATTTCAAACTTAAGGATTTCACCTCGTGTAAACCATCCTGCTATTGTCCCATAACTTAGTGGACCGGATATGAACCGAAGCAATGTCAATGATCATTAGTTTTTTTCATTTTCTGGATTGGTGGATCTGACTTTGTTTATAATCTAAAAAAGGAGGCATAATTCTAATTGACTGGGGACTTCCAATTATTTCCTTTACTGTTTCATGTTGCTGCTTCTTCAAATTAGATCTCTGTGTTTTTCCATATTGTGAAATCTCGTCTCCCTGCCTGATTGTATTCAGGCCAACTTGGACTCTGGCTGTAGAACTCGAATTTTGTTAGCTAATAGATTGTTCCAATAATGTCTTTTTAAGCCCGACTGCCTCACCACTTGAATACACGTATTCATCACATTTACATTTTACACATGGTGAAGATGTTTAAGCTTAGTTGTTGATTCGATTTTCAGTAATTTCTCCCATCCATAATGGGTCTTGTTGAACTGCATGGGACTCTTTTGATGAATAGATTATTGTCCAAGTGGACATGATCTCCTTTGCCAACTTTTTAAAATTTATCTGGAGATAATGACAATGATGATAAAGATGATGTTTTTAATTGCTAGGAGCTGAACTTTTTTTGTTTATTCACCCGCAGACATAATATCATTTGCCAACTACAGTTGCTCATAACTTCATGAATCCTCTGCTTCGCAGGTTTTATGTGGCGGAAGTTCTCCTTGCTTTGGAGTACTTGCATATGCTTGGGATCATTTATAGGGATCTTAAACCAGAGAATGTTTTAGTTAGGGAAGATGGGCACATAATGCTTTCAGATTTCGATCTCTCTCTAAGATGTGCTGTCTCCCCCACTCTGGTCAAATCGTCAAACTCAAGCCTTGAGTCGAAGAGCTCGGGATTCTGCGTTCAGCCCGCTTGCATCGAACCAACCTGTGTAATGCAACCAGATTGCATCCAACCTGCATGTTTCACACCACGCTTATTTTCAAGCAAGAGCAAAAAGGAAAAGAAGAACAAACCCAGGACCGAAATATATCACCAAGTGAGCCCTCTCCCTGAGCTCATTGCAGAACCTACCAATGCTCGATCTATGTCCTTTGTTGGTACACATGAGTACTTGGCACCTGAAATAATCAAAGGTGAAGGACATGGCAGTGCAGTAGATTGGTGGACATTCGGAATCTTTCTTTATGAGCTTTTGTTTGGAAAGACCCCATTCAAGGGGGCGGGGAACCGAGCTACCCTGATCAACGTTGTGGGGCAGCCTTTGAGATTTCCCGAGACACCGAGTGTGAGTTTTGCCGCAAGAGACTTGATCAGAGGGTTACTTGTTAAGGAACCACAGCATCGGCTCGCTTATAGGCGTGGAGCTACCGAAATCAAGCAGCACCCCTTCTTTCAGAGCGTGAACTGGGCGCTAATTCGTTGTGAGAATCCCCCGGATGTGCCCAAACCAGTAACACCAGAGTCTCCGATGAAGCCCGCTAGTAGTACTCCACAGGCATCAGCCAGTGAAGTGACAGGCGTGGATGTGAAACCTTCGGGTAATTATTTAGAGATTGATTTTTTCTAATGGCTCTGCTCTCCTCTCTGTCGCTCTGTCCCCCACCAGTTTCTGTTATATCTCTTGTATTTTGTTCCAATGGTTCCTCGTCCATTGATGAAGCAATGTGAATCTAACTCTCATGGACCAGCGGATGTAACTGCTCCATTGTTACTAGGCCTCCCAAGTGTATTGAATGAGGAACGAATTTGTCACTCTTTTATCATCTCGCTCTCCCTTTTGCCGGGTTCTATGAACCTGTACTTTCAGAGAAACGATATTTACATCGTGTCCACACATCCATCAAAGTGGATTTAATTTTGGCTGGGGTAGCTTCACTTGTGGGGTGGCGGCATTCCGTACTTTATCATTTGCTCCCTCTGCAGAAACACATGTTCTTAAATTGACTGACGTGCATCTTCTAAATCTAATGTGACTACCACCCAGTAAGAACAAAAACATCAATGCCGGGAGCATCGAATGAAGCCGATAGGGGAGCCTGTGTTAAGTTAGTTACTCGAGTTTTATACCGGAACTGAGTTTTCTGGCGCAACCTTCCTTTTTGGTCAAATCCATGGATGAAACAGAGACAAGGAGATCGGCAAAACACAACTTCCCATTCATGCGCGGTGCAATGGAACAGGCAGTGCCCGACACGTGGCGTTTTCCATTTCCTATTGGCAAAACTTCGATCGCTTTTACAGATTAACATGGAAATGGAAAAAGGATAAAAAGAGCGCAGCTAGCAAGCAATCAGAATTAGTTTACCTAAGAGTGTATATAAACCAAGACATTAGCAAGCGAGAGAGAGAGCAACTTGAGGACGCCACATTCCTACAGAAAGTTTGCTGGCGCATTATGGAGTCACAAAGAGAACATGAACAAGAACCGATAGCTCGTGCAAGAAACGCACTACAAAACTTTGTTAAATCAGGTATCCATCTTAAAACTCTTAAATTCCTTGAAAGAACAACAAACTCTCTCTTCTCTGACATGCATCCCCTAAGAAGGAATGCAAAAGGAAAAAACATCTTCTGATTGCCAGTGCCAGAGCTTATAAGGTATACTAATGGTCACTTCATGGCAACCTACGGTCGAATCTAGAAGCAGGATGGATGAAGAAAGATCCAAAAGAATAGCTGATCTCTCACTCCTCAAAGTCAAAAGAAAGAACCTCCTCAGAAACATCCAATAATTCCTCGACCTCAACTTCTTTCGCTTCGTACTCTTCCTCTTCATCACTAGCTTCTCCATCCCTCAGGTTCTGTCTGTCCAGCTTCTCCTCTTCATGCATCTGCTTCCACCTGCTTACCCATTTTTCCCATTCATCCTTCAACATCTTGCGCTTCTCGCGGTCCTGCTCGCTCAACAGCATTGACACATCCTGATCCTCTGCCTCGTACTTCTTGCTGTACTTCTTCAAGTTCTTCGCAATCTCTTCTTCCTTCTCAGGACTTAACAATGATGGTGGCCTCGGGCGCCATAAAAACTGAAACCAAACAAACGTCCACAAAAGGTGAGGTCTTCTGAGAGCAAACATCACACAAACTAGATGAACGGTCAAAAGCAGAGCCGAAAATGTAACCAGAATCCAGTCAAGAAAGAAACTTTCACAGGGTTAGAAATAAAATGGACTAGAAAAAAAGTCATGGGAAGCATCCACGTTCCATAAAATCAACCACACAAAAAAACACTAGAATAAAGTAAGTCAATGCGCACCTGAAAGAAATGATCCTTCAGAATCCGGTACAGCAGCTTGCCATTAAAGGACCATATGTTGAAACCATTTTCCATCTCATGCACTGAAGTTACAGCAGTTGCAACATATCTAAGAGCACCAAAAAATTCAGCATCATGACCCCATGGATAGAGAGAGAGAGAGAGAGTTTTCCAGTACAAAAATGGAAAACACACACGAACGACCTTCTGATTTCTCCTCCCAGCCATTAATTAGAAAAATCATGCATAGTTTAGTTACAACAAGCTTCCCAATATCACCAATTACACTTCCGGTTTCTGCTCCCAGCCATTTATTTATATAAAAATCATGCATAGTTTAGTTAGAACAAGCTTCCCAATCAAGAGAATTCTTAATTACCTTCCTGTAGGGTCCCATTCAACATCTGTTGCCATGAAATGCTCTGCCGTAGCCATGGTTTCAAGCTCATCGACATTGTAAAATTCCAACTGACCATTGAAATTTTTCAATCCAGCGAGTATAATGTAGCGACCAGCAGGTGACCAGAAAAGAGCATTCGCTTGCTTCCCCTTGAGAGTGGTTAGCTTTGAAACACGGCCTGTGTTATTGCCACTCCTCATCGAGTAGAAGCTCACATCAGGCCTTGGACCATCACCATGGATAACTGCAAATCTGTGGCCCTTGGGCTCCCAAGCAAAGGCAATAATCTTATCATTCTTATTCTCGAGCTCCAAAACCTCGATAGGTATATCTCGTTCTTTGATTCTGAAGAGCTCAAAGCCTGTGTAAGTGCTCTTCTTTGTTTTTGTATAACGGTCCACCTTGACAGCTAGATAGTCCCCATTGCTCTGCCAGTACATCTTGCAATCACTAACGCTGAAAAGATTCTTCTGTCGCAATTCCTCCTTGCTAGGAATTTGGACAAGGCTCACCTATGAAATGTGAAACAAGATTAGGAAACTCACCACCAGATTATATGGAAGAGACTACAGGAACAACACACTCACCCTAGCTGGTTGGTTTCCACCGCCAAGTTCAGGAACATACAGCGCAAGAATGGGATCAGTTGGAGACCAGCAAAAGTCCATCACATTTTCAACTTTCAGAGATTTCTTGTCAATGAGTGAAAAGGTTTCTGTTTCATAGACAGAGACAACACTTTTCCCAATTCGAGCAAAGTACTGATCATCTCTTCCTCCACCCCACCTGTTTCACTAAATAAGTGAATATATTTCCACACACTCACACCACAATCACAGAAAGCTTAACAGAAAAGGTAAAAGAGGTCAATCCATTAATGAACCCACTTAGAGAGAGACAAGGAGAGAGAGAATGGGTAAATAACCTGAAAACAGGCCAAGAGACTCCTGTAACAGCCCCAGTTCCACCAACAGCAAAATCATCAGCACTTCCTTTAAAATCTCTCATTATTTTCCCCGTTCTCACATCAAATATATTTATCACAACCCTCTGCATGGTAGCCCAAATAAGAAATGAGAATTACGAAAAAGATAAGAAGATAAAACATTGCTCGGATTTCAAAAACCTGAGGATCTCGGGGATTGCTTGGTTCGTGGCTGCTGTACGTCACTAAGTACTTCTCACCGGGTGAAAAATCAATCAGTTTCACCTGCATTTGTCATTATAGTGCTTAAGATTGAGACAGCATAAGCTAAAGAAACAAAGACAGTATAATGTAGATATATAACCTGAGGATGAGCATAGCGCATCAGACGATTAAAGGTAGAGGCACCTCCCCAAACTGCAGAACCTTGCCGGTGCACTGTTGCTAAATAAGTTCCTAGGGGCGACCATTGCACGAAACTCTCTGTCCAGAACTGTCGCAGGCAAAAAGACATAATTCATTCATCAAATTCAAATAAAATGATTCAAGAAGTTAAATGAATAAGAGGGGAAAACTCTAGCATGGCACTCACAGCACGTCTGTGGACAGGCTCAGGCTTCAACTGTCTAGCATCATTCCACAAAACCTCAGTATCTGAGCCAGCACGAATGACAAACTGATCACGAGCCTTTTCATCAGTGAGCCACTGCTGAAGATTCTCCTGTAAAATATACAAAAAGCCCGATTTTCTGTTGGATGACAAAGTAAACTAAACATTGATTGAGCAACCAAAGTCCAGCCAACAACATTGAGCAAACACAAACTCTGGCGCATGATGTAATGCCTTCAAAACATCTACACCTACATCTTAAAAGCATGGACCTGATCCTTGCATTAAAATTTCAATTCACATAAATCTTGATTCAGAGCATTGATGCACGAATGAGTAAGAGGTAAAAGCAACATGAACGGACATAATAAGAATAAATGAGTGATAAAACTGTGCTGGTCAAAGGAAATACAGGCTCAAAGAATAAATAAAACAACTTATAAAGAAGGATTCGAGTAACAACCCCTGGGGTATAAGGCTTAGTTTCGGGAGGTGCCCATTCATCTGGAACTCTCATAAACCTATCAAAGTCCTCAAACATGCTTACAGCAAAAATATGTGCTCTATCCAACTTATACCCATTTGTCTTCTCTTTTGCAAGCTCAGCTTCCTGCAACAATGACCAGAGAAAGAGTTACGCAATCAAAAAGATATAATTGACAGAATTTCCAACTGCAAGATAAAGCCCCGCGAAATTTTTCAATTTGCCAATTATGACAACTGATATGAGCAAACTTTGGCATATTAGGATGACAGACAATTTAGTGCATCAGCTCATCTTGTTCGCTATGAACCACAAAGCATCAATCCTTAATACATCTACAAAAACTTATCACACGCAAACAAACTAACTGACCGGGACAAGGAGCGGTGTGCTTGGAGAGAGAGAGAGAGAGAGAGAGAGAGAGAGAGCACCTGAGCGGTGTTGTACTCGATAAAGCAGTATCCTAGAGTCTTCTGTGTATCTGGATCAAGAGGCATCCAAAGGCCATCATCTTTAATCACACCAATCTGACCATAGATCTTACGGATAACACCTTCAAGCTTCTCAAATTTCTCGCGGGGAACAACAGGGAGATTATCAACAATAATAATATTTCCCAACCCTGTATCCAACTCCAAATTATCCTCCTGGTATAGATCTTCATCATCACTGCCATGAAAAGATCGAGTGAGGAACCAATACCAAAAAGAAAAAGCACGGCCATAATGAAACACGGTAAGTATATTTAAGCACTCGATTCGAAGTTCTTTTCATGAAACGCTTCGCCCAATGGCATCTAAGACACCTCCTCACATTCCACTCCAACTATTATGCTTCTCAGTTCTTTTCTCGCATAACCATCGCCACATGATCAGACTCTGCCTTATATACCAAAAAGGACATCGGCCTAGTGCCGGGCAAGCTAAGTACTTCGACGGACAAAACCAGGGAAGCGAATTGGACAGTTATGGTTTTCTATTGGGCTAAGAAACCTCCTTTTCGATTTCAATAAACCGCGCCTTCAAATTAATACACAAATCACGCTCTACAAAAACACACACAGAACCAAGTGCTTCTTCCCAGTTTATCTGTAGCAGCAGCAACACATCTAACAAAGCTAACATCCATGAAACCAAACGCATAAGCCCCAGCCAGAGAAAAGCGGATAGAGAAACAGAAATTCCTCATCTCGAGACCAAAATAAGTACACCGGCGGGACGAGCTGCTCGTTGCTAGCGCGAGAGGAACCAACCTGACGATGCCGAAATCTTCCCCTGGGGGGAGCTGGACCGAGTCGAGATCAATCTGGGACATGTCTATCCCCAGCAGCGCGGCCCTTTCCTCTATCATCGCGTCGGCCATGGCTGTCGCCTCTTGCCTCCGAACCCTCCAGGAACAACAAGGAAGCGAAACCGCAACCTAGAAACGGAAACAAAACCTGATGATGAGCTAAGAGACAAGACTGTTCGGAGCGAGAGAAACCCTAATCAGGCGAGGAGGAAGAAACCTCGAGGAGGCGCCGCGGGCGAACGACGGGAGGAGGGCGGTGGTGGAGGCGGCGACGGCAACGGCGAGGAGAGTTTTCTGGAAGGACTGAGAGTCGACGGATAAGCAGAGGTCGATCTAGGGTTCTTTGTTTTAACCGTTTTTTCCGAATTTATATTTTTTCCTAGTTCTATTAGAGGTAAGTGTAAAAAAATATATAGAAATCGTTTGTTAAATTCACTAGGAGCGCAGAAAATAACTTCTTCCGATTTAGATTCTTCATGTATGCAAGAATTTCGTTGCAAAGGTAACTTTTATTGCGCATGTTACCAATTCAGTATGTTACCAACTCAGTAATAAACGTGGGGCACTTTTGTTGGCGAAATTAATAGTTATTGCAAAAAAAAAAAAATGAGACGCTCATGTAAGAATATCAACCCGCTATATCTATAAACGAGATTTTACTTTTACTATTATATAGATTATGAGCTAATGTGTGCTTTTTTTTTTTTGTCGAAATAAGCTAATGTATACATAAATGGAACTTTTATAGCATTTATAAAGACTAAAAGATCAAGAAAACAATAGTAAAGATATAATGTATTTTTGGCAGAGTTAAGGAAATGATGAAAACTTGGGAATAGTACCTTAGGATTTGATTGAATAAATTAAAAGTATAAGTACTAGATTTAATATTTAGATATACTTCGAGAAACTATATTGAATAAATTAAAAGTTTAATAACGACATTGCATATTAAGTATTATTAAGCAGCGTTGTTTTGGTAAAGAAAAAGTACACTAGATGTTCTAAAATTCATCGTGAAAGTATAATTTAGTCATAAAACTTATAAAATGTAAAATTAAGTCTTAAAACTTGTCAAATTTGTGCAATTAAGTTCTTTCGTTAACTCTATCCAACTTGGCTAATGAATAATGCTGACACGATTTTTTTTAATATTTTTTCATATGCGTGGTGATGACATGGCTAAATTATGAAACATAAAGCCAAAACAACATAGTTTTAACCAAATTCTGATTTTTTATATAAATTTTTTATTTAATTTTAAAGATATTCTAAATTTTAAAAAAATGAAAAGAAAAGGGGAGAGAGACAGGCGGTTAGGGCTGTAGCCCTCCCTAGCCACCATGTCTCACCCACCTTTTTTCTTTAAAAAAATAGCTTATTTTATAAATTGAATTTAAATAAAAATTTACATTAAAAAATAAATATGGGCCAAAACTACGTCGTTTAGCTACGCCATCACCACATAGGATAACAAAAATTATAATAATAATAAAAAAGCCATGTTGGAGATGCGATTTGATACTATTGAAGATTTGGATGATCCTGATTGAGGACTCGATTGATTTAGTCAATCCGTGATTAGTTTAGTAAAATGGGAAATTGTAATCTTGTATATTATTTCCTGTTTTTTTCTTCTTTCTAGCATTATAAATAGACCAATGTACATGTCTTCTTTTCAGATCAATACAATACAAAATTTCCTCCATTTTCTTTGTTTTCTAGTCATGGTATCGAGCGGTCTTTCTTGACCTAGCTTCCGCAGAAAAGTCCTTCAAATTGCCTCCGTTTTTTTTTTTTCCGATTTGCTATTGCAAGTTTAGTCCCGCAACACGATCGAAGCAGGAAAAGAATTCATCAACAATACCATGCCCAAGAACCCTTCGATGGAAGACAGTTCAAAATCACCTCAAAATCAAGCCTCAGATCAAATTGATTTAACTGAAGAGGAACGATCTTCTGCCGTTCCTACTTTAGCTACAGTTGTTGACTCGGATCCTGCTATCACTTCTGCTGCTCAGATTCCCGGCCCCGTCTAATGGCCACCAGTCCAATGGTTTCCAGTGCAAGGCCCATGGGCCATCGGGCCAAATCAATCATGGGCCCAATACACGTCACCGGAGCTCAACCCGTGAGCTCACCCCATGAAAGGGCCGACGCCGGGATTCGGTCCAGTCTGGGGGAAATCCTACCCAAGATTGGGACCCGATTTCATGCCCTATGTTGTTCTCGACTGCGCGGCCGCCCGGAGCCCTGGCGGCCGCCGGGAGCTCCGGCGACCCGCTTCTATACATCGCCGGCGATGGACCCAAATTGCGACTCATCAATATGCAACTTGCCGGACTAGAAAATTATAACTCATGGGCTCGAGATTTCCGGCGAGCCTTGGTCCTGAAGGATAAAGATGGGTTCCTTGACGAGCCGTACCCTTCCGTCCGACGATCGATTACAACGTCAGGCGCAAATGCAACCGGCTCGTCCGCACATGGATCGGAAATTGTTTGACCCCGATGTTGCAGCCGAACTACCACCGACTGAAGACTCGAAGACGATTTGGGATAATATCCGAGAAATGTATGGAAAACTTGACTGAGCCAAGATTTTCTCCCTCACACAGGCTGTGTCGGAATTGAAGCAAGGGAACTCGTCGGTTACCACTTGCTTCAATCGACTCTCGGCTCCTGTGGAATGAGCTCGAGGCGGCCAAGAGCAACTTGAAGGACCAAGAAACGCTCCGACGATGCGGCCATAAAGGACAGGAGAGAAGACGACTCGATTTTTGCTAATACTCAACGAAAGTTACTCACCTTTCCGCTCACAAATCCTCGCCATGGACCCTGTACCGTCGCTTGGCCGGATCTTCCAATTGGCTGTCCAAGAGGAAAGCCAACGGTTGGCGCCCGAACATGCACGGGTAGGTGAAGGCGTCGCCCTTGCTTCGCTTCCCATCCGGGCTCTCTCGACGGAACCAACGAATAGAAGCTAGTGGAGGTCCCGGTTTTTGGGTCTCAACAAGCGATGAAAGCCGTGGAAGTCTCGGTCTTACGGACTTCAACGAAAGTCCTTGCGGCTAAGGAAAATGATGGAAACCCTAAAAACATTGGGATGGATGACGGGATCACGGATGAAATCGAGGCAGTGGGATTCTCGGACAAGATCGAGACGGCCATTTTTTCCCATCGGCTCAACCGAATCCACGGTTCTCATCGGGCCACGTTGATGCACTGCTTATAAGACAACTAGCGGTCCACGAATTGGGCAAAATACCAAATCAAAAGGTAAATATTGTGAATATTGTAAACGCCACATCATACTATTGATACATGCTGGAAACTACATGGAAAACCAAATGATAGAGACAAAAGGAAAAAGAATTTTCTCGCTTACCAGGTTTGACACAAAAATCGATGGGGCGCATCGGACAATTAATCAGGGACCGATACAAAAATATTATGAGAGCTCCGGTGGTTGAAGGCCAACGACAAGGATGCAAATTTCTCGGTACTCTTATTTGCGAGCGATTCTATTTCAATTGATGCGTGGATAATTGATTCGGTGCTAGTGACCACATAATTTGCAATGAGCAATTATTTTCCCATGTTCACAAAGAACCAGAATCTTCCATATCGATACGTCTTCCAAATGGGAACATCACCTATGTTACCAAAATTGGCACGGTTCTTATCGGTCCAAATTTTGTCCTTAAAAATGTCCTATATATTCCGATTTTGAATTCAACCCCTATCTGTTTCAAAGGCCTACGAAGATAATTCTTGTAGTGCCATATTCGATTCAGAAAATTGCTTCTTTCGGGACTATTCGGACCCAGCAAACCATGGGCTTGGGTAATGTTTGCAGGGACTATATTTCTAGATTGATAGCTCGGGAGGTTTAGATTTATTGAACAAAAGCATTTCTTGTAATGCAGCCACAGTAATAAAAATCTCCTTCTTCATAAACGTTTGGGTCATAGTGCACGTTTTCCCCATCCAAAGTGTCTAATATGTCCTTTGGCCAAACAATCTCGAGCATCTTTCCCAATCGAGTCGTCCACGAGCTAAAAGTGCATTTTCTTTACTCCATATGGATATATTCATACCCCATCGTGATGAATCTCGTTTTTTCCTCAGTTGATGATTATACTCATGCCACTTGGGTTTTCCTTATAATCCAAGAATCAAACCTTTCCAATTTGAAATTCATTTCTCTAGTTAAAAATCTTACAAAACGCATAAGAATTAAATCTTACAGGATAATGAGTAGGAATTCTTTACTACGGTTGCAATCTTTTCTATCCTCTCATGGGATCTTGCATGAAAGTTCTTGCACTTACACTCCCCAACAAAATGGAATTATTGAACGCAAACATAGACATCTTTTAGCTCAGGCACTCATAAAATTATTGGGGAGATTGTGTGATCACTTCGCGACCTATTTAATTAACGCATGCCTACTCGAATTCTTGATGGACGGACTCCTTTTGAAATGCTTTATGGAAACATGACCAGAATTGATCACCTTAGAATATTTGGTGTTTATGTTATGCAACAAGCCCCTCGGGATAAAATGGATCCCGATTTGCATGAGATTATTTGGAGATTTCTACGGGAAGAGATGTTATTCCTTTTCAAACAATCTTCTTTCATAATTTTATATGCGTGGTGATGACATGGCTAAATTATGAAACATAAAGCCAAAACAACATAGTTTTAACCAAAATCTGATTTTTTATATAAATTTTTAATTTAATTTTAAAGATATTCTAAATTTTAAAAAAATGAAAAGAAAAGGGGAGAGAGACAGGGGGTGAGGGCTGTAGCCCTCCCTAGCCACCATGTCTCACCCACCTTTTTTCTTTAAAAAAAATAGCTTATTTAATAAATTGAATTTAAATAAAAATTTACATTAAAAATTAAATCTCGGGCCAAAACTACGTCCTTTAGCTACGTCATGCACCATATAGGATAGCGAAAATTATAATAATATTGAAGATTTGGATGATCCTAATTGAGGACTCGATTGATTTAGTCAATCCGTGATTAGTTTAGTAAAATGGGAAATTGTAATCTTGTATATTATTTCTGTTTTTTTCTTTTTCTAGCATTATAAATAGACCAATGTACATGTATTCTTTTCGAGATCAATACAATACAAAATTTCCTCCATTTTCTTTGTTTTTGTCAAGCCATGTCGGCATTTTTGTTAATCAAATTGAATGAGAGAGTCAATGGAAAAACTCGATTGAATCAATTTAATAAGTTCGAAGACTTGATTACACTCTTTTACAATCGTTTTAAGGTTTCCAACGCACGTATCCCTTCTGGCAAAGGCATTCCTCGACCAAACGGGCTAGGCCACCACGATCTGTCCTCTTTCCTAAGGATCGGTCTAGGTCTAGTCGGGCAAGGACCCGGCCCATGATTGGCCCCGACAGATATGTCCAAAAGATAAGCCCATTGGGCCTAGCAAAGATGGGCCCATCGAAGCAAAATCCCCAAACGGGTCGTCCTCGTCAGTAAATGGAACACGGAGCACATCAAGATCATTAAAACAAGGTCAAATCGGCTCTTAATCCGAGAAATCAATCTTCCTATGTACATCATTTCCAACTAATCCCATCCGCTAATCCAGATTAAACCTCGATTAACCCCTAAAGCTAATCAAACTATCTTCTTCTTCTTCCAGAGAGAGGAACGGCGGCGGCGGCGGCGGCGGAAGCCTGGCTACCGGTCGTGCTTCAGCTTCGCCACCATCTCCTCCACCAGCCTCAGGCTCGCCCCCTCCGCGTCGATCTCCTCCATCAGCTGCTCCACCAGCTCGTGCTTCTTCTTCTTCTGGTGCCTCGCCCTCCCGCCGTAGTCGGCGGCGCAGTCCCTGAGCAGCAGCAGCAGGTGCTGAGCCATCTCCTTGGCCCGCCACGTCCCGCCCACGCTCAGCTCCAGCAGCCCCGGCACGGCGCCTTCCCTCAGGATCGCCTCCCTGTGCTCCTCCCTGCAGCTCCTCACCATCGCCAGGAGGATCGCGACAGCGTGCTCCCTGCACTCCGGGGACCCTTCCTCGACCGCCTCCACCAGCGCCCTGATCGCACCGTCGCGGCAGGCGACCTCGCGGACCGCGTGGCCGGAGGACGCCACGGCGTTCTCGAGCACCGCCATCGCCTTCTCGGCGGCCTCCGGGGAGGACGACGAGCCGGGGGCGACGATCAGGTCGAGGAGGGACGGCACGCCGCCGGACGCGACGATGAGGGGGGCGATTCGGCGGGAGGTCGAGAGGTTGAGGAGCGTGGAGACTGCGTCGAGCTTCGTTTGCGGCGAGACGGCGATCTGAGGGGGATTCGCTGCGATTTCGCCGGAGATGATCGCGATTAGCGTTTCGATGGCGCCGGAAGATGCGATCGGCAGCTTGTTGGCGCCGCAAGAGGAGAGGATCAGCATCGCCGTCGCTGTCAATTCGACCAGCGACTGGCCGCGAAGGAGATTCAGCATTGCCGGTACGGCTCCGCATTTCACGATCAGCATTTTGTTCCTGCACAAGAGAGCATCGCAATGTCGGTCAGGATAGTGAATTGCTTCAAATAATTGACGTAGAATCATCCCTTTTGTGTGCTATACCAGCCGCAATTCCAAACAACTGATGAAATTTCCTATCTTGTTTTCGAGTCGATGCCGATCGGCGTGATAATTCAAGACGTGCAGAGGTGTTGGTGGGTGGTGGTGCATAAGTTTGGGAATCTAATGCTTTTAGTCTGATCCGAAGGGGCGAACAAAGGTGGTACCTTTCGCTGCCGAAGGCGAGGGCGAGCAGGGCGAAAAGAGAAGCTTCAGTGGCCCCGAAATCTTGCGAGTGAAGCATGGATACCAATGGCGGGATCACGCCGCGGTCGGCCAGCTTGTGCCTCTGTTTGCTGTTGAGTTTGCTCAGCTCGATAGCACCCTGCATCTGCGCTTCGCCGTCGCCACTCAAGAGGGCCTCAACAACAAAATCCTCCATTGCCCCCCCCTCTCTCTCTGTCTCTCTCTCTCTCTCTGTGGCTCCTCTATTCAGTCATGGACATGGAGCTTGCCTGTGAAGCAGCAGTTGCAGGGTATGTATATCAGTTGCTTGGAGATACAAAGGTTGTCTTTTGGGGGCATCCATTGTTTCAGATTGAAGCAAACTCACTCCCTCTCTCTCTCTCTCTCTCTGTTTGTGCTTTTTTTCTGATCGGCCTTCTTTTGGGTTACTGTGTCTGAAGTGGGAAGAGAATAACGATGCCCATGAGTGAATCTTTAGCTTCCCTTTTATATAAGCAAGACCCCCCCCCAACCAACCCCAACCCCCCCTTATCCCTCAGCTTTCTGGTAAATTTTAGTAATTTTTCATGTGGAGGAGAGGGGGTGCTTCGTTATTCTTTTTTCCACTGGGAGATTGTTGCCGTTTTGTGCCTTATTGGCTGCTGCTGCTGCTGCTGCTGCTGATGCATGTGCAGGATAAGCTGCTGGTCCGTTTATAACTCAGATCATGGGACCAACTCCAATTGGGACATATCTTTTTTGCCTCTGTCCGAGGTTTGCGAAAAATAATCCTGTAGTACTTAATTTCGCCACGGATGCGACAGCATGGGTAATCGCGAATTCGAGTAAAAGATACTTCATCGCGTTCTTTCCTTTTGTTTAGGCTAAGTTGCATTTATTTCTTGTAATCTTCTCGTTAAGAAGACGAAGTCGGTCCCATTGCTGAAAAATCTAGTCATGAATTGGCTACAAGTGGTCCTCGAGGGCAGAGATGGAACATGCCTCGTGCGTGAGCGCACGCTTTGTCGAATTTGCACTTTAGGTTGTTCTTATGAACATCGGCCGGGGCTAACGAAAAGAAGTTGTTCCTGTCATTCAGCTATAGCCACGGGAACTTCAGTCTGAATTTGTCATTATTCGCTTTTTTCTTTCACATCTTCTGAAGTGCAGATTGAAGGTGCGGGTTGATTCTTGATATTTCTTTCCTTCCGTTTCTGTACTTACTTGGGACACGCTTAGTTTTAAGGAATCTTTTGCTTAAAGGGATTTTTGTTGATATTGTCCAATTTCAATTTCCAATATGAACAGGGAATTTCCATAAACAAATCTGTCTTGTCTTACCTCTCTGCTTTCCTGAAAATTGAAAACGAGCTCCCTGAAACTGCTCCGTACAGGGGGTAAATCTCGTGACTTTGGCTTCGGAGATCGTGTCACGGTTTTAGTGAAAAATTGATATTCGAAACTGAGGAAAAGCACTTTTGGCCCGAAACCAGACCTATGCAAAAGAACGAAAGCGCGACGCTCCCCGCAGTCGATTTCGTCCAATCACACAAAAAGAAAATACGCCTCTGAATGGTGGTGGGCTACTGCCGCTACTGTCTGTTTGCGATTCGACCACATGGCCCTGATCCTCGGCTGCTCTGTTCCTTCGTAGCCGTGCGGGATCCGTCCTCGTCCGGCGTAGGCTTCATCATGTGACGGCACGGTGGGGGCCTTTTTGATCAAGGCACCTCAATAGGTCAAGTACCCGGTTTTTATTTCATTCGGCATGTGAAGGACGGAGATCGATCAAGGCACCTCAATAGGTCTTCCGGGTTCCCAGGTCATAGGGCACGGTTGCTGCGGGAGAACTTATTAAGAATACAATGAACAACTATGAAGAGTTTAGATTTTGAAAGCGCCACGAGAAAAGCCATTTGCTGATCAATATTTTAAAGATACGAAACGACACGATCGAAAGGAAGGACACTCCTTATATTAAACTTAGACTAATGGAATTGAACGACGAAACGGGACCAATTCGAAGAAATATCGATTTTCAATTTTCAATACCCGTTGTGCATACCGAGATTGATTTTTTTTTTTTTGGGTCGAGCCGAGATTGATTCACCTGGCATAAAGAATTACTTAAAAAAGTGGGGGGAAAAAGGCAGAGGGCGCGGTAGATAGGGAAGAGGAAAAAGGTATTATTGATTGTGGAAAATATCAAAGAAGCAGAGGGTAATGGGATCACCGGTGTAATTTAAGGAATCTTACCTACTTCGCTTTCGCCGTTATACGGCGGCTTCATGTTCAAGCAATTCTTCTCGCTTTCTGCTGCCGAGGGACTCGGACAATCCCTCTTAGGGTGAATTCCCCAAAAAAAACTCCAAACTTTAAATTCGTTCTAAATCTGCTCCAAACTTTACGTTCAATCTCAAATCAGTCCCGAATTTTATTTTATGTAAAAAGAAATCAGTAAATTTCAATTTATTTTAAAAAATGTACTCCCGTGATCCAGTCCCAACTTGACATAGCACTTTCATGTTATAACAAATCCACATCAGCAAAATAATGGGGCGATAGGTACAGATTGATGTATCATTTTCACTTCGATAACAAATCAAATCTAATAAAAAATTTTAAAATTCTCCGAAACAAAACCATTCTAGGATATGAAAGTTAGGGACGATAACAAATCCACCAAAAAAAATTAATTTAAAAAAAAAACCTAATTTTTAGGTTCAGTCCAAATTTGCTCAGAACTTTTCTTTATCTATAAAAAAGCCCAATTACTTTATTGATGTGGATTTATTATCGATGTGGAAGTGCCACGTCAAGTTGGGACTGGATCACCGGGGTATATTTTTGAAAATAAATTGAATTTTAGTGATTTTTTTTACATAAAACAAAATTCATGGCAGATTTGGGACTGGACTTAAAGTTTGGGGTTTTTTCTTACACAAAAAAAAGTTCGGGGCAGATTTGAGACTGGATCTAAAGTTAGGGGTTTTTTTAGGGAATTATGCCGTCTGTCTTTTCGCCTTTCGATTTTGCTTTCGATTTTGCTTTCCGTCATTTGTTGTTGGTATGTGACTTGTCTTGTAATTTTTCATCAGTATACCACATTGGAGGTAGTTGGACAAATTATAATGAAATCACTAGTGTTTCGTGCATGCACGGGGGGCTTTCGTGACGGCGTCTGTTGGATGTCGTCGATTCTGCGTGGCGCCCACTCACATCCGTTTTGGCTGAAATTCATCCGGTCCATCATTTGAATTTGATCAGTGCGGGCATGTGCCGAAGGAGGAAAGCTCTGCTGATTCATGCTTGTGTCCACAAATGGCTTTGGAGGTTCATCCGAGATATCAATGAGCAAGAGAAAGAAAAGGAGGACCTCAATTTAAAGAACTCGACATTGTAATTTGTTAACTCAAAACCATTGTATGTCACCATTTTAAGAGGAAAAACCCGAACCGGAAATCATATATCGGCCATATAGTTCGGCAAGACCGTCGTTTCGCCATTGAGTAGAGCGGCAAAGAAAAGTTCCTTCCGAACAAAACGCTAACCAGAAGCACATAATGTCTCGGTAGATTCCAGAAGATAAATTGGTACAACAGAGTGTATGAGATTAGTAACTCTAGATGCTGTGGGCTAAGTGTATGCTGACCATTTTAACAGCCAAAATTGACAGCATGGTGCACAAAAAGTACATATAGCATATCTAGTCATGCCCGTAATGCACAACTTTGAACAAAAGAATGAAGATGTTAGCACAATCGATGTCTGAAGCTCTCTGCTGCTTGGACTCCAAAAGTACTGTACATTCAGCGAGTAAAGATCCAGTCTCCATGAATTGGCACCTAAAGAGAAAAAAGTTGCATCGTGGGGGATTGTTGATATCTAAAACCAGCGAGAGCTGAAGGCCCACGGTAAGAGAATAATATGCGGTTGCAGATTAAATGCTTAAAAAGCACTCTCGGCGTTTCCGAGGCAATCAGTAGGAGGCAATCCATCACTAATCTTCCAGACTAAAACCAACATCCGAGACTGGCAAAAGATTGGACAAAGGAGTTTCGACTGGGAACAAAGTCCTCGAAAGAGTCATTCTTGGCTCTATAGACCAAAATCCTGTACATTGTGATGGCTCCACAATTTGCGAAAGGCTCGAAGGACGGATCATTGCAATCTGAAATCTGCAGAAATGCAAACTGAAAAGTTAGATGACAACGAAACATTTGATCTTAATCTGGAAGGATGGGGGGAAGATCAAAATCCTCTAAAATGAATGAATTGACAAACGCCGCCACCTACCTGAAGTCCAGGTGAAGGCATATCAGCAAACATCATCTTGTGACTGAAACCATTCTGAAGTGAACTGAGAATTGAATGCTTGGACAACTGTATCAGCAGAGAAACTGCGAAGGGTCTGCAATTTTAGTTGCCTTGCATCCAGACTAGGTAGAAGGCCTATCTGAAGTGAATGTTGTCGTATACACTGCAAAACTTGAGGCCTTCGGGCAATTATCTGGACTAGCAGCAAAAATAGCACCGAGCTGTCTATTAAAGCCGACCGCTTTTTACTTTCTTAGCAGAACTCTTCCGTGCCATTCAGTTGAACTTTCACATTGGGAACATAACCTTCCTCTGTCATTCTCACTTCCAAGTTCCTCAGCAGTTCAAAAATTTTCCAAGTATCCTGGTGGGATCTATCATCAACTACAAAGGTGTGCGTCTTATTCTTCACCTCAATGACACTTTGCCCAAATACCTTCTTCAACTTCTTCTCCTTAATCAGACATCTTACTTTAGACATATCATCCCACTTCCCGTACATAGCATATATGTTTGACAACAGAACATAGTATCCGGCATGTTCAGGATCCAGATGGAGAAGATGCCTTGCTGCAAGCTCCCCCATCTCGATATCATCATGAATCCTGCAAGCACCAAGCAAAGCTCCCCAAACATGAGAACCAGCCAGTGTTGGCATCATTCTAATAACTTCTATGGCCTTATCCAACTGTCCAATGCGACCAAGAAGATCGACAACTATACCATAATGCTCTGAATCAGGCTTCAGATGGTACTTGTGCACCATCTTGTTAAACATTTCTATTCCTTCTTCGATCAAACCCGAATGGCTGCAAGCGGATAACAAGGAGAGGAATGTCACGTTATTTGGCTGCACTGATGAACTTCTCGTCATCTGGTCGAACAGCCTCAAAGCTTCTTTTCCTCGCCCATGAATTCCATAACCAGCAATCATTGAACTCCAGATGACAACATCTTTCTCACACATGCCACTGAAAACTTTGATCGCGTTGTCCAAGCTACCACATTTTGAGTATAATTCTAAAAGTGTAGCTCCGACATACATGTTAGCGCTGAAGCCACTTCTAATTAAGTAACCATGAAGACAAATGGCTTGCTGAAGAATTCCCAAATCAGAGCAAGCTGCGAGGATTTTGACAATTGCAACAGCATCAGGAATGATTTCACTGGCTAGCATGTCGCGGAAAACATACATGG